CATAGTGTGAGATTGTAATTCTCGTCGCTCAGGTAATGCTACCCGAGTATTTTATTTCCTGACAAAATACCTCTTAAATAAAAAAACCCTCTAGAATTGAAGTTAGGAATGATTTGAATTGGCGCTTTGCAGAAAGCTTTTCGGAGTAATTGTCCGCGTGACAATGAGATGGCGCTATCTTTTTGGCAGGTCACGTAATTTTTTTATTCTTTTGGCGTGACTGGCAGCGCTGTGCGCTCTAAGCATTACAGATGCGATGATGAGAAAGGACTCATAGCAAGTGCTTACGTCAAGTCAACTGCAGTCCATGAACTTGTAATATTTATTCGTAACTAGCTGCAGCGAGGCACGACAACGTTACAACAATTAACATGGTAAATGCAAATTGCAAAGCTACGGGAAATCGATATCACGGTAGCTGTTGTTTTTGTCGGGAATGTTTTTATTGCATCAAAGCAAATCGCCATCCCACCCGGCGTAGTCCACCGATGAGCACGGTTGGCTACGTACGGCGTGAAAGAAGTTCAACTTACTTACATGAGTGTGTTCTGACCACAGTGCCATCATAACCTGCCTCTCTGTTGTCTAAATATTCTGATTATTATCAGCATCCATCTGGCGTGGATAAAATATGGACCACGTTGTCCCCACTGGATAGACTGGCACCTGCCATTGTAACGTGGAATTTCCAGTGCTGGCTTGAGAATACTATTCCAGATGAGCATAGACCCCCATGATCATCTAAGCAAGGAGATACTGGCATTCAATTTATGAAAAATATATCATAATTTAGATTTACATTAAACAAAATAGATACATATTCCTTTTTTTTACTTGATGGCTAAGTTTTGTTCGCGAGCACCTATTAACGTCAGCACAGGACACATTGGGGTTGTGTGATCAGACTCTTGCCCGGCCTACTCTGTTTCCCCAGCACAGATATTTTTTTTGCACAGCGCCTATTTTAATCTTGAGTCGACCTCGGGGATTCCCATGACAATTTACAAATCCACTTGGCCACTAATACACATCTTGATCAGAAATCAAACCCAGGTCACCGGGATCAACTGCCGGTGTAGAGCAGTGCATGACCCCCAGCACCTTTCCGAGTTTGTTTCAATAAGTAAAGAGCCTTTGAATAATTTTGTAGCCCACGTCAGTACAATTTACACTTATACTTAACGGTGCATTCAAGAAACATGTTCGCTCCATTATTGTTGCATTAGCGGGGCAGTTGCAGTGGGTCATGCACTGCGCTGTGAACCCGGTGACCCGAATTCCATTCTCAGGCCACGGCTAACATCAAGGGAGATAGATATTACGAACCGATTCTGGACCCTGCCTTCACCGACCCGAACTGACCTGGCTAGTCAAACAAACTGACCCTCTTCATCCAGCACTGGGTTGGTAAAGGGCTGTTAATTATTCATGTGCAATAGGAACCGATGAGCCAGAACAACACCTGACACACACTGCGAAGGACAGGCAAGGTTGGAGAGAGTTGACATCCGAGGAAGCATCATCTCCTCTCGCCATTGCGGTTCATGAAGACGCTGATATTGATGATGAATTTTTATCTTAGAACATCTCAACAACTGTAAATGTATGGTTTTTCCCTTGAATTTTGCCCAAAAATAGATAATTTTTTGTAATTTTAATTGTCTTGCCATGACACAGTTAAATAACTAATTGCACCTCCGGCCATAGAAGTTATGACATTGCAGAACCACTTCTGAAGGTTGCCGCAATGGCCCCTTCATCCACTAAAAGTGATGTAACTTTTTTACATGCCTTGTAAAAAGCGTTGCCAAAATAAAACAAACTTCATCAGCCACTGCCTCTCCACTGCTGGATGGAGACTCCTCATGACGTTGCCATTTCTTACTGTCCTGCGATGCCACAGTCCATCTCACTCCCCTGCACACAGGCTGATCCTCATAGTTCCATCTCCACGGTGGCTGTTCTGACAGGCACGCTCCCTCCTTTGGCTGCAAGTCAACGCTCAGGCTTGTCCTTTGGCCATCATTCCTACAAGCGATCTGTAGTTCTTTCGTAGATCCTAATGAGTGAACAGCCCAAGCCGATGTACTCTCCTGACCAGAAAACCCAAATCCAAAAATGTTGTTTTCAATGCAGTCGTTGATGAGTGGGTTGAAACCATCATCTCATTACACTGGAGCCAAAAAGTCCAAGTTTGTTCTTGCTAAAATGTCAAGTGAGAGGGTGCACATCTGCTTTTCATTTACAGCACTCAGACCAGTGGCAGAAATTCCACATTGCTATGGGGATGGGTGCAGGGGCAAGTTTGTCCAAGTGACAACCACGGATGACTTCACCACAAAGTCAATTGCCTCCGGAGAGATAATGAGCCGAGTCAACCCCCCAGAACCAGGCAGGATGTGAATCTGCAACCTTCGGGTTGCGAGCCGCTCGCTCTATCACTGGGGCTGCGTGGCCCACTACTTTTGAGGACCTGGTCGAACCACGTGGCCTTAGACCTTGTTATTAGAGAAGTGGAATTGTGTATAGTGAAGGCTCATTAAGGTAAATGTAATTTAATATACAATGTGCCTTTTAATGTGCAGCTGCAAGCTAATTTGTGTAATTCATGCGATGAATATAGCTATAGCGGTGAACTTTGTTGGTAAATCTAATGAATCCCTGCACACTTTAATTTACACATAATGGGACCTCGCATTTTTTAAGTAATGCATTTCGTGTAAAGAGCACTTGAAGGAATATTGTAATTTATATAAGGGCTGGTAGGTGCATGTTATTAACTTATTATTCATAGTGGTGATATATTAACGCGCATATTTTTTTTTAAATAATGTAACAATCTAGTTAATGTACCACGGAAACGTTAAGAGATTGTAATTTTAAAATTAAATAATGTACGCTTACAGCAACGGAATATTTTAAATGCCCCTGCTCATCAGACTCAGGTGTAAGGGTGGAGTGGTGGCGCAGCAGTTAGCGCACTGCAGCAGCCTCAACCCAGGCCAGGGCTCAAATCCTGCCCCTGACCAGCGTGGTGAAGTATGGTCAAACAACCCCCATAACCGGCACAGTCTGGTGAAGCCTTTCATCCAGCAGTAGGATTGACAAGAGCTGTACATTTTTTTTAAATACAGGGAAAAATAGTTTTTCTGCTCGCAATCCGAAGGCTGCGAGTTCAAATCATGGCCGGTGTGTTGATTCAACCGATGGTCGTAGTCATCCTCATCGTAATCCTCATCGTAATCATCATCATCATCCTTCCATCGCTCTCTCCCACTCACCTTATCACCTCATCATCATGTAAGCAAACTTGGCGACCACTATCATATTTGACTACATGCGAAGGTGGGATGCTCACAAACAGCAGGAAGGCACGACTCCCATTCATACGCATTGCGTGCTTGTCAGTGACGACCAGGTGATATACGTTGAACTTCTTTCACACCGTACCTCGCCAACCGTGCTAATCGTCTGCTGCTGGCTAGATTGAAAAGTCGGACGTTCGGACCTGAATGTCACAATGGCCCAGCCAATGAAATGTCGCAGTGACCGGCTGCCTGCGGGAGTTCCTGACAACATTGAATGCGGATGTCGATTCAGTTCAATGTTGTTCATTTAGATTGGTGGGGATGCCTTGCAAGAAAAAGCTCTAATGAGATTATTATGAAGTGCACCTTGGGTCCAAAGGACCGTGGGATTGGGCTCGCCCAACGTAGTCCTCCGTGGCTGGTTAAGTGACCCGACCTCATGTGATGTTCGTCGTTCCTATAAAGATGAGGATGTAGATGTTGATCAGCTGGTCAAATGAAAGGCCATATATAATTGACTTGATACCTGCAGTAGGTCGTTACTCTTGCAAATCAGACGTTTTCCTGGTCCCTTAAGTGCCCACCTTGTATATAACACAGCACACACATTTAAGTGAATATTGCAATATTTAATGCAGAAAATTTACCGGTTTACCGTTGGCAGGGTGGCTTAGTCCACTAATACCAGCCAGGTGCCATTGGCAATCATCTTCATGATCATCATGATTGTCATGATCATCATCATCATCCTTCCAGGGTCGATGGAATGAGCACAAATCAACAGTGGATAAACTGTCCACTTTTAGAGGAATGTAGAATTCCCACCTCTGGTTAATGGCTACCAACAGAGATGTACATCCTCGTGAATCTGTTGTGAACGAAGCAGCTGCCATCTCCCGTGGTTGCACGGTGCACCCTCTGCATCTCCCCTTGTCACGATGGTGAGATGTTAACTACTTCACCTGGTATACAGGAGGTCGTGGGTTCGATCCCAACCCTGACGCCTGATGTATATTTGGAGTTTGCGGTGTCTCTCTCTCCCCGTGGTCGTATGGATTTTTCTCCGGGTCCTCCGGTTTTTCCCTCCACATTTAGAATCAACATCACGCGTTTAGAGAATTTGGCCGATATACATTTACACACGATACGCCACTTCGTTGAGCTATCATTTGTAATAGCCCGGTTGCTTCTGAAAATGATCTAATATAGCACATTGGGCCTTACCTGGACACAGCATTCAATAATGGGCACCACAGCTACAGTTCAGGTTGTCGCGTAAGCCTCACCTGTGCAAGCGTTGCTGCATCCACAAGGAGGCCTTGGCCAGTTCGGCAGTGACATGGCCCACCCGTATCGCATTCTAATCCGGCAGGCCACGCTGGTTAATACTGCGGGTCTATTTACGATATAATGCCCGCCGACTGCATCGCCTGTTGGTGCTAAAGGTCACGTGACGTCGTTCAAAGAGAGTAGGCCTTTGTGTGCCAGCGTCTCAGTTCATATTCAACGAATTTGAATGGGATGATGCACACTCAGCAGTCGGTGGGTACCATTGCTGCAAAGACTTGGCAGGTCCCTCCTGGGAAAAAAGTCTCGAGACCCAGTAAAGGTTTTTTTTCCTGGGTAAACAAGCCGAATAACAACAACAACAACAACGGTGATTTGTATTCACGTTTTGTGTTTCATTTCCAGGGCCCCCGCGGAATTCAAGGCCCTTCAGGACCTCAGGGAAAGCCAGGGAGAAGGGTAAGTGATTTGATTCTGTCCCAGTTCCTAGTCGGAGCCCCCCCCCCCCCCCCGGCTCATCACGCAAAGTGGTCGGCGAACAGAGTGGCTCAGTGGTTGCTCTGCTGCCTCACAGCGAGCAGTAGGGCCTGGGTTTGATTCGAGTCTCGGGTGCCCTTCTACGTGGAGTGTGTGTGCTCCCCCCCCCCTGTTCTGCACGGGTGGTAATCCACGAGCGCCACTGTGTGTTGCCCGTAAGAGGAATTAAATTGGAGCAATCTATCTGGTGGTTCTCATTAGGGGTCGTCCGGTTTCCTAACCATTGCCAAGTGAACCATACAGTTCAACCGGTGTTGGTCAGACACCCCATTGCTGAACAACTGCACCTGCAAATTACACAATTGGGACTACACACAGCAGCATCAGCAGCAGCAGCATCGGCCCCTGCTGTGAAAAACCTGTCAGGAGCCTCCCGCAAAAGAGTCTTGAGATTCAGTGAGGCTTAGGCCACCGCTGTGGCGAGATGTTAACTACCTCGCCTGGTATACAGAATGTCGTGGGTTCGATCCCGACCATGACGCCTGCTGTATATTTGGAGTTTAAGCCTAACAGTTTTGAATAACAGTAATAATACAAATTATAAAAACAAAGCGAGTACGCGGGGTTGTAACACGATTCTAGAATTCAGTTGGGTCGCTTGAGGCTGTTAAAGAGTGTGGAAGACCCACCGCTGGCTCAGGGCTGAACACGGATCACAAGCATCGTCTAACTTGCCCAGATGAGCAGAACATCACTTTGAATACTAAATTATAGTTTAAAATGTCAACACTGTAGCTCTTCAGATGAGTGCAATAAAATATTCACTGCATTTCCTCTTACAACATAAAAAATGAAAATCCACGTGGGGTGAGCATGTATTTTTTTACGTCTTTCTCCGGAGAAAGTGAGCTTTGTTTTACGACACTAATTATGTCCTGCAAATTAAATAGCCGAGAGTAATCCTTACGCCCTGATCATAGCTCTTCCGTAGCAGCACCACGTGATGTAAAAAAACACTCAGTTGAGCTCCTGGGAGTGAAGTTTTTTGTTAGAGTTTACAATTTTCTTCAATGTACAGCCCTTTGACAGTCCACTGCTGGATGAGGGCCTTCCCATGCCATGTTGGTCATCACGGCTGGTCAGTGGGAGTTGGTACATCAGGGGCCAGGACCGGTTCAGGTATCACACGCCACTGATGGTAGCAGTGGCCAGGAATCAGACCCATATCTCAAAGTTTACAGGACAATTTTGTTCTTAGCACTTTCACCACCGCTCCCACCCAAAACAAGTCCCTCGGTATGTCCTGGTTATTGTTAATTAACCGTCACAACAATGAATTTCACTTTTTTCAGACTTCCAGCAGTGGATTGACAGAGAGCTCTAATGTATCAACAACCTAAAATGTCTTGTGAAGGGAAATGAAAGCAGAATGATGTTGAAGAGGGTCCGTTCTTCTCTTTCACGGGAACAAAGCTGCTACCTGTCTTGTCGATGCTGATTATACTGCTGCTGATGCTAATGATAGCAATGTTGGTGATGCTTGCTGATGCTATTGTTCGTGCTGCTGTTGATGATGATGATTGTATCGATGCTGCTGCTGCTGTTGGTGCAGCTTGTGATGCTTCAACAGTGATGGTGATGATGCTACTGCTATGATGACGGCTATGCCACTGCAATAACGATGCTGCTATTGTAACGATGCTTGTGAGAACACGACGATGATGCTACTGTGTTGATGATGATGGTCATGATACTGAAACGAGGATGATTCTGCGTCTGCGATGATGGTAATGTCACAGTGACGACAAAGATGATGGTGATTCTACTGTGATGATAATAACGATGTAACCGCTATGACGATGACGACGTTGTCAGTACTGTGACGACGTCGACGATGACGACGTTCAGTGTCCTTGTTGTTGCTGTTGCAGGGCCGCCCGGGCTCAGACGGAGGCAGGGGTTTCCCAGGTGAACCTGGCATTAAGGTGCAGCAACGTCGCGAGGAGCCTGCCGGCAGGCGCCCTCACACACGCCCAGTGGCACTAACAGTCGCAGCGCACCCCAGAAGAGCCCCACCACGTGACACTGACAGCCTCACCACGTGACACTGACATCCCCACCACGTGACACTGACAGCCTCACCACGTGACACTGACAACAGCCCCACCACGTGACACTAACAGCCTCACCACGTCACACTGACAGCCCCGCCACGTGACACTGACAGCCCCGCCACGTGGCACTGACAGCCTCACCACGTGACACTGACAGCCCCACCACGTGACACTGACAGCCTCACCACGTGACACTGACAGCCTCACCACGTGACACTGACAGCCTCACCACGTGACACTGACAGCCCCACCACGTGACACTGACAGCCCCACCACGTGACACTGACAGCCTCACCACGTTACACTGACAGCCCCACCCCACGTGACACTGACAGCCCCACCACGTCACACTGACAGCCCCACCACGTGACACTGACAACAGCCCCACCACGTCACACTGACAGCCCCACCACGTGACACTGACAACAGCCCCACCACGTGACACTGACAGCCCCACCACGTTGTGAATTTACACCAATACACCAAATACACACCGTTTGTATGCACAACATATGAGGCAGTCCTGTCCGCGGTAACACTGGGGTGCGCAACAATTCACACTTTGCAACAACAACACCAACAATCCCTTTTGCACAAACGGCAAAAATTCATACAACGCACGCATTTCAGCGGTTGCGTTAAAATCGTTCGCGAAACGTCCAAAAATACGGACTTCATACATGTGCACCGGTGCGCTTGTTTTTTTGTTCACTCGCAGGGTGAGCGAGGCTTCGACGGCCTGCCCGGACTGCCTGGCGAGAAAGGAAACAGGGTGAGTCGGTCGTCACGACGTCACGACGTACACCGCGTGTGTACGTCGTGACGTCACGACGTACACCGCGTGTGTACGTCACGACGTCACGACGTACACCGTGTGTGTACGTCACGACGTACACCGCGTGTGTACGTCACGACGTCACGACGTACACCGTGTGTGTACGTCACGACGTACACCGCGTGTGTACGTCGTGACGTCACGACGTACACCGTGTGTGTACGTCACGACGTACACCGTGTGTGTACGTCGCGGCGGCTGCTGCTGCTGCCTGTTTGTATGTGTGTCTCTCTTTCTTCGCCGTGTTTAACCCCATCCCGTCCGCATGTTGTAGTCCACATCGGCGACTGACGAGAAAACCCAATCATGCAAAAGAGGTGGAACGGCCAACGATGACTTGACGCCCGATTCACGACTACGAAGGAGGGCGGCATCATCATCATCATCGCCGCCGCCGTGGTGGCAGCGATGATCATGATGATGATGCACCACTCCGCTACTCCCGATGCAATTTTCTGGCCTCAAGCAATCCAGTGTTAGAGTTGTCGCTCTACATCAGGGGTCTGCAACCTGCAGCTCCGGAGCCGCATGTGGCTCTTTAAGGGCTGATTATCAAGGACCACCTTCTCGTGTTCACCACACAGTGCACAGTGCATTGCGGCTCTTCAGATATCGATTTTTAGTTTTTTACCAAATTCGAAAAAAATGCCTCTTCTTGTTATTTTGATTGCCAATCAACAAATAGAAGTATCAACGCACACAAAGGCAGAAAGCATTGCATGTGCAAAGAGCTCTCTCCCTGCCCTGTCAAGTCGACCAGCCGGAAGTAACTGAATGTGTCGCCACGTTTGTCACTTAAACCACCAAACCGAAAGGGTTCAGAACGTGCGGCCATCCCAAACAGGCAGCAGTGAAATAAGGACGCAACACTTACAGCGGAATGGCCTCATTTTCACCACGCTTACTTTGAGACGTTGGTTCTAAACGACAACTTTGAGTCGCTGGTTCTAAACAACAACGCGGCCGCTCACGTTTAGTTCAGTTGAGCTGGTGGCCTGAATAAGCCTGAGGAGATAATGCGTAGCTGCAATGTATGTGTTGGTAGATGTGCCCCCCGTTGTGTCTGATAATTCCCAGGCGTGTTTGTCGAGGGCTTTCACACACTCAAGTGTTTAATTGCTAAACGAATGCGAAGCCTCGTCATTAATGTGACACGTTCCAACCGCTCGCTTGACACACGGACGCATCCCAATTCACGATGCTCCTGAGACTTTTTTGGATGTAATAATTGGCCATAATAAAAACATGTTTTGGCTTTGATTGCGTTATTATAAATGTGTCGCAACCCTCCACCACCCGACACGGCCAATCAGTAAAAAATGTGTCACGTTAACAAAACGCCAATTAGTTACTTCTTCAGTCCAACGGTGTGTTTGAAGAGTGAATCGACAACATTTAGAATGTGAGCATGACGTTTCGCTGGTAATTACATCCAGCATCTTTGGGCTATTTGCCAGAATAGTGAAATCATCCACCTGCTTCCGGTCTCAAATAGTGCAGGATGACGTCATCATTGTTGAACCCCATCAGCGTGTTAAACCGTAATACTGTAATTGGCGTTCGTGAATAATTTGCACGAATATATTTTGCATAAACTCGGGCGCTTTAAAATGAAATTGCGTGACAATGCTCATCCGCGCTTCTGTCAACAATATTGTGCGTAAAAGGTCACTTAAAGAAGGACACAATCCCAAACACCAACAGATGGTTGCTGCTTTATCGAGTAAAATATAAAGGGGCAGCCCCTGGAAATGTTAAGCGCATGCCACTGCTGGTGGAAGAGCCTCCGCTTGAGGGAGTGCCACTGGAACGTATATACAGGGATTTAAAACGTAGGGATTTAAAACGTAGGATTTAAAACGTAGGATTTAAAACGTAGGATTTAAAACGTAGGGATTTGAAACGTAGGATTTAAAACGTAGGGATTTAAAACGTAGTGATTTAAAACGTAGGATTTTAAACGTAGGATTTAAAACGTAGGATTTAAAACGTAGGGATTTAAAACGTAGGATTTAAAACGTAGGATTTAAAACGTAGGGATTTGAAACGTAGGGATTTAAAACGTAGGATTTAAAACGTAGGGATTTAAAACGTAGGGATTTAAAACGTAGAATTTAAAACGTAGGGATTTGAAACGTAGGGATTTGAAACATAGGGATTTGAAACGTAGGATTTAAAACGTAGGGATTTAAAACGTAGGATTTAAAACGTAGGATTTAAAACGTAGGATTTAAAACGTAGGGATTTAAAACGTAGGGATTTAAAACGTAGGATTTAAAACGTAGGATTTAAAACGTAGGGATTTGAAACATAGGGATTTGAAACGTAGGGATTTCAAACGTAGGGATTTCAAACGTAGTGATTTAAAATGTAGGGATTTAATATATAGGGATTTCAAACGTAGGGATTTAAAATGTAAGGATTTAAAACGTAGGCTTTCGTAGCCATTACAGGGGTCCATACTAGTTCACGGGTTATGTCATGTAAGTAGTTTTATTTTTACATTGTTGACTTTAAATTCTTAAGCCACCATTGAGGACATTCTTCGTTGGTCAGAATTTGATCAACACGTTGGCACATAGAGGTAACAACATATTCACAAACGTGACAATCTTGTCAGGTGCTAGCGGGTTTATTTGAAAAATTCTGGCATACAACTACCACCACGTGGCCCTACACCAAAGATGAATATTAGATGATGAAGGGGTATTCGACCGTGGAGATACAGAAGCCAAACTACCAGTGATTGATTTCTAAAATCCTTCACTCTGGCCGCCGGATAGAAGAGGCCCAGGGCCATCGCGACCCCCTTAACTGCTCTCAAATCCCGTCTCCGAGCTCCGTAGGTGAACGATGGAGCGAATGCCAGAGAGCACTGTGCCATGAGCTAACGAGTGTGGATGAGACTCCGCTAGACGCCGCTCCGGCACGCCACCCGAATTGTGAGCGGTCGCCACCACCTGTCCCGGTTCAACCCGGGGTGCTGCCGGTCAAAGCTCGGAAATTGACATCTTTGAGTTGGGTGCCACAAATTGATTTGCACCGACATCTTGTGCCGGTATTGTGTTGAAGGTGATGACAGACCTCGACTGCCTGGGATATTTATATTAGATATATACGACATGTCTGGTCTTGGTCTATAGTGGGAAAGGTGGAAAACTCTTTCATCGAGTGGCTGTGGTTTTCAAATTAAGATTTTTTTTCGTCTTCTTCTTCCGTCGCATCACACCACTCAGTGTGAGACAGTCATTGACGCACGAATCCGGGACGTGCGTGCGCGTGCGTTCAAAATAGCAATCGCTGTACATTGTCCCGTGTCCTCCTTTTAGCCCACATTCATACCATTACTTGGAAGTGGTAAATGCCCGTGGCTTAAGTGCAGAAATAGCTTAACTGCGCTGCAACCACAAGCTCAACGCGAATCGCCATTACAGACAGAACGGCCAAGTGAATCATGACCTGTTTGACCTCGGCACGAATGCATTCTACGTAGGGAATGTATACGCTGTGCAGTAAAATTGTATTTGAACGAGCGATTGAGCCGGGATAACGGTTGTCATGGATACATGCAACATGGTAATGACACATTTCGGGGTGCCATCACTTCCGCCGTAGACCAAACCCAGACCTGTTCCAGTCAGCACGACGTCTTTCGTCAACACCGCGCAGTTTACAATCATAGAGTTCAACAGAACAATACCGATACCAAATCCCCCGGTGCAAATCAATTCCTGCCACCCAACGCAACAGGCGCTAATCCCTGGACTCTAGCCGTGTCAAACCCGGGACAGGTGGCAACCCTCCCTGTACGCACAACACCATGACGTGTTTGGGACGCGGGTGGAGCGACGGGTGACGTCACAGTGCCACGTGCTCATCGGTGCTCTTGCCTGCGACTAACTCTCCCGCTTGCTCGTTAACGTCGCCGATAATTCGCTTCGCGTAGCTTTGGGACACGCGGCTTAGGTCACGTGCCCTGTACAAGATAAGTGCGGTTTGTGTGGTTTTTTTCTTTGTTTTGTGCGGGTTCTGTCAACTTCATCCGATAGTTGACCGCGTTTGTCACTTGTAGGCGCACGTGTATTGTATACGCGCGTGTGCGCGTGTGTGCGTGTCATTGTGTGTGCGTGTTGTTGTTTGTGCGCGCGTGTGTCTATCTGTGGGAGGATGTTGCACCACCAACCGAGTTAGATTCCCGCTCGCGGCCAACACCAGTGACGATTATCTGAACTGGTCCTGGTCCTTTGCTAGGTCGACTCAGCCTCAAACGAGTACATGGGTGCGGTGTGTAAACACATGCTCCTCATCTACCATGCCGGCCTTCATAGGTGCTCATTGACACCACTTGCACCAAAAGTCTATGAAGGCTATCAGGGTGATCTTTGTCTTTGTCGCAATGTGCTGAGAACACCCAACTCACAATTAGTAAGGGGTCGTGAATTCGATTCCTGGCTGGGGCATGACTTAGCCGATCGTCATCATCATCCATCTGAGCTTTATAAACATAATCATGGAAGTGCCGCTTTGTAGGAAGTCGGCAGTGGTTGTCACGGGAATGCACCTCTCTTTGTTGTGGTAATGTGGAATTTCCACCACGGGTTCAGGGCCACCAGAGTCGGATGAGCACCACCCCATGCTTGTTTGGCGACAGGGCAAATTAATGAGTAATTATTCGTAGGTTGTTATAATCGCCCCTTGCAGGCGAGACAATGTTTATAGATCTCCACGAGAGGCACATACGCGTTGTCTTCACTTAGTGCTGAATGGTTCCCAGTGGCTATTGATTAGATTACAGACAGGATCTGCCAAGATCAGCCCCCACTTCATCACGTCTCAAATGAGTTATATAATTTATTTAGCGTGAACATTTGCGACCACCAGCAGCTGCACGCAGCTTTGTCATTTGCAGAACACTGTTTGGGTGCCAGGGTGGCAAGATGTTAATGACCTCGCCTGGTATACAAGGGCGCATGGGTTCATTCCCGACCCTGACACCTGCTGTATATTTGGTGTTTGCGTGTCTCTCTCCCCGTGGTCGTGTGGATTTTTCTCCGGGTCCTCCAGTTTTTCCCTCCACATTTAGAATCCACATTTTGGCTGCCATAAAAATCCGCCTCATTGAGCCATCATTCGTCGCTCATGAAAAAAGGGTTATGCAGCTCAGTGGGCCTTACCTGATCAAATAAAATAGTTTAAATCGTTTAGCTAGTGTCGTTTTAAGGCAGGCAGTCGCGTAAGCCCCACCTGCGCAGGCGTTGCTGCACCCACAAGGAGGCCTTGGCCAGTTGGGAAACTCATTGAGCAGGGCCCAGCCGCAGCGTCGAAGACCAAACCCCAAGGCGGACGGACCATTGGGTCGTCCACGAGGAGTTGGTGCTGCCCTTGTTGACGACGATAGCCGCCCTGCCGCGTCAGCGCGACCGCGCTCTGGTTGTACCGAATCTACACTGGCCGCTGGCTCAAGGACGCCCACGGTGGCTGCAGCCCCTGGACGCAATCAAGTTAAACGACATTGAAGTGAATTGACATCAAATGGGAAGAAAAAAAGTTGAAGCTTTACTCTTTATTCCTGTAGGCATTGCTCGGCTCTTGAATGCCATCGGCCTTGCGTAGGAAAGGTCAGATCGAAGCGTGTTTACGCAAACGTGCATCGGCGGGCAGCGCCCATCCCTGTGGTCCATCCCTGAGATATTGGTGGAAATGGCACATTCCTGTGACGGGGTTAGTCGTGTATGCACAGGACGACCGATGTTGGCCTCTCACAACCACCACTCAGCCAGATGTGTGCAGTGTTTTATAATTAAATGATATTTGGTTAACCCCAATATAATATTGTTAAAAAACATGATTAGTTTCTGCATTGGTTTAAATAGTTTTCTGATCTTTGTTGCATCTGTCAACTCGTTATGGGACACGAGTTTGATTCCCACCTTAAATGAGTACCTTTTGCAGTTTGCAATCATCGCCACTCGGGAAGGAATATTGGCCGGGCGTGGTGTTGGCCACCCATCCCCTCGTGTGCCGTGCCGGCCTTCGTAGGTGCTTGCTAACAGCACTTGCCCCAAAAGTCTGTTCAGGCTTTACGGGGGAGCTTTGTCTTCTTGTATGTATCTGCGTGTATGCATGCATCTGTACATACGTGTGTTTGTATCTGAGTGGGTATTCATGTATTTATATGTATCCTTTTGCATACGTACATCTCTGTGGATGTTTGTGAGCAGTATTTATGTATGTATGTCGATGTTTGTGCATATATTTGTGTATATCGGTGCATTCATTCATCTGCGCATGGATACATATGCGGGTGTTTTTCTGCACCTGTATATATTAGCATTTACTTTTTGACTGCGCATCATTGTGCTACTTTTGTGCTTGTATCTTTGTATTGTAAGTGTATGGATGCACACGCATCCGTACACTCTTATGTGCACATGTGCGCATGTGCGTGCGTGCGTGTGTGCATGTTTGTGTGCGTATGTGCGTCCGTGTGTATATGTGTGTGTGTGTGTGCGCGTGTGTGTATGTGCATGTGTGTGCTCGTGTGTGTATGTACGTGCGTGTATACGTGTGCGTGTTCGTTGGCCTCTTACTGCCTTTCTTTAATTGGTTTGACCGTTCACTCCAGGGTGACAATGGACCACAAGGACCTCTGGGCCCAACCGGAGAAGATGGACCGAGGGTGAGAATGAATCTCTTGAGTTTCAGCAACGGTTTTGGGCGCGTTCGTGCGCGTGTGTGTGTGTCTCTGTGTTGGTGGGTAGCGGTGACGCCGCAGTGAGTAAGCCCACTCCGCTACGCACCAGCCATCTGAGCTCAAATCTCAGCCACAGACAACGTCAGTGGGGTGCGATATTCGAACCCGTCCTGGGCGCATCCATCGGTTGTCTCAGGCTCAAATGAGCACCTGGTACGGTGTGTGAACATCAGCACGGGAGGGGCGTGGGCGGTCGGGCGTGGCACTAGCCGCACCAGCCTGTCGTGCACCCTACAAGCCTTAATAGGTGCTCACTAACATGCACTCAGACCAACAATCTGGAAAAGGCCAGGGGGAGCGGGGCGATGATTGTATTTACACATCGCACTGCATCTGACAACTTAGGTTCGATCCCTGGCCAATACTCGCATCACTGGTCGCATTAATTGGTACGTGTGGCCTGGGTCCCCTGTGGGCTGGCTTAGCATAACTTAGCACCTCTGGCTCCGGTGAGATTGCGAGCAGCAGCAGCAGCACCGACACACTGGAGCGGTGGACGTGTGCGCTATGATTAGGATTCAGGCACATTCACAAAGAACCCTTTCCTCCCGATGCTATTTTACGACACTCGTTTTCTAGAATTGTATTCGAAGGTCAATAGGTCATCACAACAAATGCAGTTGATGCCACAAAACCTCACCCTCAGCTCCTTGCTTCTTCTAAATCCTACATTTGTTGTAAAGTCGATGCCTGATTATCAATACAGTCTCATCTTCATCATCATCATAGCCACCATCTGCCTCTGGGTTTTTACGATTTTTCCACTGGTCCTGGGCCTCCCCGAGGTCAATTCAGCCTCAGTACGTCCTTCAACAATTACTTCACTCTCATCATCACCATGGCTTTAGGTCTTCCCCTTGGCCGCACACCTCTGGGTGCCACTGCATTGCCTGTCACGGTCGCTTGCCCTCTTTCTCCACCCTGCACTCACATCCCACCACCCATCGCAAACCTCCTCGACATTCTCACGCCTAAAGTGCTTTCCTGTCACCTTCGATTCGGAAACTCCGGGTTGAGAACCCAGCATCATTGTGAGATCCCTTGAGATTTCTCGCATACTCAAGGTGGGTCGGTACCAGCGGCATGGCTAGCGGGCGTGCAGACAATGCAACTTCACCAGGTTTCCCTGGCGCAGAGGCCAGGGAGAGCGCGGGGTGGAGGGGAGTGGAGGGGGGTGGGTGCAGGCTAAAAACTTGATACAGCAAGCGTGCTGTGACGGTTCCACCTGAAGACGGAAGCTTGTGTTGCCTCCGAAACGTCGTGATTTTTATTTTATTTTTAGTTTTATTATTTACATTTTTTACCTACGTGACTTTACCGAAAAAAAAACTTAAGAATATGGATAGGGGGGCCCACCATTTCATTCTTCAATTCCTTCCACGAGGGCATCATGGCAACCAACCGTGCAACGCCACTGACTTACGCTCAACCAACACACCGTCACTCAGTACTCAAAAGGTCAGAACCCTCTAGTTGGCTTTGTTAGAGCCCGGCTCGGTGGATCCCGAGGGCGAGAGGGACAGGCCCACGGGGCTCTTGGGCTCAGACGCTCGCCGGCTTTTTTTTTTTATCCGCCGCCGAGCAAAGAGCGACGGCAGAAAGCCGAGCCGGCTTCGTCCGCTCCGGGTTTTGCGGCGTGCGCCCGCGTATTGCTGTCATCTGTCCGTGCCGGTTATAATCACGACGCGGGCCCCTGCAGAGACAGGGAGGGAGGGAGATGGACGTGGCGGTGTGATGTGCACTCGCGGTCGCATAAAACCTCAGGCGCTTTAATGAGGAATTATACAAGCGTGTAAAATAGCAAATTTTTCTCACTAAGCCGGAGCAGATTTATTCATTAAAATCAAACAGACAGAGAGACAGACGTATCGGTTATTTTTCTGGAATAGGTGTGATTGGTCTCAGAAGATTTCAAAGGACCGTAATGCAATCCTGCATTTAGTATTTTAAGATTAATGTAATATATTGACTCTTTATGATTCCTTCCCGCAAATTAACATTAATCACATTGCCGCTGAATTTATATGCCTGGGAATTGGACCCCGGGTTTGCCGGGATCATCGTGCACCACGGTGAAGCCAACCACGACATTGATAATGAACAAATTGTCATGCACGCAGAAATAAACACTTGCACACATTTAAGCGCAGACACACACAAATACAAATATCCTCCGTGTAGCACCTACGAAGGCCGGCATGGCACACAATGGAGTGGGTGGTCATAACCACGCCCGGCCGCCTTTGTCTCTCTGGTGACGATGTTTACACACCGCACCAAGTACTCATTTGAGGCTGAGTCGACCTAGGGGAGGCCCAAGGCCGGTTCAGATAATTGTCACTGATGTTGGCCGTGAGCGGGAATCAAACTCGGGTTTCCGAGTTTGCAGCGCAGCGCGCTAACCGCTGCACTCCCACTCCCCACACACAAGAATACACAGACATCATTAGACCTCCTTTGCCAGTACCAAAATATAATAATAGGGGTTTTCCCCTTTTTTCTGGCAACAAAACTGAAATCTTTTACAAGGAATCATGTCTGCATTAACCACTTAACTTGTGGTCAAAATGCAAACAAAAAACACACTCTGATAATATATGCATTGTCCTTGAAACTGATTGATCCACACCAGAGACGGCTTTCCTTTGAGCCTCGTCTCAATTGGTGCTAGACCAGAGGACGCCAAAAGGCGTACAGCTCAAAGACAATGCAATATCAAAGTAATGAGGGCTCGGGGTAAGCATCTACATCATTAGACCTTCTTTTCCAGTACCACAATATAATAATAGGGATTTTCCCCTTTATTCTGGCAACAAAACTGAAACCTTTTTAAAGGAATCATGTGTGCATTAACACAGACATGTATAAACAACTAATTTCCCTCATGTAGATTTGCAGAACATAGGGATACACACTATTTGCGAGCACCTATGTTAGAAGGCGAAGCAAACAAAGGGTGGTGTGGCGAGAAACACGCCGGGCCACCTTTTGTCTGCCCAGTGCTAATGTCTCACACATCACCCAAGGCACCCGTTTAAGGTTGAGTCGACCCAGGGGAGGCCCAGCACAGGTTCAGACGCCACTTGCCACAGGATGTGACTCACGGTCGGGAATAGAACCCGGCTTGCCAGCAGCACGTCTCAGTGCACGGACCGGTGCACCACCACCACTCCTCTCACTCAGCCTCGCAATATAATTATGATGATTGTGATGACTGTGGTGGCGATGATGATGGCAGTGATGCTGGTGATGATGACGATGATAATGACGGTGTTGATAACAATGATTATGACGGTGATAAACGTGATGATTATGATGACGATTATGTTCATGAAGGTGATGATGGCGATGACGACAATGATGATGGTGACGGTCATTATATCGATGGTGACAATGACGGTGATAACGATGATGGCGATGATGACGATGATGACGATGATCTTGTGTTTGGCTTCTAGGGGGAGACTGGAGCGACGGGCTCCGCTGGATTGCCGGGCGAGCCTGTGAGTGTCATCACACGCAATCCACGCAGCCCATCATCTCTCTCTGGCCGCCAAAATGGGAACCATTTAGTGGAAAGCCAAATATGGTTACACAGTGTTGCGGAAAGGGTGGTCCCCACACCATGGGCATGTGGAGTCACCACCGCCGGGTCAGGGCCACCCACCCCCACGCTTGCGTGAGTGGGGACACTCTCACTTTGACTTGTCATATGAACGGCATGGCACTCGTTCCGTTGAGGGGTCGTTGCGCATTCGAGGCTCATAGTGGCCGCGTCGCAGACTCGGAGCCGAGCGTTGCGCTGTGTGCGGTTTTCCCCGTGTGCTCCTGTTTCCTCCCACCCATTAACATTAATTTATTGGCTGATAGCACCTTAATAAGTGGAGAACCGCAGAGCTTGGAAGGGGGAGATTTGGCGCCTGGCTGCTGCCTTTCCCGCTCGCCTGCGGTTCCTCCTCGCGGCGCTGAGTTGCTCTCCCGCTCTCTCTCTTCGGAGCAAGCGAATTGCCGCGCGGCGCATTACACGGTGGCGTTACTATTCGTATGAGTGGTATTGCCGGGATCTTTGGCTTATAGCCAGGCTTTAGCTGCTTTTGATTAAATCAGGTTTTAAATCGGGTAATTATAAAGGCACAGCTCTGCAATGTTCTGCTCGTGCCACCGCTGGCGAAAGAGGCTCCTCGAGAAGGGAGCTGTAGCGTTTTTCCCCCGATGGTGTTTTGGCCTACTCTTCCTTTCTTCTCGAGTGCAGCCATTTGATGTGTGTATCATGTGCGTGGGGAACCAGATTGGGCCGGAGGAAAACCCATGCCTCTAAGGGGATAGCACTTGGAGAGTTGATTCAGAACTATGTCAGCAACCTCCTTGCTGTACTGCCATCTTCTGTCCGCCTCGTATGCTTGCAGGTTCGGAGCTGCAAGCGTGCAGGATTTCGCGATGATTGTGGCGATGATGATTGTTTGCTCATGTTTCCCAGGGACCAAGAGGCCTCTTAGGACCCAGAGGACAACCAGGCAATGCAGGACCTCTTGTGAGTTACAGTTGCTTAATAAACACGACATCATAACGATAGCAACAGCGTCATCACCATAGCAACAGCGTCATCACCATAGCAACAGCGTCATCACCATAGCAACAGCATCATCACCATAGCAACAGCGTCATCACCATAGCAACAGCGTAATCACCATAGCAACAGCGTCATCACCTATAGCAACAGCGTCATCACCATAGCAATAGCGTCATCACCATAGCAACAGCGTCATCACCATAGCAACAGCGTCATCACCATAGCAACAGCGTCATCACCATAGCAACAGCGTCATCACCATAGCAACAGCGCATTCGCCATAGCAAGAGTGCCATTGCCGTAGCAACAGTGTCACCATCAAAGCAACAGCAACATCACTATAGCAACAGCACCATCACCAAAGCAACAACATTATTGCTATGAAAGCAGTAGAGTAGTATTGTCGGTTTAGCAATACCACCATCGCCATCATAGCAATAGCATCATCACCGACAGCACCGTCATCATTATAACAGCATCAACACTTTGACAACACCATCATCAACCAATCAACGGCATCATCACCATCGCATTAGCATCATGCATCATCACTCTCGTAATATCGCCATAGCAACGGTATCATCACCATAGCAACACCAGATTTGGTATAGCAATGCTGCTTTTATTTCAACAGTCTTATAACAGTGATAGACACGTCATGTTCACTGCAGCAATAGTGTTACCACGATAATAGAACCCTAATTATAGCAACAGCCTCATCACTATAACAAACGCATCATCATAGCAACAGCATATTCAGAGAAGACTATCAACACGATTGTAGCAACCTAATCGCTATTGCAACTGCATCCCTATGACAAGATGATCATTTTGGCAGCAAGCTCATAACTATAGCAACAGCAACATTATGGCAAGATCACCATAACAACAACCTCATCTCTCAGGCAATCACATCACTGTAGCAAGAGCATCATCACTATAGCAACAGATCCATCGCTATATGGGTAGCGTTACAACTAACATTGGGTGAATATAAACTACTTCGTGTTATTTTCTCAAAGCATTTTGTCCAGCAATGTCGTGGCACTTGGCTGCCTATTTCTATTATCAACGAAATACACATTGGGACACTTTTCCAAACAAATCTATTTTTTTTTTGCCGAACTACTTTTAAACTGAATCGAAATTAATTCAGAAAGTACGGTATTCGAAATGTTTAATATGCCATAAAATATTGGGCAATCCGAAACATTGCGATCGACGTTCAATGTTCTTTATTTTGTAATTTAAAGTTTATACACGTATGCATTAAATTATTTATGCCGGGAATAAAGCTCCGTCCAACATTAATGATGTTAAACTGTAGCACTTAACTAAAGAGCTAAGGTAAATTTTAATTTTCCGCAGTTGAAATGAAAAAGTTACGGTTGGGTGAATTGTGCATTGGAAATTATCCCGTGTGCATCGGTGTATGAAGTAACATGATGAGATGTGTTCAACCCTGACGAGTAGCCTAATGTAACGAGCAGAGTGTGGGGCGTCTTCTCGACAAGATTTAGACGTGTTGTTCACGATGGACAGGGACCTAAACCATGGATATGGAACACACACACACCCCAGTGGACACATGAGCACATGCGTACACACACACACACCTACGTACACACACACCTACGTACACACACACACCTACAACAACAACAACCGCCATTCGCCAGTAAGTGGCGGTGACGTCACCACGACGCTTGTGTCAGGCTATGTGCACCTTGAGGCCACGTGAAGTGTCGAACGCCCGCTGGCAGGAGGTCACGGGGCAGACTCAGGTGCCACGGGTCGACTCATTGAGATGACTGAGATGACTGGCTGATACACCACCTGTGCCCGCTACTCTGACAACTTGCTGTGCTTTAGCCACCCGGCGCTCCGCTCGTTGTTGTGAGCATCGCTCCTCTGCCACACATACAGCCACACACACACACAGTCACACACACACATACACGCAGTCACACACACACACAGTCACACACAAAAACAAAGACACACACATACAGTCACACACACATACACACAGTCACACACACACATACAAACATCGGCTTTTGTCGACAGAAGGACATTCATTTTCCACTCAGAATCTCAGGCAGCCGAGCACATTGGGTCACAAGAAATGACCAGTCAGGCTGCCGTGTTCTTGCTCGCTGTGCTCACGATGATAACTCCACTCGCCCGCTTGTCTGCCTCTCGTTCTTAGGGACCGCCGGGGGCGGATGGTCCATCTGGCCAGAAGGGGAACGTCGTAAGTGAAATGATCCACTCTTGTGTCAGTTGTTTGGGTTGGGGGCGGGGGGAAATAAGAAAACTTTGTTCCGTCGCATTTAGCTTCGGAAAATGTGGCTGCATTGTGCCCGCCGGATGAAAGGCGTGCAACGGTTTGTAAGGGACCCGATTTTATGATTCTTGAAATTGACAACACCTGCAACAAATTCTCCCGGATTGCAAGAAACTAAGTTACTAGGTGAAGCCTCGTTTACAATGATTTTGGTCCTGGGCCTCCCCTAGGTCGACTCAGCCTTAGATGAGTACCTGGTGTGATGTGCATGCATCGCCACAAGGGAGACAAAGGCGGTTGGACGTGGCATTGGCCACCCACCCCTTTGTGTGCTGTTCCGGCTTTCATAGGCGCTCACTCACAGCACTTGCCCCAAAAGTCTGTTAAGGCTACACGGGGGCCTATGTCTTGTGAATAACTAAGACAATTTTATATGTTCGATGGTAGACTAAGATTCAGCCCATAATCATCATCGATCTGGGTTATATACAATTATTACCACTCTTTGGGAAGTTATCAGACGTCATGTTAAAAAGGACTGGCCCTTGGTACATGCACGTGGAACGTCTGGTGTTTTTTTAAACTACCTCCGGGCCAATGATATGAATCATTACCAATGCATGGTCTGTGGACTATTACGCATGAAAAACATGAACAGATAAATGACAGCCCTACGTCAATCCGCTGCTGTTTGAAAGGCCTCACCACGCCGGGCTCTGTGGCCTGGTGAACGAGGGAGGGGCATTGGGCTGATTCAGATATCATTCGCCACTTGTTTCACTCACCGCTGATGTTAGCTATTATACGACCGCTCCACCTCATTATGCAGTGTACATATAAAACAATAACAACAACCCATAGGCACATACTCATTTAAATTATGGCTAAAATGTATTTCAATGTAAAAATGTACCTATGTTGAACTTCTTTTGCACCGGCAGTAGCCAACCATGCTCATGTCCATATGCTATGTTTATTTGTGCTGTGGATGTTTCTTTATTTTGTCCAACACGATCTTCTCGTTGTACTGCTTCCGTGCCATGTCCGCTGCTGTCACGTTTGCCGCATGTTGTTTGACGTGTTTGGGCCTTTAGCCTAGTGCTCAGCAAATGTGTAAAAAAAAAAGGAAACGAAAACGTCACTGGAACAGCAGCCAGTGCAACACCAGCTGTGTCAGAGAGAGAATGCCCCCAAGATGACTGATGACTTCACAGAATTTATATTAAAATCCCTCCAACAGCTTCTTATCAGCATGAAATAAATCATTCGGTGATGATGTTGCTGCTGCTGCAGCATTTCCTGTGGTGCATGAGCACAAATTAACACAAATCTCAACACATTTTTTGTCGATAACACGGTGGCCCTGAAAGGCAAAACATGGATAATAGGAGATGTTTCGGCTAGTCGTCCCTTTTTAGTTGTTGTTGCGATGATGAAGAAGGGCCAAGAAGGGCCATTGCCCGACATATCGCCCATTATAGAGTTTGCCTTGTAAGGTCACACACAGTGTCGTTGATGAACGTGTTGTGTTTGTGTCTTGTCCACGCTAGTTGGTTCACATTGTTACAAACCCTGCAGGGGTTGTTTTCTTATTCTCCTTTGCAATTAAATGGAAAATGGCAATCCGCCAAGCTGGCATACGCCACATTCGCTAGCAGTGTAATTATGGTCGTGATAAATATGGGGCGGGCATTAGCCAACTCGGTTTGCTTCCTTTTCCAGCTTTATTTGATCACAGGTGGCGAAGAGCTCGACATAGACGGTGAAACGATGACCGGATCCCCACACATAATGTCTAGAGCGACAGACTTAACAGGCTTGCCTTTCTGAGAAACTCAGGGAGCTTGTGTGGCAGTGTAATGGTTCGCCCATGGATTTGCAATCCAGAGGTTGCCGGTTCGATTCCATCTTCCGGCACGGCAGTTGAAACAATTGGACCCATTTATTAAATCGGTGCATTCGTGACTAAAGTTCCACTGGAGATGGTGAACGGTTCCTGACTTTCAGAACGGGTAATTGATTCAGAAAATGGTTACCAGTTTACCGGTTACCAGTTTACCGGTTATCATTCAACAAACCGAGTACAACCCGAGTACAAACCTTGGAACTCAGAGGTTCTGGCCAAATTCAGAGGTTCTGTTGAATGCCCCGAGCTACTCAAACAAATGGCAATAATCCCTTCGGGTCATTGGGGAGGATTTAAATAGCAAAAAATGTGTCTTCTACCCATATCCATCTCCACGTATAAACATATATAAATATTTATCATGCAACCCATCAGCCGCATGGCCTTCTTGGAGTGCGGGGATTCAGCAGCATTGTTTCAAGACAAGCAAACTCTGGACCTCACGAAGAGAGTCGGGCTTTTCGATTTAAAGCTTTCGTGACTGCAGGGATTCATCTGCTTGGTTCTTTCAGGAAAGTCACGTAGAATAGAAATAATAAAATAATAAAAATGAAACATAATAAACGTCGTGAGAATTATTTTATTATGTTTTATTTTTATTATTTTATTATTTCCATTCTATGTGACTTTACCGAAAGACCCAAGATTGAGTTATAATGCACACGAGGTGCAGTCAGTGCCGTTTTCTGTCGAGAGGATGGGTTGCCTAGTGTGAGATCTGTCGAGTGGGTGAGCTGTCTGCTGGGTGAGATATCTACTGGGTGAGCTGTGCTCCGCTTGCTTGCCCTGCTCACCCTCCCACTCTCCCCACCTCCCTCAGGGCCTCCAAGGTGAACCTGGTCCTCCCGGCCAGCAGGGAAATCCTGGATCTCAGGTGCGTCGTCATGACAACATCATCATCTCCGTTACTGAGGACGCCTCAACAGAACATGTGTTCCCTTTTCATTGCATAATCTTTTTCTGGCGGTAGTTGCAGCGGCTAAACATCGAAATGCAAAAAAATGACGCCGCAAATTGTTCAATTTGGATCACACAGTGTAACACCAACCCTGACTGCGGCCAATTGGTAGGACCCTCGTGAAAAAGTAGTCAAACAAACTAAAATTTTTTTTTTTTATTTTACCAGTTGCTAATCATGTGGAAATGTACAACAGCTAAAGCATGTTTCTAAAGTTTTGAGATTCAGTGAGGCTTTTCTGGAAGATGTGTCGACAGTGTAGCGAGGCGAACACCTGAATTTATAGAATTATGGCTACTTATTCCCAACACAAGAATGTCATAAAAATAGTGTTGGGACTCAGTGAGTCCTTCCTCCACGTGGCACCGTCGTCACAACACAAGACTTAGAATAGGAAGGTTGTGAATACAGATATTAATGCTTAATCAATCAGCCCATCATCATCCATTAAGTATGAATAAAATATCTACCAGTTTGTGGGACATCAACAGTGGTGATTCTATGGATAGAATGGTCCCTTCCATAGGAATATTGGGATTAATATGATTTGCTCAGGACCACCAATGAAGATGAGTGCCTACCCACGTTTTATTTTAACGTTGATTCCAGTATTATTCTGGTATGAATAATAATAATAATGGAACTTTAGCTGACATGAACATTCGTGAAAGTTTTTAAACGGATTATCGCATGAAGTCCGAAGGCTGATTTTTCGCAAGCTCGTTTAGGATTACAGAATATAAAGCTGTACAGAATCCGGAAGACATTCAAAATGCACACATTTTTCAGGAGGCAATGTATGACTTTTAAAATGCACTCAATTCATTGTTCGCGATGTCCCCGCGCTATCTCTCCATGCAGCTGTGCTCATCGCCCATTGGGTTTTCGGATTTATCCGTCGTCTGTTATTAAAATACGTAATTATTTATTGAACGGGAGCACCGCGCTCGTCTGATGATAATGCCGGGTGAAACAGGTCCTCCTAACAGCCAAGCGTTAAAATGAAAATCGCTCGGCGGAGAAGAGAGAACAGACAATTCCGTCGCTTATTAAAGCGCTTGTGTCACGCACAATGCCTGAAAAAAAAACGTCCAGATGTCACTGTGCTGAGCACAGCAGCAGTAACAATAACGGTAACAAAAGCAGCATCATCATCAAATGAATCAATAAAGACATCGTCATGCACTGCCTGGGCACACCAAGAGGCCCAGCGAGTGTTGCCGTTTTCAAGATAGCATTTTCCTCTTTTCTCGGTTTAATGTGTTTCTCTTATGATTGGATTCTCTTGTCGTTCCACAGATGGTTCAAATGTTACGCAATAGAAGGACCTCTTCTTTTTTTATTGTCGCCTTCCAGCGCTGATCAAATAACTACCATAATATACGTTTTTGGGTTAGATCGCGATATTTATAAATTATGAATAATATTGGTCGCGAAAGCCTATGTGTTAAACAAAATAACTACCACTTTGTGGGAAGTCATTAGTGGCGAGGTTCTTTGTCTAATGCTCGTGGTGTTTCCACTGACCTGACTAAAACACGTCTACTCATAATGCAAAGTAGCAGTCAACATTTAAAAATGTTACTTTTAATACAAATTAGTTCATGAAGCGATGCCTATTTAAACCATTGAATGGTGTGTCCGTTACTCAATAACCACCATTAGGTAACTATTCATGTGCCAATTTAAACCCTGTTAATCAAGAACATGGTGTAAAGTACTGTCATCAAGCCTTACCATGCCCTCTGTCTCGCTGGACTCTCTGTCTGTGTGCTATGAAGCGAGGCCATCGCCCAAAACCTCACACATTATATATTTTATTTTCAAAGGTGCAATACGATTGACGGATGTGTTAGCTTTTCAGTTTTTTGTCTTCAAATGAAGTCTGGTTCCAACATGGCAATGTGGAATTTCCACTACCAGCCCCGCGTCACAAATAAAGACGCGATCTTAATACTCACACCTATGCACATAGACGCAGACACACACGTATAGCATCACACAATAATACATATACAGATACACACAGTATGCAAACAGAATCAGCATATTTATTTATACTGGAGGAATCCAATAAGCTACGTACAAACATACTCGCATACAAACGTATTTGCATACATATGCACACACCCACATCATCATCAGCCATGAGCAATCCACTGCTAGATGAAGACCTCCCAAAGCCGCCACCGCTACCTCTCACAATCCTGCGATTCAACAATCCATCTCAAGCACTTGCACACGAACCGACTTAAACCCACGCACACACACACGCATTTTAATACACTCACACAAAATCACAAAGACGCACACACAAACACACGCACGCATTTTAATACACTCACACAAAATCACAAAGACACACACACAAACACACGCACGCAATTTGATACACTCACACAAAATCACAAAGACAAAAACACACGCACACACGCATTTTAATACACTCACACAAAGTCACAAAGACAAACACACGCATTTTAATACACTCACACAAAATCACAAAGACAAACACACACACACACACGCGCACTCGTGCACAAACACTCACGGAGATTGTTTTCTCGTCTTGTGATCTCTTTTTAAAGGGAACCCCAGGACCTCAGGGATCTATTGGCATCCCGGGAGAGAGGGTAAGGAGAGCACAACACAATTCTTACACACACACGCACACACACGCACACACGCACGCACACGCACACACACGCACACACACGCACACACCGCATACTGCTGGGAAGTAACACGCGACTGTGATCACATCTTTGCACTATCACCCAGGTTTTCAGCCTGTATCGTTACTTAGCGTTGTCGACGTCGATTTACTTTCTTTACTATTAACCTTTTAATAATTTAACAAGAAACAAAGGAGGGCTATTATTATGGTATTGGGGCAGCTTGGGTTTGTGTGAGGATAGTAGCAGCAGCAGCAGCAGTCAGTCCTCGCACAGACCACGACTCACGGCTAGCAGCCACAGCGCAATGCTGGCTTCTCTGAGGTTAGATCGAGAGAGACAAATGCTTGATCATTTAAACTTAAGAGTAACGAAATGTCAAGTAAAGTTATCAATGACGGGAACATGGCAGTTACTTGTATCTGACCAGGTGACTCGCTGGCAGAGCGAGGGTCTCACAGTCGGAAGGTTGTGAGTTCAAATCCTGGTTTGGGGTTGACTCGGCCCATCATCCCTTTCTGGGTTGATTAAATAAGCACTGCTTTGTGGGGGTGTCAAAAATTAGTTGTCCTATGGATAGACTTACCGCCGCCATGTGAATGTGGAATTCCCACCATTGGCCACTTGGCTGTAAGCAGCATTGCTCATTTGAGCAGGAGATCACTTTGACTTCTTGAACCACGAATAATTAAGTCATTGGATACCTGCTACTTTTTAAAATCATCCAGCCACCAGTATGGGTACACGTGTCTGTGTGTGTTGGTCCGTGCCACTGGCCACCCGCCCCCTCGTGTGCCGTGCCATACTTCATAGGTGGTCGCGAACAGCACTTGCCCCAAAAGTCTGTTAAGGCTATACTGGTGGGGATATTTTTCTGTGTGTGTCGAAAGGGATAAGGATTTGCATGCATTCAAAGCTGAAATGCAAATATAATCTTAAAGCGCTTTACAAGAAAATGAGAAAACACAAAAACACCAACAAAATAACGATAATGCCGGATAATGACACAACTTAGAACCTGCTCACTCGCTCACATAATGAACACCACTGGCACCAAAGGTCAGAACCAACGAAATGCAATGAAACGTTCCAATGTCACAGGGATGAGATGAAATCCCAGTCCAGCGTAACCTCCTATTCTCCAAAAACCACACCGGCCAATGCCAACCGCCTCTTACCACACCAACAGCCCCAACAGCCCCAACCTCCTCCTCCACCACCAGTAGCGAGCAGAAGAAGAAGGGAACACAGACAGAGGGGGCACCCTGGGAGAGGCCCTGCTGCTCACAGCCACGAGGCAGCTCAGACTGGCACCCGGAAATATGGTTGCCACCTGTTCTGAAGTTCCCAGGAAGTCATTTTAGTGAGTTAGCTGGTCAACAATGCCTTCCCAGAATATAACATTTCATTCCCCCCCCCCATCTCCATTTGCATAATAATGTTAATAGCAATAGACCACTCAAGACCACGTAGATGCACGTGGTTCTCCCCTCCTCCGGTATTGTGAGATTTAAGGTTTCCCCGCTCGGTTGGTGCGATGTCACGTGGTGTATGCGGCTAACCTATTTGCGTGTAAGTGGATGTGCCTTCTGTATGTGTATATAAGTACGAGCGTGCGTGTGTGTGTGGTGTGTGGCTGTGTGCGTGTGTGTGTGGTGTGTGGCTGTGTGCGTGTGTGTGTGGTGTGTGGCTGTGTGCGTGTGTGTGTGGTGTGTGGCTGTGTGCGTGTGTGTGTGGTGTGTGGCTGTGTGCGTGTGTGTGTGGTGTGTGGCTGTGTGCGTGTGTGTGTGGTGTGTGGCTGTGTGCGTGTGTGTGTGGTGTGTGGCTGTGTGCGTGTGTGGTGGTGTGGCTGTGCGCGTGTGTGTGTGGTGTGTGGCTGTGTGTCGTGTTGTGGTGTGTGGCTGTGTGCGTGTGTGTGTGTGGTGCTGTGTGCGTGTGTTGTGGTTGTGGTGTGTGCGTGTGTGTGTGGTTGTGGCGTGTGTTGTGCGTGTGTGTGTGGTGTGTGGCTGTGTGCGTGTGTGTGTGGTGTGTGGCTGTGTGCGTGTGTGTGTGGTGTGTGGCTGTGTGCGTGTGTGTGTGGTGTGTGGCTGTGTGCGTGTGTGCGTGTGTGGTGTGTGGCTGTGTGCGTGTGTGTGGTGTGTGGCTGTGTGCGTGTGTGTGTGTGTGTGGCTGTGTGCGTGTGTGTGTGGTGTGTGGCTGTGTGCGTGTGTGTGTGGTGTGTGGCTGTGTGCGTGTGTGTGTGTGTGTGGCTGTGTGCGTGTGTGTGTGGTGTGTGGCTGTGTGGCGTGTGTGTGGGTGTGTGGCTGTGTGCGTTGTGTGTGTGTTGGCTGTGTGCGTGTGTGTGTGGTGTGTGGCTTGTGTGCGTGTGTGTGTGGTGTGTGGCTGTGTGCGTGTGTGTGTGGTGTGTGGCTGTGTGCGTGTGTGTGTGGTGTGTGGCTGTGTGCGTGTGTGTGTGGTGTGTGCTGTGTGCGTGTGTGTGTGGTGTGTGGTGTGCGTGTGTGTGTGGTGTGTGGCTGTGTGCGTGTGTGTGTGTGTGCTGTGCGTGTCGTGTGGCTGTGTGCGTGTGGGTGTGTGTGGCTGTGTGCGTGTGTGTGTGGTGTGTGGCTGTGTCGTGTGTGTGTGGTGTGGCTGTGTGCGTGTGTGTGTGGTGTGTGGCTGTGTGCGTGTGTGTGTGGTGTGGCTGTGCGTGTGTGTGTGGCTGTGTGCGTGTGTGTGTGGGTGTGTGGCTGTGTGCGTGTGTGTGTGGTGTGTGGCTGTGTGCGTGTGTGTGTGGTGTGTGGCTGTGCGTGTGTGTGTGGTGTGTGGCTGTGTGCGTGTGTGTGTGTGTGTGGCTGTGTGCGTGTGTGTGTGGTGTGTGCTGTGTGCGTGTGTGTGTGTGGGCTGTGTGCGTGTGTGGTGTGTGTGGCTGTGTGCGTGTGTGTGTGGTGTGTGGCTGTGTGCGTGTGTGTGGTGTGTGTGGCTGTGTGCGTGTGTGTGGGTGTGTGGCTGTGTGCGTGTGTGTGTGGTGTGTGGCTGTGTGCGTGTGGTGTGGTGTGTGGCTGTGTGCGTGTGTGTGTGGTGTGTGGCTGTGTGCGTGTGTGTGTGGTGTGGGCTGTGTGCGTGTGTGTGTGGTGTGGCTGTGTGCGTGTGTGTGTGGTGTGTGGCTGTGTGCGTGTGTGTGTGGTGTGGTGTGCGTGTGTGTGGTGTGTGGCTGTGTGCGTGTGTGTGGTGTGTGGCTGTGCGTGTGTGGTGTGTGGCTGTGTGCGTGTGTGTGTGGTGTGTGGCTGTGTGCGTGTGTGTGTGGTGTGTGGCTGTGTGCGTGTGTGTGTGGTGTGTGGCTGTGTGCGTGTGTGTGTGGTGTGTGGCTGTGTGCGTGTGTGTGTGGTGTGTGGCTGTGTGCGTGTGTGTGTGGTGTGTGGCTGTGTGCGTGTGTGTGTGGTGTGTGGCTGTGGCGTGTGTGTGGTGTGTGGCTGTGTGCGTGTGTGTGTGGTGTGTGGCTGTGTGCGTGTGTGTGTGGTGTGTGGCTGTGCGTGTGTGTGTGTGGCTGTGTGCGTGTGTGTGTGGTGTGTGGCTGTGTGCGTGTGTGTGTGGTGTGTGGCTGTGTGCGTGTGTGTGTGGTGTGTGGCTGTGTGCGTGTGTGTGTGGTGTGTGGCTGTGTGCGTGTGTGTGCTGTGTGCTGTGTGTGTGGTGTGTGGCTGTGTGCGTGTGTGTGTGGTGTGTGGTGTGCGTGTGTGTGTGGTGTGTGGCTGTGTGCGTGTGTGTGTGGTGTGTGGCTGTGCGTGTGTGTGTGGCTGTGTGCGTGTGTGTGTGGTGTGTGGCTGTGTGCGTGTGTGTGTGGTGTGTGGCTGTGTGCGTGTGTGTGTGGTGTGTGGCTGTGTGCGTGTGTGTGTGGTGTGTGGCTGTGTGCGTGTGTGTGTGGTGTGTGGCTGTGTGCGTGTGTGTGTGGTGTGTGGCTGTGTGCGTGTGTGTGTGTGGTGTGTGTGCGTGTGTGTGTGGTGTGTGCTGTGTGCGTGGTGTGGCTGTGTGCGGTGGTGTGTGTGTGGCTGTGTGCGTGTGTGTGTGGTGTGTGGCTGTGTGCGTGTGTGTGTGGTGTGTGGCTGTGTGCGTGTGTGTGGTGGTGTGGCTGTGTGCGTGTGTGTGTGGTGTGTGGCTGTGTGCGTGTGTGTGTGGTGTGTGGCTGTGTGCGTGTGTGTGGTGTGTGGCTGTGTGCGTGTGTGGTGGTGTGTGGTGTGTGGCTGTGTGCGTGTGTGTGTGGTGTGTGGCTGTGTGCGTGTGTGTGTGTGTGGCTGTGTGCGTGTGTGTGTGGTGTGTGGCTGTGTGCGTGTGTGTGTGGTGTGTGGCTGTGTGCGTGTGTGTGTGGTGTGTGGCTGTGTGCGTGTGTTGTGGTGTGTGGCTGTGTGCGTGTGTGTGTGGTGTGTGGCTGTGTGCGTGTGTGTGTGGTGTGTGGCTGTGTGCGTGTGTGTGTGGTGTGTGGTGTGCGTGTGTGTGTGGTGTGTGGCTGTGTGCGTGTGTGTGTGGTGTGTGGCTGTGCGTGTGTGTGTGGCTGTGTGCGTGTGTGTGTGTGGTGTGTGGCTGTGTGCGTGTGTGTGTGGTGTGTGGCTGTGTGCGTGTGTGTGTGGTGTGTGGCTGTGTGCGTGTGTGTGTGGTGTGTGGCTGTGTGCGTGTGTGTGGTGTGTGGCTGTGTGCGTGTGTGTGTGGTGTGTGGCTGTGTGCGTGTGTGTGTGGTGTGTGGCTGTGTGCGTGTGTGTGTGGTGTGTGGCTGTGTGCGTGTGTGTGTGGTGTGTGGCTGTGTGCGTGTGTGTGTGGTGGTGTGTGGTGGTGTGTGGCTGTGTGCGTGTGTGTGTGGTGTGTGGCTGTGTGCGTGTGTGTGTGGTGTGTGGCTGTGTGCGTGTGTGTGTGGTGTGTGGCTGTGTGCGTGTGTGTGTGGTGTGTGGCTGTGTGCGTGTGTGTGTGGTGTGTGGCTGTGTGCGTGTGTGTGTGGTGTGTGGCTGTGTGCGTGTGTGTGTGGGTGTGTGGCTGTGTGCGTGTGTGTGTGGTGTGTGGCTGTGTGCGTGTGTGTGTGGTGTGTGGTGTGCGTGTGTGTGTGGTGTGTGGCTGTGTGCGTGTGTGTGTGGTGTGTGGCTGTGTGCGTGTGTGTGGTGTGTGTGGCTGTGTGTGGTGTGTGGCTGTGTGGTGTGTGTGGTGTGTGGCTGTGTGCGTGTGTGTGTGGTGTGTGGCTGTGTGCGTGTGTGTGTGGTGTGTGGCTGTGTGCGTGTGTGTGTGGTGTGTGGCTGTGTGCGTGTGTGTGTGGTGTGTGGCTGTGTGCGTGTGTGTGTGGTGTGTGGCTGTGTGCGTGTGTGTGTGGTGTGTGGCTGTGTGCGTGTGTGTGTGGTGTGTGGCTGTGTGCGTGTGTGTGTGGTGTGTGGCTGTGTGCGTGTGTGTGTGGTGTGTGGCTGTGTGCGTGTGTGTGGTGGTGTGTGGCTGTGTGCGTGTGTGTGTGGTGGTGGCTGTGTGCGTGTGTGTGTGGTGTGTGGCTGTGTGCGTGTGTGTGTGGTGTGTGGCTGTGTGCGTGTGTGTGTGGTGTGTGCGTGTGTGCGTGGTGTGTTGTGGTGTGTGGCTGTGTGCGTGTGTGTGTGGTGTGTGGTGTGCGTGTGTGTGTGTGTGGCTGTGGCGTGTGTGTGTGGTGTGTGGCTGTGTGCCGTGTGTGTGTGGTGTGTGGCTGTGTGCGTGTGTGTGTGGTGTGTGGGCTGTGTGCGTGTGTGTGTGTGGTGTGTGCTGTGTGCGTGTGTGTGTGGTGGTGTGTGCGTGTGTGCGTGTGGTGTGGTGTGTGGCTGTGTGCGTGTGTGTGTGGTGTGTGGCTGTGTGCGTGTGTGTGTGGTGTGTGGCTGTGTGCGTGTGTGTGTGGTGTGTGGCTGTGTGCGTGTGTGTGTGGTGTGTGGCTGTGTGCGTGTGTGTGTGGTGTGTGGCTGTGTGCGTGTGTGTGTGGTGTGCTGTGTGTGTGTGTGTGGCTGTGTGCGTGTGTGTGTGGTGTGCGTGTGTGTGTGGTGTGTGGCTGTGTGCGTGTGTGTGTGGTGTGTGGCTGTGTGCGTGTGTGTGTGGTGTGTGGCTGTGTGCGTGTGTGTGTGGTGTGTGGCTGTGTGCGTGTGTGTGTGGTGTGTGGCTGTGTGCGTGTGTGTGTGGTGTGTGGCTGTGTGCGTGTGTGTGTGGTGTGTGGCTGTGTGCGTGTGTGTGTGGTGTGTGGCTGTGTGCGTGTGTGTGTGGTGTGTGGCTGTGTGCGTGTGTGTGTGGTGTGTGGCTGTGTGCGTGTGTGTGTGGTGTGCGTGTGTGTGGTGTGTGGCTGTGTGCGTGTGTGTGCTGGTGTGCGTGTGTGTGTGGTGTGTGGCTGTGTGCGTGTGTGTGTGGTGTGTGTGGTGTGTGGTGTGTGGCTGTGTGCGTGTGTGTGTGGTGTGCGTGTGTGTGTGGTGTGTGGCTGTGTGCGTGTGTGTGTGGTGTGTGGCTGTGTGCGTGTGTGTGTGGTGTGCGTGTGTGTGTGGTGTGTGGCTGTGTGCGTGTGTGTGTGGTGTGCGTGTGTGGTGGTGTGCGTGTGTGTGTGGTGTGTGGCTGTGTGCGTGTGTGTGTGGTGTGCGTGTGTGTGTGGTGTGCGTGTGTGTGTGGTGTGTGGCTGTGTGCGTGTGTGTGTGTGCGTGTGTGTGTGGTGTGCGTGTGTGTGTGGTGTGTGGCTGTGTGCGTGTGTGTGTGGTGTGCGTGTGTGTGTGGTGTGCGTGTGTGTGTGGTGTGTGGCTGTGTGCGTGTGTGTGTGGTGTGCGTGTGTGTGTGGTGTGCGTGTGTGTGTGGTGTGTGGCTGTGTGCGTGTGCAGGGTCCCTTAGGGAAACCAGGACTCCCAGGACTCTCCGGATCTGATGGTCCCCCGGTGAGTACGGCGGCGACAACATAATATTAAACACCTCCAGACAGGTACTAACACGAGCGGGAATCCCATTGAGAATCGGTGGTAATACATTGCATTACTTTCATGGAGGGGGGTTTGCCAAAATATAGCGGGTTCTTAATGAAGAGTAATTTTGTGTAGAAGAAGTGTTCCACAACCAATTGACACCCCGGCCCCCCACCTCACCCAGTGCCCCCCCCCCCCTCCTCCTCAGACGTCCTCAACCCCCCTGCCCATACCCCCCCCCCCCCCCCCCCCACTGTGTGCCCCTCAAACCCCCCACCGGCTTAACCCCCCCTTTTTGCACAAACCCTCTTGCAATGGAACATGCCTCTCCATTGTGCCTATCCACTGTGGCTATCCATGGTATGATTTTGAAATCACAAGCAGAGACAGTGTAAATGATAACGTGGATAAGCAGCACCAGGGCCAATAAGCCAAACGAGCCAATCGTATGCTACAAAGTTAAAATAATTTCGACCTCGCTTTCATAAACTACGTATCCTAAGATTGAAATGCCTCCTCGTTCGTTGAAATTAGTGGAGTGCTCTAGGAGGAGTTCTCTGCAAGTGCAAGCATTCAGTCGTACAGACGGACAGGTTATTATGGCACTGTGCTCAGAACACTTAAGTATGTTGAACTTATTTCACACCATATGTAGCCAACCGTGCTAATCGAAGATGCGGGAGAAAGACAACAAACGAAACCCAAAAACAGTTCTAAAGAAACGATTTTTCAATCTAGATGATGATTTGAATGTGCGTAGCTCCAGTGGCTTCCTAATATCGGAAGGAAGAGCGTTCCAGACGGCCGCAGAAGCGCATTTGAAAGTCCGCAATGCAGTGACCGTCTTTGTTTGATAGTTAGCCAAAAGCAGCTGCTGTGAAGGTGACCGGAGTTTGCATGATGGTTTATACTCCTTTACGAGATCAGCAAGGTATTGTGGTTCATTTGTGGACAAGCACTTTGTGTGTCACGAGTCGCTCACTCGCGACGAGAGAGAATGACTCGGAGGCACGAGGAATCACAGATGACCAATGATCACGACAGCTCTGCAGCCCTATATGTATGAAGATGTTTTCAGTCCATTAATGAGTGTTTGGAGGAAACCGGAGAACCACCTACGCATACGAGAGGGCAGCATCCAATCCCATACAGATGAAACACACATGGAGATGAATCCACTTGCTGTACTGAAATCTCCCTGGCAAGCCAGGGCATGACACTTCAATGTCCACATGAAGGGAGTTAGACAACATTCGTGCAATCCACCAACCCTTCGCTGCCTCCACAGAACAAGATTATAGCCACTAGCGCCCGGCACGTAGCGATGACAGGCAGCTACATGAACGGACGTGCAAAATGGGTACGAAGGCAACAACGTAGAAAAAAACAAGGCAGATGGTGAGACGCAAATGTACTTGCACGGACAAATATGTGCCTGTTTTTCCGGCCAACACATTCTCGATGATAACAGCATCCAACTGTGAAGATTGGAAGAGCCTTGAATGTAATTCCGGAAGCAATCTAAAGCAGTTACATTCATAACGTCTGAACAGCACGCCACCACACGCACCGTTTCGTCATTTTGTTTTATTTATATGGAAAAAAAAAGACTTCACGTATTTTTAAATCAAATGTGCAAATGAAACACTTCTCCACACACGTGCACGTTTCTGCCAAATTGGACGTCGCTCCATTATCCTCGGGCAAATGTGATTTTTTTTGTCTCACGAAAGGAACAACGGTTTGAGAGTTATACACCGTGTGGAGAAAATAAACTGCACTGTATGACTGAGAACACCCAGTAGCGAAATACACCGTATTGTGACACTGTGGTGTGACACACCCTGTAGTGTGACACACCCTGTAGTGTGACACACCCTGCAGTAGTGACACACCCTGTAGTGTGACACACCCTGCAGTGTGACACACCCTGTAGTGTGACACACTGTGACGAGTGACAAGCAGCGCCACCCTAGCGCCGGGTGAGAGAGCCCACATTGAAGTGACTCGGCAGTAGCTCTGTGGCGTCAACTTCCCTGACACGACGGGAGACTCCGCCGGACTGGAGGGAGCTCCACTCAGAAGTTCACGTTTCCTGCTTCACCTCGTGACGTGACTCGGGAAGCAGTTGGAAGCTGGACGTAATCACTCCTTATATAAGCACAGTTCTGATGTGAGCAACGTTTGCTTAGATTGCACTGGTGGGGGGGCAAAGCGACTCGCAACTTCTGATTAGAGAAAATTACTTCGGATATAAGGACAGCTGGCCTTGCTCACAAGTGATGTGATATTGTATGGACTATTGTATAGGCTCTGTATGTCTATTAACTGTTCATTTGTAAAAAACAAACGTTCCCATCCAAATTTTTTTAATCAGAGCCACAAAAGTAACCCATTAAAAAAAATATCACTTTGGAATCACTATGTGTGTATGTTGAACTTCTTTCGCACCGTACGCAGACAACCGTGCAATTTGGAGTCGGGAATGAGGGTTAGGTATCGGGTTGGGATTCAAAGGATATTGCGTACTGTAGATATTACACTGGTCAACAAAAAAAAAACATTTTTTTCTGGCCTGGACTTTTGCAGCTATTTTAGACTAATTTCAGGGTGCTGATTCCAAATCTGATCTCGGATTTGCATTATCACATCTCACTTTTATGCTATCGGAATACCCCATTTTCTTTGATTATACCCGAAATTAATTCTGTCACTTATGATTGCAAGTTGTTGCGAGTCAGTGACTGCTTTAGTGTTAAAATATGGTGCTGTATTTTTAGGATAGTGTGTTTGTAATATCATTTTATGTAGATATCCACATTTATTTCATATTTTTCTTCTGCAGTTTTTATTGAAAATGCAATATTTGATATCTCAAAAACCTGATGTGATAGACAAAAACTGATGCCAGATTAGGAATCAGCACCCCAAAATTACATTAAAAACCGTTGGAATACCTTATGCCAGAAAAAGTGTGTTGACCAGTGTTATTTTTGATGGCCGGGTGGTGGTGCTGGCTATGCACGTGGCCTGCAATCCAGCACTGCGAATGCGAGGGTTGGTGAATCCCTTCCCGTAGGCGTCGAGGTGCCACACGCTGGCTCGCCAGGAGAATGCGGTCCAGCAAGTGTGGACTAATCTACATCTGTTCCATCTGTATGGGATACAGCGTTGCCCGCTCCCATGTGTGGCTTTTCTCCAGGCACAACAGTGTTAGGGTTAGGATTTGGGTTTTGGTGGACTGCAGGGATTCATCTTCTTGGTTCTTTCGGTAAAGTCACGTAGAAGGGAAGATAATAAAATAATAAAAATAAAACATAATAAAATAATACAATTCTCACGACGTTTCGGCCACAACGCAAGCAGTCGTCCTCAGGTGAAGAACAGGTCTGTCGGAAAGACAGCGTCTGAATGAACGCCACCAAGCAGTTTAGGGTCAGAGTTAAGATTGTGAAACGGGTCAGGACTATGTTCGGGTAAGTTATGGCTTCGTCAAAATCATCATCTCATTGTTCATCCGAGTCCAGAAAAGAGCATTCACTGTTTGCAAATCCACGAGCATGTGCTGCTCAGCGCAACATCCCTCCCTTTGCATTAAATACAATCCCAGGCAGGGAGCTGCCACTCGCAAATTGGGACAATGATTGCCTGGCCTTGTGCTTTCGTTCCTGCGAGGAACATTTCTCCCCCCCGCCCTCCGCCCACAGTTAAACGGATTCCACCATGCAGTGCAAATGTGTCGCAGCGACCCGTGGCATGTACAACTGTGTGGCTCCGTGCTTACAGCCAGGGCGGTCAAAGCATCCGTCGCTGACCGCCCTGGAAATGTTCCCCCTGCCTCATGCAGAAGAAGGTTCCAGAACGGGCATCGGTTTTTTTTGTCGCTAATCAATAGCGGGGACCCCCCCCCCCCAACTTGTGGCATTCTGTCCCGGGTCTCTGGCCATGGCCTACAGCCAAACTCTGAGTGGGCCTGGCCCTCTGGGCCTAGGGTTCGTGGTTCGATTCCCATTCGGGGAGGCACGTACGTAGGGTGCACACGTACGCGCACGTATTGATGTCAGAATCAGAATATTAATTTATACTGGAGGAATACGATGAGCTCTTTTTCACAGATGTCTGAACGTCGCAACAACACACAGTACGCAAACACGATAGGAGTGCAAAGTATAGGAAAGGTAGACATCACTTTTATATGAATAAAACGAACTTATGTTTTATCTTACCAGGTAAAGCCCACTGAGGTTGTAACATATTTTTTTAAGAAACGACCTGGCCTCAAATGGTAGCTGTATACAAACACAAACTACCTACTAAAATATACGAATGCTAATTAGGATGATCGTTAAGTGGTAGTTCCAGGAGACATTGGAACAAACACAGCGACACAGGTGAACTGTAAAACTAAAAACTCTATCTTCTTAATAGGATTTGTCTGTATGTGTGTATTTACATATGGATATACGTGTTGGCACTCAGGTGTTAAGTCATTTGCATGTGCCTGCGTCTTTGTGCCTGTGTGTGTGTCTGGTCTGTAGGGTCACCCAGGCAAAGAAGGTCAACCAGGAGAGAAAGGGGGAGCCGTGAGTACCTCTTGCAGACATCTCTAGTACAAGAGGCTCATAGTGGCCTTGTTAAAGTCCCTGAGCCGGCAGTGTCGAGATCAGATGCAATGCTCTCAGCCTTGACCAGACCACCAACTCAAGTTCTGAATGGTCTGTGCAAAGGCTGATAGGATTGTACATGCAATGTGGTGGTCACATGACAGACACGCATGCAAGGCATGATGGGGAGTCGGGCCTTCCTGCTGTTTGTGAGCAGCACACCTTATCGCGCTGTTAAATCCATTTGTTTCCAGCCCGCGTGCGTTGCCTCGCTGTGATGGGATTCCCCACGATTTACAGAAAGCGTTGGAATAGATTTGGGCTGTGAGATCCTGGACTTGATCCCTGCGTTTCACCCAGGGGCGCACCCGAAAATGTAGACACGGTCTAAGATACAACCACGACATTTTTTGACGCGTCGTGGCATTTTTGAGTCTGTGTTTTGTTGGCCCCCTTTGAACGAGGCGCTGGTTATGCCGATGGCAGAACCTTAGCGCTGCACAGGAGTGCACAGCAGTCGGCTGAGCACCGAGTTGGTAGCCAGGGGTGGTGTAGATTTCACGCAGTCGTCGTAGTGCAGGAGAAGCCCCGCTTATCCGTGGCGTAGTCGGGGAGACGGCTGAACTTCACTGACCCCCGTAATCTACCCAGCAACCACCGGGGACCATTCGTGAGCAGTGCCCCCCACAATATCCACAGTACGACATTTTCGTGCTCATTTCTGAGATCTAAAAAAATATACGTGTACAAAAATACCGGACACGTGACGAGCCGGGGAAAAAACACTCCTCACAGAGGCTGAAAGCAGCGCCCACTACCGGTTGGCGAGAGAGATCCGCTCAAGTGACTCCTCAGAAGTAGTTCAATGGCGTCAACTTCCAGGGCCGTTCCCCAATACGACGCGAGGCCCCCGCCGACAGACGGAGTTCCTACGCGGTTACGTTTCTTCGCCATCTTCACTTGTGCTCGGCAGCGCACGATGCGGAGACGCAGTCGGTAATCGAGGCTGTCCCCCGCTTTGACGACGTCAGAGTGCGTTCCTGGAAAGCCCCGTCTTTCCGTAAATCGCACCCCTGTTCTCCCACAAGCAGTGGAAACTGTATAAGACCATCACTCATCGATTTGTGTTTTTTTCCTTTTATCGGCCGTACTTAACGGGGTCTAATCATCGTTATCATGGGACCTCCTTTGCCAGTACCAAAATATGAGAATAGGTTTTCCCCTTTTTTTGGCAACAAACAAGGTGTTAAGATGTTAAAACACCAAACTGAAACCTTTTACAATGAATCATGTCTGCATTAACCACAATATTTGTGGTCAGAATGCAAACACAAGGCGTACTCTGGTATATATGCATCGGCTTTGAAACTGATTGGTCTAATCAGTAAAAGTCCGATCGTAGTAAATCGGACACCGACTGTGCATTAAAAAAAACTGCAAGAAAGAGTCTCACGGTCCGTAGTTTTGGATGGTCCTGCTTTTGATTGATCTGTTGCAGTGCCCTGAATACGATGCTCGGATCCATAATGGGAACACTTAAAACTCCACGCAACTTGTACAGCATCCTACTTGCTGTCCTGCTTCCTCATACAGAATTCATCGCCTCTCTGCAAGTGGCAGTGACTTGGTGTGGGGTGGCCTGGGATCCAGCAGTGGATTACAAAGGACTTAAATTTATTTTTATTATTATTATGTTTAATTAACACTGAGGCGATGTGATTGTTGTGTCTCTCTTCAAGGGTCCTGCGGGAGCTCAGGGTCCCGTTGGATACCCAGGTCCTCGAGGTGTCAAGGTGAGCTCGGTTCGTTATCGATGATGCGTCGTCTTGGCTGCCACGAGCAGTCAGAGGACATCTCCGCATTCGCGTTTGCGGGTCCAGCTGTTCTACAGCTCTCTGTCTAGCTACTGCGTCGCTGGGCGCGATGTTTCAACGTTTCGCTCCGCACGCTGGGACATTCCGTTGACCTCCTAGTGAAGCTCCCCGAAGGCGTGCAGCGAAACGTCGGACATCATCTTGCGAGCCGCAACCCGGAAAGCGTTTCGTAGATCTCGCAGTCGGAACGAGTTTAAATCCCGTTCAACACATCATCATCAATAATGATTGTCTTCATTGTCATCATCATCGTCAGCATCATCGCCTTCAACCCTCCGGAGTCATTAAAATAACCACGACTTTGTTTGAGGTCAGATAAACTGAAGGAAGCTGTTAATTGTTTCATTATGTCGGCGTTCAGAGCCAGTATGATTAAATATTAGTATCTTTTCGGTTGATCGTGTAAGCATTGTAATGTTTTTACTCTAATCCTCCACCACCTGACAGAGCCAATCGAATTTAATTGATCAAATTTAATTGATTGGCAACAATTGATTGACAATTTTGCAATTTGACCTTCAACTCGAAATTACATCCACCACCATCAGGACATTATAGCCACGCGATTTACCCCCAAAGCGAACGACTCATGAGTTCGCAGGAAAACTTAATTCACGCACACGTGGAGAGTGCAGTGACGCTTGAAGGGAGAACTGAATGCCGCGGTTGGATCGTGCGACGGGGAGATTGGCCCCGGCCATAGTAACACGGAATTTAAGCCACTACCTTCGGGCAACCAACAGGGATCAGCAAAGCCTCGCGTTCGTTTGAGCAGAGACAACGCTGATATGTTTCATTCGATAAAAAAACTTTTGTCCCGCTTTAACAAAAATATATCTATTTAATTGCATCCAATTTAACGCTACCTTTTGAAGTATAAACTTATTCCGACAATATTGACTTCACCAGAGCCAGGCAGCAGCAGCAGTATAGTGATCCTTTGATGATTATTGAGTCATTAGCTCATGATTAGATGCACAAACAGATGTAGTTAAGTGGCACGGGATGGCTCATTTTAATGAGAGATTTCATACGGCGACACGTACGTACACCCGAATTTGAAACCAATGAGCCGCACGCAAATATAACGACAGGGATATCTCTCTCTCTCTCACTCTTTCTCTCTCTTGAGACCAGATTCGCCTTTGGCAGTGAATGCTGTTCGTGAGCTGTCTCTCATTGTCCCTCTGTACAATTATACGACGCGGATTCATGCGGCGTCTAAATTATGGCCACATCCCCAAGATACCGCTCAGTGACACTGAACTCATTTATTCTGACAGAGCCAAAAGATGGTCGGTTGGTCACTAAGGCCGCCATAGGGAACACTCGCCCGACCAGCTACGTCACCGTAGCAGCGCTGGCTTGTCCTGGCAATACTTATTGTAGCGGGCACGAATTTCAGGCACGTATTTCACGTCGGGCGCCACGGTGGCGAGATGTTCACTACCTCGCCTGGTATACAGGAGGTCGTGGGTTAGATCCGGAGCCTGACACCTGCTGTATATTTAGAGTTTGTATGTTCTCCCCGTGGTCGTGTGGATTTTTCTCTGGGGCTTGACGGTTTTTCCCTCCGCATTTACAAACACGCGTTGAGAATATTCGGCTGCTATACATTTCCACGTGATAAGCCACTTAGTTGAGCTATGATTTGTGATAGCCAGGTCGGTTCTGAAAAAGAGCTACATATCTCAGTGGGCCTTACCTGGTAAAATAAGCAATAGTTTAAATAGTATAGTGTCATTTTGTTTAGAGCTGAGTCAACCGAGTTGAGGGTGAAGCCACATTCATCCACCACGCGCGACGCCTGGTGATGATGATGAACACCATGGGACGGAATTAAACCTAGACGTCCACAATTGTGGGTGCACGTTCTTCTTGGTTCTTTCAGTAAAGTCACGTAGAAGGGAAATAATAAAATAATAAAAATAAAACATAATAAAATCAAATTCTCACGACGTTTCGGCCACAATGCAAGCAGCCGTCCTCAGGTGAAGAACAGGGCTGTCGGAAAGTCCTCAGGTGAAGAACAGGGCTGTCGGAAAGACAGCCCTGTTCTTCACCTGAGGACGGCTGCTTGCGTTGTGGCCGAAACGTCGTGAGAATTAGATTTTATTATGTTATATTTTTATTATTTTATTACTTCCCTTCTACGTGACTTTTTCGAAAGAACCAAGAAGATGAATCCCTGCAGTCACGAAAGCATTAAATCGAAATTGGTGGGTGCGCTGTTGTGAAGCACCACCAACCAACCACCACACCACGTTCGGCAATCAGACTGTGTGGCTTTGCAAGGAAATCAATATTAAACAGTTGATGATTCAGACAATGCAACTTATTCACAGCACTTACACAGACATACCGGCGAGATGGAGTGCATACTAAGAGTTGGAGACTGCACTTAACGCCACGGGGCCTGATAAGTGTTTTATATTTAAACAAAAATCCTGATGAAACAGTTAATAAATTGGCCTATAAATAGTTACATATTGGCGTATGAATAATTAAAGTTCATGCCAACTGAGAATACACGATTTGGGTTTCTCGGGACCCAATCGCACAGCTGGAATCTTGACATGATACCGATTCTGGATTTACTTGATCCCGTCCACGACTTCATGGATCCAGTCGCTCGATTTGCACACAGTCGAGTTCATTTGCATTTGAAAAAAAAATGTAATCTGATTTTATTTTTTGCGGAACAATGTGTCACCTCTATAAATTGTCACGCAGTGATGTATTCATACCGTAGCCCATTATATAGAATCACATGGATTGTATATAATTGATGACACTTTAAATTGTCGAGATTTAGACTGCTGTAGATGATATAGATTCACACCGCAATGGATCAGACCACTATACATTATATAGATTCACACTGCTGTAGATTCTACAGATTTAGAGGACTGGATTTTATAGATTCACACCACTATACATTTTAGATATGCATACTTATGTAGATTATATACATTCAGACCTCTATGGATTGTGTAGATGTACATTGCTGTTAATTCTATAGATTCACACTCACGCTGAAAGTTTGATGTCCCACCGCCATATTCTTCTCTCGCATCGTACGTCAACAAGCGTGCTAACCGGAGATTCACACCGATTCTACTTATACAAGACTGTCAATTACATGTATACATATTTTGGTTCTTTCGGTAAAGTCACGCAGACGGGAAATAATAAATAGATGGACTCGTCCATCTGACCAAATCGCTGTCCGTGGTGCTGACGTTAGGAAAACATTGCCACTTTTTTCAAAATTTCTTGCTGTGGATTTCAAACCTGATGATGATTGCTTGTGTTGCAGTCGAAACGTCGTGAGAATTGTATTGTTTTATATAAAAATTATTTTATTATTTTATTATTTCCCTTCTACGTGACTTTACCGAAAGAACCAAGAATATGAATCCCTGTAGTCACGAAAGCTTTAAATCAAAATTTACATGTATACAGTTTATTTTTACTGTAAACATTTAATATCAGCTCTGCCAATTAGGATGCTACCCAATGTCAATTTGGTCGCATTCCGATTGATGCTCAGTCAATCACACTTTCCAGTCCGATTCCAATGTGTTGAAAATATTGTATCGGATATGGTTTGGAACCACTGACCAAGAGTAAGTGTAAATCCCCAATATATACACATACAAAACAAGAGATATGGCCGTATAACCATGAACAGACTGTTGGGGCCACTGCTTTTAGCGAGCAGCAGCTACGAAGGCCGGCACGGCACGCAACGGGGTGGGTGGTCAGCACCACGCCCAGTACCTGATACTGATGCTTACACACCGCACCAGGTACTCAGTGAGGCTGAGTCGACCTACGGGAGACCCAGAACCGGTTCAGATATCGATTTTAGCCACGGGAGGGTTTGTAGCGCACTGCGTTAACCACTACACCACCATTCCCCACACAGAAAGACAAACACATGCACACTATTTGCGTTTCATCATTCAGGAAAAATAAACATCAAATATATTAATAAATGATGTAGTCAGTAAACATTATGAATATGCAATGGCAGTGATAGAAGTAGTATGAATATTCCAATGATTGTGCCGTATAAAATATGCAGTGGCATATGCGTCATTAATAATTATGCTCCATCCCTTTTAGGTACATAGGTAAATCAGCTGCTTGTAAATACACAATTCTTTTATTTACTCTTTAATCTTGGGTTGACTTTAATAACTTAAAACAGAACATTCCCCCAAATCATAACGTGTGTGCGGCTATGCGTGCACTAGGGTTGTGCTGCCAACTTTCAGGTTCATCCTAAAAACTCAGGCCTCGATACGACATTTCGGTTGATCCGACAAAAATGTATGTCCGTTGGCCTCCGCTTGCTCGGAGGCCACCGAATAGGAGAGTGTCGTCATCCCACACTTGTGTTTGACGGTAAGACGCTTTCACTCTGACCTCGCCCTGAAACCAGCCCTGGTTAGCGTGACCGTGTTTAGTGCGGATCATCAGAATGAGCGATGATCCCTCTGCCTATCGTTGCGTTCCGCTCTGGCTCTCATCCCCTGTGGACCACGTAGTAAACCGCCGTAGTCTGTGCACAAACTCTCTCTCTCTCTCCTGAAGCCATCTCGTCATGGCTGGCAGACCTGGACATTGGCGTCCAGCTCCTGAACACATTGCCGCTGCCATAATTCACAGGAATCGAATGGAACCTCACCCCCTGTGTATATGAGGAAAGGCTGCAACGCCCCTTGGCTTATTTGTGTTCACGTTTGCCCTTACAGACAGCGCGGTTATGGGTGTTCTCTGAACTGCTGAACTTTAAAAGGAAAATAACCACCGGTGTTAAATATTGTACTAACACTTGTTTACTGCTTGGCTCGAGGAATTGAAAAGGAATGGGGGGTGGGGGGCTGCCCGAGCCTTCAATTGTGGAATTGGGGGGGGGGGGGGTATCAGCACCCCCAATGATTAAGGGATGCCCTCAACTATAATTTACCCTGAATTTCTGTCATACAAATGATACGTACATTTATGGGCTTTACTTCGCTAAGTTTTCCGCTCACGGCCAACAGCAGTGGCGAATATATGAGGGCTCCCCTACGTCGACTCGGCCTTAAATGAATACCTGGCGCGGTGTGTAAACATCGCCACTGGGGAGACAAAGGCGGCCGGGAGTGGTTTTGGCCACACCGCCCCTCCTCGTCCCCCCTCGTGCCGAGCCTTCATAGGCACTCGCTAACAGCACCTGCCCCAACAGTCTGTTAGAGGCTATATGGGGGATCTCTGCCCTTGTATATTGTTTGTGCTGATAGAGTGGTTGCTGTTGTTTTGTTGTTTATGACAGGGAGCTGATGGGCCTCGTGGTATAAAGGGTGACAAAGGAGAGAAGGTAAGGATTTCACTGAAAAGACAAAAATATCAGAATCAGAATATTTATACTGGAGGAATCCGATGAGCTATGAAGCTCTTTTTAACAGATCTTCAGTGGGTGCACACGGGGTAAGAACGTTACAACAACAAACAAGACACTCTGGCTGGCTTTTTTTATCCGTCGCGGAAAAGTCGTACAATTCGGTAGAACCTAAAACCTAAAGCTCTGACAAACTTAAGGCCTTGTTAACCCTAAACATTGAAATGGGAATTATCAATAAAGGTACAAAAACGAAAGGGCTCAGCTAAGACTGCGTGGAGAAAGCTGCAAAGTACTAACGGGAAGAAGACTTGCGGAGATACGCACTCAAGCTGCTGTTTGTACATACACGTAGTTGCATGCGTGCGTACAAAGATATATTTATATTCGTGAATTAAACCATTGCGGTCTGTCTTGCCAGTTTGGGACTAAAACAATAAAAGCTACTGCTATAAACACACACACATACGTAAATAATTATAATTCACACGAATGCCAATTATTTTAATTAGGAAATTATGATTGTGTAAAAAAATAAAAATCTAATTAAATTTCTCTCTGTGTTGTTTTTTTCCTGACAGGGAGAAGATGGATTCCCCGGCTTTAAGGGTGACATGGGTGTCAAGGGGGATAAGGTAAAGATGCTATCAAACTAAACTCACCTCTTTTCTATTTTACCAGGTCAGGCCCACTGGACTATACAGCTCTTTTTCAGAAGCGACCTGGCCACAAATGATAGTCCAACGAAATGGCTTATCAATGTGAACATATGTATAGCAGCAACATAATCTAAAACGCGTGATGTTGATTCTAAATGTGGAGAGAAATTCAGTGGACCCAAAAAAAAAATCCACATCACCACAGGGAGAGAGAACATGCAAACGTCAAATATTCAGGCATCAAGGTCGGGATCGAACCCACGACCTCCTGCATACAAGGCGAGGGAGATAACATCTCACCACCACGGCGCCTTTGCATTGAGTGTTGGGAGCACTGACCAAGGGGCTCAGTAGTCGAGCGAGCGACTCAGGACCGGAAGGTTAAAAGTTCAAATCCTGGTTGTGGGTAGTTGACTGCACCCATCATTCCTCCCGGTCTAATAAAATTGAGTACCACATTGTGGGGGAGTTAAAACTTTAGCAGTATGGAATTTCCACCAGCGACTGAGAGCTGTACAGAGATGGGCACCGCCTATTGTGTTCATTTGGGGAGGACGTTGCTTTGACTTGACTGGTCGTGAGCTCGGTGGCGAACTCTTGAATCCCACCGCAGCAGATCAAGGAAGGTCGGGACGTCACCACAGCCGACGATGTTGCCGTGACAACCTCTCGTCGTCACCTCCTCCTCCTCCCTGCTGGATCTGACCGCTGGTTATTGCACGGTCGACACACTTGGCTTCCAGAATCCGTCCGCCTTTCCAAAAAAATGTGCCAGCAGAAAGTGAGAATGTGGAGTCACAGCAGGGGAAGCTGCGTATGACCCGTGTAATGATGTTGGTGGGAAGGAACACCGGTGACATTGTTTGGTGCTGCCGCTGCTTTGGCGGTGGCGAACAAGCACAACAAAAACAAACTCAACACAATCGCCAAACAACACTGTGGTCAAAAGGAAAAGCTATAGTGACTGCCAACATTTCAGGCTATGGCCTGAATTTCAACTATTTCAAACTACTCTTTCTTTTTTTACCAAGTAAGGCACACTGAGAGCTATAGAGCTCTTTTCAGAAGCACCTTGGTCACGATTGATAGCTCAACAAAGTGGGCTTATAATTTGGAAATGTATAGCAGCCAAATACTCTGAACGCGCGATGTTGATTCTAAATGTGTAGGGAAAAACCAGACGACGTGGAGACAAATCCACGCGACCACGGGGAGAGAGACGTGCAAACTCCTAATATACAAGAGGCGTCAGCGTCAGGAATTAATCCACGACCTCCTGCGTTCAAAGCGAGGGAGTCAACATTTCGTCATCACGTCATATTTTGGCCGTTTTACATTAATGTGCTCTGAAGAGGGGCCATTCTCTGAAACGTTGCCTCTTTACATACTTATCATTCTAGGAAGTGTTGTTGACAATTGTGCTTAGCTACGTTAGCACAGCAGGATTTTGAGGGACTGCCTGTAGAATTTTGAAGCAGAAAAGATGTGAATTTTGGTACTAAGAGCCAGGTTAGTGAGTATTAACTTCTTTCGCACCGTACGTAGCCAACCGTGTGAAACGGAAGTGCCGCGGAGGGTAGGAGAGAGATGCATTTATAGCAGCAGATGATACGGAGCTCCCGGCCTTTGAGTCTCACGGTCAGAGAGGGTTGAGCAACTTATAAGTTCAGAATGGAATGTGGCAGGAGAACAGAGTAGACACGATGAGCAAGAGGAGGTGGATGGGACGCGAGTGCAGGTGGAGGAGGAGGAGGAGTAGGGCAGGTTACCCAGATGGACATTGGAGTGGCAAACCCACAGGTTGGTGACCAGGGGGAAGACCCAAATCCGCGACATGGTGGCGGTGATGATGACACCGCGAGCGGGTCTTGGACGCATCGTGCCCACTGTGGAATCTGTCAGAAGGAAGGAAGCGATGGCGAGGCGCTGTGATGTCAAACAAAACACTTTTGTGTCAACGATCAAAGCCGTGTGTTCAACAGCAGTAATTCAACATTTTAGACATTAAGCGTCCCCGCATTTCCACCTGGCTCAGACTCTGACGTAGGAAATCCAACTCGGCCCGGTCAGCAACATCGGCCCCCGAGAGATTGGCCTGCGGCCCGAACCGGTAGCCAAGTTGAGTTGATGAAAAAAAGAAACACAACACGAATCTCGGGGCGAGAGGAGGTGACCCGAGTTCACGGCCGGGTTCTCTGGCACCGGAGAAAGGCAGAACTCGGGCAGCACAGCTGCCAGTGGCACCCGCCAACACTGGCGACGGAGCTACGACTGCTGAAGTTAAAATGATGATGGTGACGATCGAGGTAGTAGTGGTGACAATCACGATGATGATAACTATTTATAGAATTATTATATTGTCGCTGACTATGATAGTGATGGTTGCTATATTTTTGCTGCTGCTGCTGATCATGATGCTGCTGCCACTAATGATGATCATGATGTTCATGGTGATCATTCCGACATGCTGATATGAAACAGCTGCTGGTGATATTGCCGCTCTTACTTTTTTTTGCTGCTGTTCCTACAGATGGTGTAGTTGTTGCTGTTGATGATAATGCTGCAGCTGATGTTGTTCCTGATGATGCTGCTGACGACGATGATGACCCCGTGTCTCCGTGTGCCCGTGTCGGCAGGGAGACGCAGGGCCCGCTGGCCCCCGTGGTGAAGATGGCCCCGAAGGCCCCAAGGGCCGTCTGGGCCCCCCCGGAGACAATGGCCCCGCAGGCCAGGCGGGAGAGAAGGTGACCAGTGCACGCGCAGCACACCCTTGTCGGGGCTGGCCCCTGGCATAGGAACGTGGAATTTCCACAACCGGCGTAGGGCCACCGTCGGCGATGAGCGTCGTTTCTCCCGCGCGCACGTGGTCGGGAAAACACCCGAAATATAGGATCATTCGAATGAGACGTGACGTTGGAAGTTTCTTTCATTGTGAGAGCTGAAGGCGATGGTGGGGGGGAGGGGTTGTTGGAGGCTACGGGGTGAAGAGGTACGGAAGACGAAGCGGTAAGGTGCGATGGAGAAGGCTTGAGAGAGAGAGGAGAGAGACGCGCGGTCATCGGAGAGAAAAGTTTCTCGAGCTTCGGCTTGAGTGGGGGGCGAGGAGGAGACGGCAGTGCGAAGGGCGGACAGCGCAAAGCATCCGAAGAGAAGGAGCGTTGGCTGCCGTCTCTTTCTCTCTCGCTGTCTCCTACTCTCACTCCGGTGCGCGTTCATGTCGGACCGCGGTGCTATTGGCCGTGTTGTCCAGCGTTTCTCTCCACGTAGCCTGGCAGGCTTAGCCTGTTTCCCAGCACGCGGCGCGACCCCAAAACTCACCGTACGTACGTGTGTATGTTGACCTTCGTTCGCGCCGTACGAAGCCAACCGTGCTCATTGGAGGTGTGGGGGAAGGACAGCAAACTAAACACACGCAAAAAAAAATCAATGTCATAGGTGCCAACAAACCTCCCCGTAGCTTCCTTCCTTCTGCCAGATGCCACAACCGGCGCGGTGGCTCTGACCCTAATGCGGCCGGGCCCAGCTGAGAGTGCTTACGACTGTGCACGGAGATTGGACCGCTCGCTCGTGTGTGCACTGCTGATGAGAGAGCGGCCAACCAAGGAATCCGAATCCCTGCGCTGCCGAATATCTCTTTTTTTTTTGGCCCAACTTTTTCGTGAAAACGTGTCAATTTTAAACGGGGTCAAATTTAAATGGGGGCAAATCGCCAAGGCGTTGTGCCTCACGCTTGATTTTTTTGTCAAAGTACGGATGTGGCCCTTGGCCGTTTTATTTTTGTTGGATGAACGGCGTGCGGCGCACGAGCGGTGATGTCACCTGACCCGTCACGTGGCTGCTGTCATCTTGTCGTTTAGGGGAAGCTCGGAGTGCCTGGGTTGCTCGGTTACCCTGGACGACCAGGCCCAAAGGTATGAGTCGCGACACGGCAATCACCTGGCGGGATTGCACACACACACACACGCGCGCGCACGCACACGGAGAGAGAACACATGCCAACACATAGGCATGGACTGTAAATAGAGAAGCCTGTGATCAAATCACCCAATGTGCAACCCAGTCTCCTGAGGTGTGGGAAGCTAAGCAGGTTCAAGGCTGGACAGTGCTTGGATGGGCTGCTGCGCCTCTCTGTGGTGGAGAGCAGAGGATAGTTGAACAAAATCAATTATTGTCCTATGCTCCCAACTTTCACCGACATGAACTGACCAAGGCGGTGAAGTATGGTCAAATAACCCCCATGGCCTTCCCGGTGTGGGGAGGCTCTCATTCCTTAATTTGTTTTTTTTAAACAAAGTCTGCCAAACCTAGCATCTTGTGAGTAGCTTGATGCTGGGGCCCGATGGTCTGAATCACTTCCCTTCATCACAGTGCGCCAATCGCACCAAGCCTCATTCAATCACAAACAATACTGCCACTAAATTTCGATTCAAAGCTTTCGTGACTGCAGGGATTCATCTTCTTGGTTCTTTCGGTAAAGTCACGTAGAAGGGAAATAATACAATAAGAAAGTAATATAAACAATAAAAATTCTCACGACGTTTCGACTGCAACACAAGCAATCATCAAAATTGTGATCAACTTTCGTGCGGTGACGTGCGCCGGGTCAACGCTACGAAGCCGGCGACCCGAGTTCGAATCCCGCTCACGGCCACCAACACCAATCACGATGATCTGAATCGCTCCTGGGTCTCCCCTGGGTCGACTCAGCCTCATATGAGTAGCCTGGTGCTGTGTGTAAAACATCGCCACTGGGGAGACAAAGGCGGCCGGGTCTGGTGCTCACCAGGCACCCCCGTTTGGCTTTTGTAGGTGCTCGCTGACAGCACTTGCCCGATGAATCGCTTCAGACTATCAGGGGGACATTTGTCTTTGTACATGCTTATGCATATATACATATTTACTTATTTATCATGAATGCCTCCTTCTTGACGTTCTTGTTTATTTATCAGATGAATTATTTACTTGTTATTTTCATAGCATTTCTTTAAGGTGATTTATTTTTTATTTGCGCTATGTCGTGAGTTTTAGCCAATCTGGCTCAGAGGCAGCGCACTGATACTGCAACAATGTTTTATTACCTTCAGGATTTTAGATTATACTGCTGTTCATTAGCAATCGCAAGCGATACATTCCACGCTATTTTAATCCGATTACAAATTCCGCTATTGTGGTAATCCCCAGCCTTTGGTGGCGAACACCTCTAATCCAGCACTGTGGAAGCAGTGAGGATTGGCGGATCACACAAAGATGTTGTGAAACTCCCTTCCCATGGGCGTTGAGGAGGAGCCAGGAGAAGGCAGGTACAGCAAGAACGTGATCTCCATCTGTTCCATCTGTATGGGATAGAGGATTCCCCCCTCGCATGCGTGGGGGTTCTGCGGCTGCTCTGGTTTCCGCCCACGTGCATAGACTCTCATGAATTAGCTGATGACACCTGGGGACGTTTTTTTTGCCAGTATCACAATGATTAAATATTAACAATAGTATTTACCTTTAATGTGAAATTATTGTGCTTAAGAATAGGCTTTGTTGTGCTGAAGAATTGGCTTTACCCTTTCTGAGCAAAATTGTATTTTATCTGATTCATATTTTTTCTACATATTACAGAAACTCTTGCTGCAATTAAAGCAAGGTTTTACTGTTAGCGGATTACCAACGGAAGAAGATCCGTAATAAAATATTTTAACAATTTTGTTATATGTAATCACATTAGATTACTGTCACTTAGCACATGGCGGTTGATGAGTTGTCGTGGTTAACTTCCATAAAAAAAAAGATTCGAACGACATTCCAAAAATCTTATCAAAATGGTTTTAAATGACGACGTGGGGCAGCGTGGGTCACTGAGAGGGCAGCAGCGGCGCTGTCCAAATCGAACCGCAGGGGCCTATGACCCTAGCCCAGCACCGCTACGCCCGCGGGTTACCCCAGCCCAGGGGTCGGCAACCAAAATAACAAGAAGAGCCATTTCTTTCCAATTCGGTACAAAATTCAGTATTTCAAGAGCCGCAATGCATCTGAGTACATACGTACTCATCGTCAAGAAGCAGCCCGTAAAGAGCCGCATGCGGCTCCGGAGCCGTAGGTTGCCGACCCCTGCCCCAGCCCAACGCCCCTTTACGTCAAGAGAGTCACCTTCAAAGTAGCCGAGCAATCGCATTGTCTTACATTCGAAATGGAATGCAGGCTTACGTTACACAAATGCCGTTATCATACCTGGGGTTGGAGCACCCAGCTCCCCACCGCGTTGCTTCAACGTAATGCAGCAGTCAGGGTGATTCGATGGTGCGGCACTCACTGATGCACTCCAGTCGTTCGCACACCGACAATCATCGAGGGCGATATTGGCATGTGAAATAAAGATCGCGTAAATATTTTACGCGATCAAACCCACAAACCTCTATTAGGGACAATATCGGTCGCCAAAGCCTACGTGTGAAACCAAAATTAAGATTGATTGAGTCAGTCGTCTCATTATCACTCTTCTAACGCTACTGCCATGGCTACTGTTCCCGTGAACTTGACCCATTAAACCATGTTGAGGATTTGGTCGACCGGACGCTGGCTGTTTCGTCTCATCCAGCACACTGTGTTCAACCACCACACCGCAGGTCACAACAGCACTCACCCAACTCACTCAACCACCCACCTACTCACGGCACTGCAGGCCGCAACAGCTCACTCACCCACTCGCTCGCTCCCCCATTCACTCACCTATCCACTCACTCACCCACCCACCTACTCACGGCACTGCAGGCCGCAACAACTCACTCACCCACTCGCTCGCTCCCCCATTCACTCACCTATCCACTCACCAACTCACTCAACCAACCACCTACTCACGGCACTGCAGGCCGCAACAACTCACTCACCCACTCGCTCGCTCCCCCATTCACTCACCTATCCACTCACTCACCCACTCACTCAACCACCCACCTACTCACGGCACTGCAGGCCGCAGCAACTCACTCACCCACTCGCTCGCTCCCCCATTCACTCACCTATCCACTCACCCACTCACTCAACCACCCACCTACTCACAGCACTGCAGGCCGCAACAACTCACTCACCCACTCGCTCGCTCCCCCATTCACTCACCGATCCACTCACCGACTCACTCAACCACCCACCTACTCACGGCACTGCAGGCCGCAACAACTCACTCACCCACTCGCTCGCTCCCCCATTCACTCACCGATCCACTCACCCATTCACACACCCACCAGGTCACTCTTGGTTGCTCGATTTTTCACCTGCTTAAACAAAGTAAACTTGAAAATTTGAGAATTATAAAACATTTTTTTTTATAAATGCATGTAGGACACAGTGGGAATGACCTCCACGTTACAAATGATATCCAATCACTAGCACCTATTATCTGGTCACTGCGGTCAAAGCAACGCAAATACGTCACTCAAGTTTTACGAATAATCTGAATTATGTGCTCATCTTTACGAGTAAAGATGGGTTCTTCGACTTTTGTCTGTGTATGTGTGCCGTGCCGACCTTCATAGGTGCTCGCTAACAGCACTTGCCCCAACTGTCTGTTGAGGCTGTACAAGGGCATCTTTGTATTTGCATATGAGCGTGTGCATGTCTATGTGTTGTGACGATTGGCACACTGACTCATGGTCTGTATGGCTGAATAGGTGTTCTCGCGGTATATGCGTATCACCGCAATGCATTACACAAACTCACTGGTGGTGTTTGTCTTACAGGGCTCTCTGGGACTGAATGGAATTCCTGGTGCCAATGGAGAGAAGGGGACACGGGTATGTATATCATTGCACCTCAATAGCTTATGAAGAAGGACTCTCAGTTCATTGTGTAAAGATCCCGTCTGAGACCGGTCTGTTTGTCTTTTGGTGTCCAGAGACATCAGAGACTGGTCTAACTGTCGATTGTCCAGAGATCCTATCAGAGGCCAGTGTTGTCATGCTGTTGTATAGAGACCCCTTCTGAGACTGGTCCACTGGCCTCTTGTCTAAAGAGCCCAACTGCATCTGTTGCCTGGCCTCTTGCGTAGAGGCCAAGTTAGAGACCAGACTCGCAGTCTACAGTTTAGAAGCCCCATTAAACACTGGTCTGGCGGCCTAACAATCCTAGATTTGAAGTTTTCGTGACTGAAAGTATCCATATACTCTTTGGTTTTTTCGGTAAAGTCACGTAGGTGAAAACAAAATAAAATAAAAAATAAAACACCGTGTCATGTAGCGGGCAGTTGGGCAGGGGATTATCATGAGTTAAGCCGATAGATGACCATCTTTTTTCTTGAATCAATCATTTGTCGTCATCAAAAGTCCATGGTTGTCCACGCTCGAACGAGCACTCGACTTCTCGGTTGGCCTTGAGCGAGAAGTGACAATTCCACGTACCTGTGGTAGGACATCCGATGTTGACTTCTCCCCACCAGAGTGGCGCTAACGTATCGCGTACACCCGAGAGGAACCATAACGGTGGTCGGCTGATAAAATCCCCAACCAGGACGATTTGGACTCGCGACCATTCCGCGTGCGAGTGCAGCGCTGTCACCGTAGCGCCACGGGGTCGTCCTCTGTGTTGACTCGCCGTGCTTTCGATGTCTCTTGTGTTTGTTTGTTTGTAGGGAGAAACCGGGAAGCAGGGAACCAGAGGTCAAAGAGGTCCCGGGGTAAGAGCGTTCACCAACCTGAACACGCCGTGCGGAATCTCCAACCGCCCGTTGCACCGTGCCATGTTTTTGCAAAAATAAGAACGAGTGACGCAGTTTTTTAAATGTATGCGGTCGAATGGGCTTACGTTAAGCCCTCGGGGCATGAATTCACATTTTTGATGAAACGTAACCGAATCTATATTTTAAGAGGGAACCAAAAAAAAATATTCCAAAGAACTGTTCGTTTAAATTGAACACCCCGTTGGTGTGATTGATCATCAGCATCGACACAGGGAGACAAAGGTGGCTGGGTGTGTGCATGTTCCTGTCTGCAATAGCTCCCCATTGTGCCCCACAGGCCTAAATAGGCACCCACTCACAGTGCTTTGAATAGCTCCGTTTTGGGATTAACAACAATAAGGACAACAGGAGTCTGGACTGAAGCACGTTTGTACCCTCTCTTGCAAAAGGAGCTTCTGTCCTAATGGGCACTCGTCTGGTTTTAAGTCCATGTGTGTGGATGTACTCGGTTAAGAATAAGGCGAGCTACAGTGAAGGGGGCCTTCATTCACACAACAAGCAAAGCCAGAGGAACAAAGCACGACAGGGCACAGTCGCATTGCGGTGAGCAGAATGCAGCATGAACTCAGCGAGCCGAGTTCGATTCTTGGTCGCTGTGAAGCATCAGCTGCTGAGTGATATCTTTAACTGATCCTGGATGCAACCTTCAATTGGCCAAACCTGCATCGATGCTGACCAGCATGGTGAAGTATGGTCAAACAACACCCCCCCTCCCCCACATGACTGAAAGACATAGGGAGGCCTTCATGCAGTAGTGGACTGACAAAGGGCTGTGAATTATTACATATAAATTAACCTGACTTTTTAAATGGTTAAGCAGCCAATGGAAGGCAGAAGTCGACTTGTCAAAGGGAGATCTGGGATAAATCAGCAAAGCAAGAAAGCAAACATTCCAATGCGGCAATTAACAATTCATAAAATTCGATGTCAAAAGCGCACAACACACCTAACTAATGATTAATGTGTATTAAATAATTTAGACATGATAAACATTAATTTGTAAAGTGCATAATATACATTGAAGAAGTATGTCTGTGCCTGAAATATATTTTATTTTGTGTTATTTCCGAGTAGCGATCGATAATGTTTTCAGAGAGTGTGTTAAAACTGGCAGTATAATGATAAGTGTGTTTCACTGAGTAAAGGGCACTTATAATAATCCTTAAACCTGTGCTTGTGCGAATTCTGTCAATACAGCTGTGGAGTGAATATTTCGTGGTGCATGACGCGTGATTTTAGCAGCACATTTGAAATACGTTTCTCTTCATTCATCACTAGATGGCAGACGCATCTAGTGATCAAAATACACTCGCACCCTTGCACAGGGGCACATTAGAAAAGCGGAAGAGCCATTTTTTGTATTTTTTCCGTCTGCCCTTCGAGGGTGCAAAGACAGGCGAGATTCATGGAGGAATAAACCCTCGACACGGTGGCGGCTTTAAAGATCGGGGGCAACTTTCACAATTGGGATGGAATGGCTGTTTTGAGACCAAAATGCATTGTCAGCTTGTAGGTATTGTTCGGTTAAGGCGCGAGAAGTGCAGATCCCGTTTGCTTTGTGGCCACCCACTATTCATAATTTCACACACCAAAAGAGGACGCACACCGTTTTGAAATACAACTTGTCACGGCTTATTGAATGAACCATCTCCGCATGTATCCGTGCGGCCGCTGGGTAGGCGGCTCAATTTCCGCTTGCCTGTCACCAAAAATCGACCACCTGAAACACGAGCAGCATTGACTCCAGTCGAACTATCAGCTGGCCTACCACTGACCCGTCATCATCACAGACATGCTGGCTAACCTAACTGCAGCCGTTGCACCCATTGGTGAACGTTGCCACGAGTCAACACAGCTTCATTCATCATTGATACATATCAATTGTTTTTACACCCACAGAGAACAAAAAGCAAATACCATCTCGTTGTGTATACAGTAGGTGTGTTTGAGTTGGGAAGAGCGGTGCAGTGGCTTGTGCACTGAACTGTAATCCCAGCAACCTGGATTCGACTCCTGGCCACGATAACATCAGCACAAAGTGGTATCTGAATGGGACCTGGTCCTCCTCTAGATCATCTTAGCCTCAATGAGTATCTGGTGCGGTGTGTAAAAACACCAGCACTCGGGAGACAAGGCCAGCCTCGCAGGAATAGCGCTGGCCACACCACCTCCTTCAAGTGTCGTGCCGACCTTAAGAGGTGCTCACTAACAGCGCCCACTTCTGTGGTCTTTAAAACCGTGTGTGTGTGTGTGAGTTTAGGGGCCACGAGGAGAGAGGGGTCAAAGGGGTCCGACGGGGAAGCCTGGTCCGAAGGTGAGATCCCCCCTCCTGATTCCCTTCCCTTTCAGGCGTCGTCAGTCTGAAGCCAAACGTTGAACTCCCTTGAGAGATGCCGACGAAGCGAATGTACACGGTTCTCACAAACAGCATCTGCCCCAACAGCTCGAAGAAGCTACGGGGGAGGGGGGGTCGTTGTCTTTATCTAATGCGCGGTGCGGTAGTCCACCAGCCGCGTGACGATCCCGTGGGATTAGATATCTGCCCAATACTTTGTCTCTACTGCAAATTGCCGTGCGGATCCTCTGGCACGATGCCTCGTACGAACGCGAGTTCCTGTCGAGACAGGGTTGCATGCAGTCTTTACGGCTGAAAGGGCAAGTGTGTGTGTTTCTTTTTTATTGCACACTTATTCAAGGAATGTTGTTTACTTTGCAGGGAAACACTGGATCTGATGGGCCTCCAGGGGCATCAGGAGAGAGGGTAAGACACCGTTCTGCATTACAAAACCAACTCTGTGAAATGTGCTATTTCATTTATATATATATATGACTTTCAGTGCTGTTGGTGCGTGATCAGTTCAGACTTCGATCGAATCGAAAACAATCCAAATGTTTCATTACATCCGATCAGATTATTCAGCTGACTATGCAAGTTCTATATCAATGTGCGGTGCATTCTAGATTTGGTCACTTCCTGATTGACTGGTTGCCTTGTGTCCGTTTGTCCAATCGGAAGCAATCAGTGTTCTTCATGATATAACAAGAATAATTTAGATAATAGCAATTGGGCACGTAACGATTTGCCTCCGTCATAAATCATTCATTCATCCCTGATTTCGAGGCTGCAGTACGATTCTGGAATCAATCATATTAACACTCTCACTTGGCTTTGACTTCGCGCACTCAAAGGTCATCTCCGTGCCACGCCCCGAGCAGTGCGTGTGGAGCTGACCTTCGTCAAACTTGGGGACGAGCAGCGAACACCTGCGTTGAATTCGGTTGACACGAAACACCTCGTCACCGGAAAGAGTGACCCAGCTTTTAGCGTTTGAATTCCCAATTTGCATTGATAATTACCGATGCAAAACATTAACGCGCATCAACTTTTATTAACAAAGCAAAAGATGCAACACAAAATATACCTCTGTTATTCTCGTGATTCTTACAGCACGAAGGCTGTCATCACCATGAAAGGCCGCTATGCTAATGCTTTGGAAGCTTTACTGGAGATTTCCATCTTGAAATAATTGTCAGCCGGAATGCAACTTGGTGACGCCGTTGCGTTGGGTTCCGTGTTTCTGATCCTCACATCAAAGCGGGCAGTGTGCGCTGATGAAACACTTGCCACGGTTGCTAAATGTCAACTACCTCGCCTGGTATGCATGAGGTCGTGGGTTCAATTCCGACTGACGCCTGCTTAATATTTCGAGTTTGCATGCCTCTTTTGATGTGGTCGCATGGATTTTTTTCCGGGTCCTTCGGTTTTTCCCTCCACATTTAGAATGATGCTTTTAAAGTATCATGCTGCGATATATTTCCATATGAAAGCCACTTCGTTGAGCTATCAATTGTGCCCAGGTGTCTTTTGAAAAAGAGTTAGATAGCTCGGTGGGCCTTACCTGGTAAATTTTTGGTGACAGATGTATATTGAAGAAAATAGCTTCAGGAAAAATTAGTGCAGATCAGAACATGAGAGAAGAGTTGGGAATTTGGGGAGGAACACAAGAAAGGAAATAACAAGAGCCGCATTTTAAGAGCCTAAATGAATGTGAATAATGTCACGGAGCAGTCCGTAAGAGCCGCATTCGGCTCCGGAGGCACATGTTGCCCTACCCCTGGTCTAGACCATCGCATTATTGGCGTTTTAGAGTATTTGGATGCTATACATTTCCACGTGATAAGCCACGTTGTTGAACTACCATGTGTGGCCATGTCGCTTCTGAAAAAGAGCTATATAGCTCAGTGGGCCTTACCTGGTGAAATTAGAAATAGTTTATAGGTTGCGAGTTCAAATCAAGGGTTGGGGGTCAACTCAACCCATCATCCCTCTCGGGTCGGTAAACATTAGTGCCACTTTTCGCGGAAGTCACCTCTGGTTGTGCTGGATGGGCCCACTCCTGACATAAGAATGTGGCTTTTTTTCCCCACCGCTGGCTGTAAAAAGGAGATAAGCACCAATGGCTGAATGCTCATTTTTGTATTTGCTTACTTTGACTTTTGACGATAATATTTCTACACGAACACATTGCTGAGTGTTCATATTCTGCTTTTTGCATTGGAATTTTTGTCAAATTCCCTTGCCAGGTGCTTTTTAAAATATATATATTTTTAATATATATTTTAAATATATATGGGAGCAGAGTTCCCGGAGAAACCCCCACGCAGTTTAGGAGATAACACTCAGAAAACCACTGCGTAGACGGGTCAGGAACCCACTTGCTGTACTCCCAACTTGCTGCCACCGTCATAGCCCAGGAAGTTTGGAGTCTCAGAGCACAAAATGCTCCCTTGCATGGTCCCCGAAATCCTTCCACGACCACGGAGCTACAACAGCCAGTTTCCAATATCACGACCGCCCTTGACATCACGGCTGATTTTCGTTTTATTATCCAGATACGTAACATTTACGCCACGCTTGTCGCGTGTAACGCTGTATTAATCCTATAGCCTTTCACAAAGTTTATTGCGTACCCCGTGATGCATTGCCTAAGCCTGTGTCACGAAATAGCGGTTACCTTTTAAAGTGCACTGAAGCATTCCGGGGACAAATGATCATAATTAAGGGCAATTGCTTTCCTATAATGCAAGCTCCGCAGCTCCCGCGATCCCTCACATTTTGAGCCAAGCTCTGTTAGGCGTGCAGTCGCGTGGAAAAACAGCCCGAAGCCCTGGCGCGCTTGCACTTATAACCTTAAAAAAAATGTTGTTACCGTGAAAAATACACTCGGCCTTTCCGCCAGTGTCTCCGGGGTGTAACGGTGCCGCATTGGCACCGCGACGCGGCGTTTGGGGACGCGAGTTGTCGTTTTATCGAAAACGTCCGTGAAGGAGACGGGGTCTGGTGGCTCAGAGGTCGGCGCGCTGAGCTGGCATCGTCGAAGATCCTGAGTTGGTAATCCAGCAGCCAGCCGCTCGTGGTGAGAGGCCGGGTTCTCTGACGCCAGCGATTTGATGGTCTCAGCACCATTCAGCAACAATGATTGCATGCATCATTAAAAAATAAATTGTGCGAAATTTGGGTTCTCGCTTAAATTGGCTAACTTACAACGCATGACACGTAAACATGTCAGCTTGATTGACGTGCAATATCTTCTTCTCGCATACGGCATTGTGACTGGCAACTCGAAGATCTATAAACACGTTTGTGATTGTGCTTCAGTGTTCACTTGGTGGACGTACAGGCCTGGTGCTGTGAAGTGGTTCCTAAGATGAAGGGCCTATTCTTTAGCACCTATGTTTCTTTTCGGCCGAATAGCAGTTGGACCACACAAACATTGCCATCTCCCAGCCCTTCTTGCACAGTTTTCTGACACAGTGTGATGCACTGCTCGCTGTAGAATTAAATGGGATACTTCTTCATCTCAAGACAAGACGCCTGAGAGCGCGATCGGAATATAATTGGGAAATGCGGTATATATATTTCATATATATATTTTTAAATTATATTCCAGTTGTGCCATCGGCGTAACGTTAGTGATAATGGAACGTTTCTATTCGACACGCTGGATAACGAGCACATTTCCCGTGTTAGAGAATTGCCCCCCAGCATGGGATGTCAGAGAACTACTGCTGAGATCTCTTCAAGGGGGGCCTCTTATCCACACATAAAGGGGCGCTTACATTCCCCATGCGCTGCTGCAGAAAGATGTTCGTCACACATGAAGAACCAAAACCAATATTTTTCATTCTCCAAACTAGTCTTTGCCAAATTTGATGGAAAAACGAAATTTGCAATGTTTTTTTTACGTCATCGTTGGTGAGCGTTCTGAGAACATCAACTGACTGCACTTGAGAACACCTGGTTGGTTACTCACGGGTTGTGATTTACTATTTTATTTCTATTATTATTTATATTATTTACTTTTTTACCTACGTGACTTTACCGAAAACCTAAGAGTATGCTCACGGGTTGCCAAACCTCGGATTTGAACCCAGGATTTCAGTAACGTCTCACTCGGCGCTGAGCCTCTCAGCCACCGCTATGAGAACATTCGCTGGGACACAAAATCGACGCTTTCTCCATTTTCCACATGTGCACGGGGTGGCGCTCATTTCTCTCGGTGGCCCAGAGCCATTTGGTGGATATTCCACGTTCCTTTGGCAGGAGCCAGCCGTCTACATAGAACAACCACTGTTGAGTTCACCTTCAACTTGATTCCTTTTATCTACCCCAATAGGAATGATGATGATGATGGGTTGAGTTGATCTCTCTGACTGCTGCTGGGCTTGGTATTGAGCAATGCAAAGTGGCGCCTAATTGATTGGCCTAAGAGGTATTTGAACTCGTGACCTTGTGATCGTGAGCCGTGTGCTCGAAACACAGTGCCACTCGGCTCACATTGAGACCTCACAAGTCAATCCACTGCTGGACGAGGGTCTCCTCGTGCCACGTGAGCTGTGCGAGTATTTTGACCATACTTGACCACGCTGGTCATTGTGGGTGGGTGAAGTCAAGCAGCCTCGAAGTGGGAGCTGCCCCGCTACAACCACCTATGGCAACCCGTTTGTAAATGGCAGTCACCCATCTAAACAATATCCAGGCTCAATTCTGCTTAGCTTCTGAGATCTATTGAGCTTGCGTGCATTCCGGGCGATGTGGTCACAGGCTGCGCACATTACGACACTGCTGTAAATATAATTGTACCCGAATTTATTTGTCTAGCTGGGTGGCAGAGAGGTCACGGAAATGGACTCACCTTCGTGCGGTGGTGTGATGTGTTTAAAGCCCAGGGCAGGGGTCAAGTTATATTCCGTCATCCATACGGGGAGGGGTGAAGGTGTGGGGGGGGGCATTGCACTTTGCATCACAGCTCTTCTTACGTAACGTCTTACGCAACTGCCTTTTTTTCTCACCCAGGGCCAGTTTGTGGAACTGAGGATAACGATTCTCGATGGGCACCGATCGAGGGTTTTAAACAAAAACTCGGTCGAAATAGCCTCGCAATTAATTAACGTGACAGCGATTCTTTTTCGCACGGCGGCTACAGTTACTTCAAAACGCAGAATAAACACGGAGAGTTTTATTTACATATTTAGCATATGATTATCCTTGGGAAGAAAGTGTTTGACTTTAGCTCGATCACTGTGTGCAAAGTGATGGGGCCCTGCTGGCACATTAAGCAGCTGCTGCATCTGATTGGAATTTGTCAGAACAGTTTAACACTTTCCCCTGAAGACGCTGCAATTATTTTGTAAATCAACGCTTAGGCGAGCGTTCGTAAGAGCACGGGAACGAAACGGAGCTGCATACGAAGGTCGCGAGATCAGAGTTCAACGCCTGGGCCGGGGTCAGCCTAGCTCACCAGCGCCATCGTCAGCAGCAGCATCATCAGCGCTGTTTCCCCCAGGGTCAATCGTTAACAACAACAAAAGCAGCACCACTTTGTGGGAAGTTTCTACCATGGACATGTGGGACTCTCCCGCCACTGGTTCGAGGCCGCCACTAAACTTAAACACGGCCACCGTTGCTCGTTGCAGTGAGCAGTCAGATACTCCTATAGCGTGTGCCTATATACTGAACTAGTCCTGGGCCTCCCCTAGGTCGACTCGGCCTCAGATGAGTACCTGGTGCGGTGTGTAAACACCGCTGCTAGGGACACAAAGGCGGCCAGGCGCGGTGCTGGACACCCACACCCTCGTAATCATTTACCATTTTACAGTGGTTTCACCGGCTTAATGTATTCTCTATTTTACAACTTTTAATAAATAATAAAAAGAACCCAATTCGTCTTAAGATTCTTGTCAGGAAAAAAACTAAAATGACAACAGAATCCTCTTACACTTCTTGAACATTTGCAGACGTTATTATCACAGCGAGTGAATGTGTCCTGTCCCATAACACCGTGTCGTTTCTACGGTCTCGTGTGTACATACACTGCCTCGTGTATTTGCTCGTAATAATAATTTAGCGCATCCGGTATTAGGGCCATTCTTATAGCACGGGGCTATCTCGAAGGGTGCAAGGAAGGAAGGCGCTGCTGTGATTCATACACACGGTCTGCGGTCGTTTCACAATAGGGGCCGATGTTGCCGCTGCTGTGCGGAATCCCAATTGAGTTATTCCCAGGTAATTTAAAAAATCGCTCGAAAATGCGGACCTTGACCAACGGGCCCCACTCGGTGAACGTCCCGATGCGACGCAGACTGCGCGCTGGCGTGCGTGCGTGCGTGTGCGTGCGTTTCTTTTTTACTTTTTCGGTCAATACACCCGCAGTAATAACCAGGGTGGCCGCCCGTTATTCGAACCACGAACCGTGCCACGTCACCGCCCCTGTCGCTCGCGCACCGCCCAGCTGACACCGTCCCTCTGCTGTCCCGTTTGTTGGTGCTGGCTGTCTCGTCATGTCCTGCGTCTCCTCATTTCCACTAAGCTAAACGCTACTTTGGCGTGAAATGTACATGTAGGTTACATGTACGACTCGCATGCTTTAGAAAAATAAGATTGTCGCCTTCATTTGCAATTGGATGCTTGTATCACGAGCTTTACAAATTGATAATCCCCGATCATTTGGTGCGTTGGTAAACTCTGGTGTTTACGTGTCTGTTTGTGTGTGTGTCTGTTTATTTTAGTGTATGTGTGCGGTTGGTTGGGTGTGTGTGTGTTTATATATCAGTGTGTGTGTGTACATTAGTGTGCGTGTGTGTGCGCATGTGTGGGAGCGATAGTGAACTGGGCTACAAACACGACGAACTGAGCTCGATTTACCAGTCACGGCTAACAATCAAAGACAAGAGAAATCAGAATTAGTCCTGGACACAGCCTTAAATGATCACTTGTTGCTGCGTCTACACATCATCACTGGAGAGACAAAGGCGGCCCCGGCGTGGCGCCGCCCACGCCATCGCGTGCACCATTGCACCCACAATGCATCTGTGTTCTCAAGTGGGAGTTCATATCCACAGACGCGTGGTCATCAATGACGGCACGCAAAAAGTCCCATGGTATTTTAGTTTATCGCTGAATTTGGTGGGCTGCTACTCTGAAAGCTGACATTCGGCAGCTACTCGCATGCCTGATTATTTTTGTTTACAGAGCTTGTAGGAGCGTCACCTGGCGTTGGGTGAGAGATGCCTATTGAGATAATCAATCATCATCATGATCATCGTGCCTTGTTTACACAACGCCTCCCTTGCATTACACCTCCAAACAAACGGCAAGGCCCTAATAGCAAGGCGCCATTATGCCGACGTTTAATTCACATCGCACCGTCTTTACCAGGCGGTACCGTGGCCCCATCCTTTACAGACAGAAGATCGTACGCTCGCACGTATGGACAGAGCAGATGTATGGACAATTCCATCCGATCCTTCCCTCCCCATAAAAGCGTTCATGTTCACCCTTTCGGTCTCCACTTAGGTACCCCCCCTCCCCCCCCCACTGTGACCAGCGCCTTGTACTGGGCTCGTTTTGAGTCGCACTAAAAACAACAACACAATTTCATCCTGATTTGGGAAACGTTCGTAAAAAAGCGCGAGGGATGTCCTGCACAAGCGAGAAGCGAGCGCTTAACGCTCCTCTCTGTTGACGGTCCTGAGATTAAGTGGTAAATTCCACACCATGGCAACATGGGCCCAATCTCAGTGTTGACTTGCAGCAAAGGGGTGTTCATTCATCTACCTCGAAGACAGGATGATGATGATGATAATGACAGAGTAGATTTGAACTCGTGACCTCTCCCAATTCAGAGCCAAATTCTCTGAGCACAGCGCCACTTGTCTGGTTAAAGGTGTCCGTGTAAGCATACAGATACTGGGCTGAGTTGATAAATGGGTTTTGCCCGTGATTTCAGACTGCTGTGGACGATTGATAGCCTCTCTGTGTGAAATGTAGCAACGGTCTGAATCGCAGGATGCTCAACCGTCACCAACTCACAAATCTGCTCTTGTGCAGATTTGTGAGTTGGAGGGAGTCAAAAACCCCTTCAGGTTATTACTCGCCGCTGATGGGACCCGTGACCAGGAGTCAGTTCACGACGCGATGGGTGAGCCACTGTGCCACGGCTCCACCTGTACCTTTGTTTAGCGATGAAAAAAAACTACGAATTTTGTTTTAAGTTCTGGACAGGAGTCGCCTCGTGTGGACGAGTGATGTTACCGTGGCATCTTCGCCATTCTTTCGATCACGCTGTCACGAGCGTGCTGCTATCCATAGCTTTACAATGATGTTGTTACCAAGTCTCAAACTCATGTCAGACAGCTACGGGCGCATAGCCTAAAGCTACGTATCGAATCGAGCTGTTTGGATTTTAGGTCGTGTGTTCCTCGAATTGATTGAGTGATCGGTCGCGTTCACGACTGATGTTGAAAATCCCCGCGCATCTTTCTATTTTTCCGCAGGGTCTCCCGGGTTCTCAAGGGCCCACCGGATTCCCAGGAGCCAAGGGCCCCCCCGTGAGCTCCGCATGGACACTTCGCCATGTTTGCCGTGTCAGCCGAACTTTTCCTTTGCTCCGTGTCAGAAAGCGGACTTCAAAAATGCGCCCTCCACACGATGTTTCTCACAAACTGTGGCTTTGTTTTGCAGGGTCCGATCGGGAAGGAGGGCATGCCAGGCCACCCGGGGCAGAGGGGAGAGATCGTGAGTATCAACGGCGGACATGCCGCAGACACACGGCAGAGGTGGTGGCCTGGGGAGGCCTCCATCCAGCAGTGGATTGATCACGGCTGCTGATGATGATGATGACGATAAGGACGATGATTAGGAGCGGAGTGGCCTATCCATTAAAATCAATTATCGTGCTCACATTACTTACATCGAGCCATACATCTAAGAATTTAAAATGTAGACTCTATGCAAATTATCGGTTAAAATACCTCTAGGATAATGAAACATATGAAACTGAACAAAACAGTCAAATACAAACCAAACAGATGATATAAATAAGACGAAAACATAGAATCAGTTCTTTAAAGAAATTGTTACCCAGAATCATAACAATTCCCAGTCACCAATGACTACACGAATATACCTTTGACATACATTTTTTTCCACTTCATTTGACTAAATTCCCACTCTGAGTATGTAAAGTATCGGTTTGACTGCCTCGTGATGAATATTAGCAGGCTAGGTGAGAAAGTTTTTCCCATTCCATCAATGGGGACTCAACCAACACAATATTAATATCAGAAAATATCTCACCTTTAAAATGTCACCCACATCTAATTTACACCGTTGTACGTATTCTGCACTTAGCCACACACTTTTCAAGGTGCATCTTTAATCTCAAGGATTTAATCAGCTGGCGAAATAATGAATCTGGATTCATTAAATCAGTATTCACAGATGCAAACGGGAACGTAAAGGTGTTGGTATTAAAATGAAATCACTGGAGGTAGTCCAACTCTTCCTTCACAGTTTCCTTAGCCCCATTGGTCTGGGAATTTAATTAAATGCTAATTAGTTGCGACGGAGAGTTGGCTGGGAGACTCGAGGGACTGATCATATGTCAAGGACACTCAACCCCCCCACTCATGAAATCCCGGGTTTGAATTCTGCTTTTAAGCCTGGTTATCAGGCCTAGTACAGTGGCTATGAGTATCACGGCGGTGAAGGACACCCTTTGTAAACAATTCAAAATTGGCACCAGCTAGCCGTGGGTAAGGGGGGTGGTCTATTGATCACATCTCAGCCGGACGTCTCTGACACATCCTGGGTCATTCGTGGTCCGCTACTCTCTTGCGAGAGTTTCGAAAATGGAATTTTGTTCGGCTCAAGACGTAACACCCCTATTAGCAATTGGAACATAGTGAGAAGCAAAACGGCACAAAATAAGAATGACGGAGTTTAAACGTTACAAAAAAACGAGTAATAATCAGAAACAATCATGTACAGCCTCTTTGATAATTCATTGCTGGATGAGGGCTTCCCCCACGCTTGTGCAGGTTGTGGAGGTTAATCGACCGGGTCACGGTTTGTGAAGGCGGGGAAGCATAGACGTGGGAGCGTATAAGTACAGTACAACCAACAACGGATTCTTCTGCATTGACCTCTGCCACCCACCGCATAGCCACGCAGCATCTTATGACAACCTGTTGTGCACGTTGATTCCCTATCCAAAAAAAACCATTTTTTTATCTTACCAGGTAAGGCCCACTGAGCTGTATAGCTCTTTCTCAGAAGCGACCTGGTCACATATGATAAGGCCAATGAAATGGCTTATCGTGTGAAAATCTAGAGCCGCCAAATACTCTAAACGTGTGGTTTCTAAATGTGGAGGAGAGTAAAATCCACGCGACCACAGGGAGAACATGCAAACTCCAAATATACAGCAGCAGGCGTCAGGCTCGGTATCGAACCCGCTAGCTCCTGTATACCAGGCGAGGTAGTTAACATCGCACCACCGCGGCACGCAGCAACCTTTGAAGCTATTTTATTTCTTGCCGCATTGGTTGGGCAAAAACCCCGGTTAACCTGTTAAAAATGGAATCGCGGAAGAATTGATTGTCCGGTGGGTAAATCGGTGGAGGGAAAATAAATATATATAAAAAAATCAGTGGTGAATTAAGCAGGAATCGACAAAATGCCCCCAGTGATTTGATGACGGATGAGAGCTCCCTATAATGCGCTTTGCAATTACCAGGTTTCTCGAAGAGCGGGTCCCAGGTCGCTTTAACCTCCATTGATCGCAGGCCAAATGACATTCGCATCATGACACAAACATGACCTGCCGACCCACTCGTTTCTGCGTGCCCACGCCTATGTGTGTGTCCACGTATACGAGTACGTGTGTGTCCAAGCGTGTTTGTGTGCGCGTGTCCATGCGTGTGCGTTTGTCTTTGTGCGCGCAGGTGTCCGTGCCGTGTGCGTCTGTGTGCGTGTGTGTGCGTGTGTCCATGTGTGCGTATTTGTCCTTCATAGGTTCTCGCAAACAGCACTTGCCCCAAAATCTGTAAAAGCTATAGGGAGGATCTTTGTTTTTGGACATGCCTGTGTGTGCACCCGTGTGTGTCCACGCTTGTGTGCACGCGTGAATGTGTGCGTGTCCGTGCGTGTGTAAATGGGCTGGGCAAGTGATTCCACGTCCTGGGTTCTATTTTTGGTGATGATGCATTGTCAGTGGCAATTGGCCTTCAGACCTCTTGTGGGCATCCTGTAAGTCAATTCAGCCTTCAATGACTATCTGGTGGTGCGTGAGCATAACCACGTGTGAGACAAAAGCCACTAGCTCCACGTCACCCCTTTGTCTCCTGCGCTGGCTTTAACAGGTGCTCGCGAGCACGTTGAAGATCATTTTCCATCTGCTCAAACAAGTGTGGGGTGGTGCCCTGAGTCGGTGGTAGAAACTCCTACGTTACCATGGCAAGAACCAGTCCCTTACAAGGATCACTACTGTCGACTTCCTACAGGAATTGGCAGTCTGTGTGTCGGGCGGCAGGAATTGATTTGCACCGAGATCTGGTACCGGTGTCGCGCTGTTGAACTTAACTACCGTTATACTGCACAGTTCCGACAATAGACCTCGTGCCGACTGAGGAGCAGCGTCTGGGTTTGGTCTGCGGTGGTGAAAGAGGTGGCAAGCCTCGGTCAAACTGCGGTGCCACCCCGACCGGTTTGGCACCGCGCAGAATTCCTTTCCAGTCTCGGCGAGGTTCGTGACGTGGATTTGTCGTTTTAACCGTTGCATTATCTTTGTATTTCTTTCTGCAGGGATTCCAAGGAAAGACTGGGCCTCCAGGCCCTACAGGTGTTGTTGGACCGCCGGTAAGTTGTCTAAAAAAAATGCCTGAAAATAATTGCCCTTTTTATATGACCATAGACGAATTTTTCTTGACTTAATTACCAAATTAACACAGTGCACTTTTTAATACTGGTAGTTATTTTCAACGTTAAAGAATGCTGTCGTTATATACCTCAGTCTGCCTTGCATTTTCCCTGCAAACACAGCCATGCGAGACATCTAATGATTGGCATTAGGCGTGTGAAGCCTGACACTCGCTTCTTAATCGAATATACAAATACGACTGATCTTAAGAGTGCACTGTTGCTATGCACAATGGGACTCTAACATTTTTTCCTTCAATAATTTACGGTGTATAGAGTCGTTTTTACGGCTTCTGTCCATTCGTGGGACCTGTTCAATGCTCGGGGTCTCGTGTCCATCAATTTGAGACACAGCCCAAGGATGACTCACAGCCATCGCCACTAACTTATCGTGATTCCCCCCCCCCCCCCACCGTGCTCATGATCCACGTCAACTTTTACCTCCATCCCTTGGATAGCCCCAAGTGCTGATTCTTCTGCCGAATATTCGATTGGTCGTGCGTCATCAACGCAAGTCGAGGGTCATGCCAAGGGATTAATTTGTGATGGGGCATCTAGGGTGTCTACCAGCGGTCGTATCGCTTTGCCGGTCACCCTTCGCCAGTGGTGGATATTCCACGTTTCCATGGTGGGGGTGCCCATTCCTATTCCTTCTCTTCACACTGCTGATGTGCCTGCAAAGCGGTGCCCCCCTTTCGACAGCCCCCCCCCGCCCCCCCCCCCCCCCCCACGGCGACGATGTGCCCAACAGATCCGCGTCCCCATTTGGAACTCACGGCATTCTGGCTGCGAGACTAATGCTCTGAGAAATCAATGAGCAATGGGCGCGTCAATCCCACTCGTGGGTGACGGCCTCCCCAAACTGTGCCGGATCGTGGCGGTCATTTGACCATACTCTACGCTGGTCAGTTTAGGGTTGGTGAAGGTGAGACGTGTATACGGGGGAGCGTAGAAGTAGGGTACAACGGCAACATTTCGCGGGACTGCCCTCTCCAGACCAGCGTACGTTAGACCTGCTGCACGAACAGCAAATTGAGTAGTTTTTTTGTTTGTTTGTTAACGGCACAAGTTGTAAATTTAGTTAGAACTATATTCGATTTAACTGACCATCAAATCGACTCCACCCAGTTTAATCAAGTGCTGCCCACCAACTCCATCACCCCCCCCCCCACCACCGTCCCCCCCCCCCCAAAGTCAAACCCATGATCCTCAGCGGCCACCGGCTCCATGTCTCCCCAACATGGCCATTACGAGTCCCAGCGGTGCTCGGTAGCGCAGAACCCTTTAACTTTGGCGGTCAGCGCTCTCGGACGTGTCGGTGGCCTTTAAACGCAGAGGGGCCCTCGGCACGTCGAGCGGTGCGAGCCGCCGCAGCGGCGGCAGCAGCGAGACTTTGATTGACGATAAATGTTCGCAAACGGCCGAGCGAGAGCCGCATTTCCCCGGCACTATTGATCTAACGTGACCTTTTAGCTCGCGCCGACCAAGCCAATCGTACAGACAACACACGCGCCGCGCATTTTTCTCCGTGCGTGTGTGTGTGTGTATGTATATACAGGGGAGCGGTGGTGTAGCGGTCAGCGCGTTGCGCTACGAACCCGGCGACCCGAGTTCGATTCCCACTCATGGCCTACACCGGTGATGATTATCTGAACCGGTCCCGGGCCTTTGCTAGATACACTCAGCCTCAAACGAGTACCTGGTGTGGTGTGTAAACATCGCTACTGGGGAGACAAAGACGGCCAGGCGTGGTTCTGGTCACCCACCCCCTCCTGTGCAATGCCGACCTTCATAGGTGCTACTCGCTAACAGCACTTGCCCCTACAGTCTGTTAAGGCTACAAGGGGGATCTTTATTTCTTGCCTTGTGTGTATATATATACACGCATTCATGCGTCCGTGTGTGCACACATACATCCATGCGCCTATATTTGACATGCATGCGCACACGCAGACAAAATAAATAAATATGTACATGCACATTAACGCGTACACAAGCAGGTAAATACACACATAAGTGCAGGTACGAACGCACATACGTCCACGCATGTGCATGCAAAGGCACACACTCATAAGCATACAGATCTTCCGTGTTGTGCATATACACACATACGCTCAACAACAACAACAACAACCAGTATCACAACTCCGTGACAGAAGCTGCTTGGGCATGCAGTGGCTGTGCATGCAAGCTGCATGACCCAGCCAATGCAGCCTCGCCTGCTAGAGGAGCTCACTGATGAGACTTATCTAGACCTTTCAATGATCTGTGAGCTCCTCACACAATCCAGTCTGGTTAAACCCAGGATGTATCGTAGGCAGGCCAGCCTGAGTGTTTCAAACTGGCACAGATGTCCCCTTAAAGGGTTCCACTTTCGCAAGCAAAGAGAAGCGAGGGCATGACTGTAGCCGAAAAGACCTGGAGCTCCCTATGGAGCGACAGGCCAGGTAGCTTCTCCACAGTGTTATGCAGCTGATGAGACGATTCCATTCGACTGATTTGGAGTGAGACCTCCACTGCCAAATTGCCCACGTACAGAAACGTCTTCACTCTTTGCACAACTGCCCTATCAATCATGGGGAGTTGAGAGGGTGGAGCATTCGATGGCACAAAGTACCCAGGCAGGTGCTTCGTTGTTATGGGGCTGATGGTAAGGCCCCATCTCTTCGTAGTATGCTCCAGATTGTGCAGTAGCAACTCCTTCTCAAAGTGAGCATCAATTATAATTATAATAATTATCAGATCAGCATAAATAACATGGCTGACCAATAGGGAGCCATCCGATGACTGCACCCCCATTGTGTCTGTACCAGATAAAAACTTCTCAGGTATAGCCATGGAAATATGTTGTTAACGATGTGGTCAAAGAAGATGTTAAATGGTGTGTGGGCCAGAGGACATCCCTGTCTCACCCCAACTTGAACAGAAAATGGCTCTAACGCAGCTTTACCCGGGCCTGCCCACCAATCATAAATTATCTCAATGATTGTCAGCAGAGGGTCAGGGACCTTGGAAGCACAAAGAATAACCCAGACCCCTGGCCTGTTGATGGTATCATAGGCCTTCACCAGGTTAATAGAGCAGAGATGTCGGTCCTGTTGAAATTCCCTACACCTTCCGTTGTAGCAGTCGGACAGGGAATATGGCATCTGTTCACTCCCGCCCGGGTCTGAAACCACATTGTGGGTGGGTGGCCAATACCACAGTGGCGATGTTTACACACCGTACCAAGTACTCTTTTGAGGCTGAGTCTACCTAGGGGAGGCCTAGGACCAGTTCAGATAATATAATTGACACTGGTGTTGGCCATCAGCGGGAATTTAACTCGGGTCACCAGGTTCATGGTGCATCGCACTAACCCGCTTACACTACTTCTCCCACACACACAGATACTAACATATACAACCCTGCACACACGTAAGAGACATGCTCACACACACACGCAAGGGTTGTCTGCTCTGACGGAAGGCTTGGCATTAACTGGGTGCTTTACGCGTTAGCGAGCGCTGACAATCTCTGGCTCTGTACGCATGCCGAGTGCGTGTGCGTGAGTAATGCTGAAAGCTGGCGGATAATTCAGACACATGAGGACCGAAGCCATTATACAGACCCAAATGATCGTCAACATCATTATTCGCTTCTCCATAATTTCATTTCGCTTGCCAAAACTTTTTCAAGTGAAAATGAAAATTACTCTTTTTTTGGCATTTATACTGCCTTGTGTTTTGTTGTTGTTCCACTATTTGTGTTCCGTAAAGCTTATACAGTACCGCACATTGCGAATAATGTTTGCAGTAATTATGCACGTACACATGCGGTGAAATGGATACTGACATAGTCATATAACCTAGCATATGCGACATTGGTAATACAGGCAAACCCCGTTTTACACCCAGGATGCGTTCCTGAAAAGCAGAATGTAAATAAAAAAACTACTTAAATGGAAGCATGTTCGTGGGGAATAAAAAAAAAATAGACTGCACGTGGAAGATATTTTGATGGCCAGTCAGGGACGAATCACGCTGGGGTGCCTCACGACATCTGGCACCTAAATGTTGGTCGTGAAACGTGAAAATATTGGGGCTTAATGGTCAAGTCCGTAAACCTCGAGTGCGCTATAGCGAGGTACCCACAGCACACAAAAACGGGATTGGGTTTGGGTAAGCTGAGTTCGCCGGAGCGAAAGTACGCAGAGCGAGAGGGCGGATTTCCGCTGATGCTGCTGTCGTGTTGACGGTTGTGCACAAGCACAGTGAAAAACAAAGACAACTCAACACATTCAACCAGTAACACTGCGACCTTAAGAGGAAACGGCCCTTCACCGATATACATGGTGTGAACGAGGTCACTCCTTTACCCAAAATGTCACCGAAATACTTTTCCTGTTCAGGCCGCAGTGTTAATGACGGATATACACACACACACACACGTTAGATGTATTCAGATACAAAGTAAAGAAAGAAATAAAAAAAATCTCTAAATTTACAACACGATCAGTTCTCACCGGCGTTATTTATTGTACACCGACATACAGCAGCAGTAGCAGCTGCTGCTGCCCGTATTTATTTAGCACGTGGTGCAGTGGTGCTCCGTCGCTTAGCAACGCGGCTTTGAAGCCTCTGGATGGACCCTTCTGCTGTGTCGCCGCAGCAGCAGACAAACACCGAGACACGTCCAAGCGATGTTTGTTGGAGCAGCGCTCGGCACAGACAGGGCACAAGGGCGGTAATGCCCGGGGGGGGGGGGGGGGCTCACGGGGGCAGACTGCAGCCTCGCCCGGTGCCCAACGCGGCATTGTGGGACACGACCGAAATCAATCACTTTCCGTTCTGTACTTCAGAAAAAGAAAAAAAATGAGAAGATATATGTGGAGCCTGTCAACCTATTGGCATTCCTTACCGAGACTTATGGTAACCAGTAGCATGCGCTTAAGCACAGAAACTTTTAACGGGTTCACCATTATTCGAGCTCATCTGCACTCAGCCGTGCGACATGCACCTTGCCCGGGGCTCAGAGAGCCGTGATTCAGTGTTAATTCGAGTAAAACTCATACTGGCATCAATTATATTTTAGGTTTCATAATTCCCGAGACTCAGAGAGCTGGACTTCCACGCTCAGGATGCTTTGCGCCCTTTTGCTTGGCTCAGCTCAGGCTTGGGCTACTCAGCTGCTCTCAAAGACGCGTGATTGGCTCAGCCATGGCTCAGCTCAGACTCAGCTCATAGAAATCTTGCCCATGGCTGGGACCGTGTTCATAGGCGGCTCAAGTTAAGCACGGCTTTGAGGCAGCTCACTTGAGCCCAGAGCCAAGCCTAAGCCTATCAGTGACTAAGAATACGGGCCTTGGCGATCGAGTGTAAGTCTTACAGGGCCCATAGAACCAGACAAAGTGTCCGCTATGATTCTCGGGGTTCAGTGTTCATGTCCAGTCTCACAGAGCCAGCTTTCGTACCAGTGCGGCTTGTGGGTTTCTATAGCGAATCAAATGTGGAGCTGTCTTACACTGCGCCTGCACGTGCAGTGTACTCACGTGGAGAGCACTCACCACACACACACACACGGCGCGTGTTTGTGTACCCTCCCACGCACGTGCCCACTTGCCACCATTGTCGTCCGCGGGACAATGTTTGCGAGCTCCCGTTTGCGCGCTGCTGTCTCCGCCATGCAGGGGCCCACGGGTCAGACGGGCCAGAACGGTGAGCGGGGTCACCCAGGGCCTCCGGGACCCCCCGGGGAGCCTGGCCTCCCTGGGCCCGACGGGAAGGAGGGGACAAAGGTAACGGACGCGGCGATGGGGACATACAAGGGTGCTTTAAAAAAAAAAACGAGAATTTTTCTCCGAGTCCTCTGGTTTTTCCCACCACATTTAGACTCAACGCGCTTTTGGAGTATTTGGCAGCGATACATTTCCATGCGATGAGCCACTTCGTTGAGCTATAATTTTTGATAGGCAGGTCTCTTCTGAAAAAGATCTCCGAAGCTCAGTGGGCTTTACCTGCTAAAATAAAAAAAGTTTTTTTTTCTAATTGGCTTGAACTAAGATCTCAATACTGCTTACTCAGTGCCTGAACCAACCAGAGCTACCCTACGTGAAAAAAAATAAAATTTAATATCACGGTTTTAATAAAGGATCATGCAAATTTCATTGCTTCATTCAGAATTCATTGTTTTGCTCCGGCAATCATTACAGCTTTACAAGAATGCAGCAGCTGTTATAGAAAAAAAAATACTTTGAAGGTTTTAATCAATAGTTGCTATTACAAAAAATACAACACCGAGAGAGGACATTTAAGTCATGCATAATCAAAACTTGGGTCGCACATACAAATCAGCCGCATGCATAGTTAATGGTACAAAACTTCTACCATGTGAAACAGCAAAGTCATACGTCCCCAATTAAATATTCATGCGCGGATAAATGTAAAATAACACGTCGCAAATCGTGCAACCAAAACCGTGTTGCATAACGCACAGCGTGCGTTGTGAAGGCGGACTGTTGGTTTTATTTAAGCATGTGGAATCCAAAGAGCATCATAGTCTCCACGATCTTGCTACTCTTACAACCTCGTGGTGGCTTAATTTACGCAGTCAGTTCCGATGCCGATTCGTCCTGTTATGGCGCGTTGTTTTTTGTTAATTTTAGTTTTTATGTCGTCTCTTCTTTAGGGTGACCCGGGACCCGCTGGACCTCCAGGAAAGGAAGGATCACCCGGCCTGAGAGGCTTTCCTGGCGAGAGAGGCCTGCCAGGCCCAGTGGTAAGCCTCCCCCCAAAGCTTCCCTCTCAGATGTACCCCCACGAAGTGAAGGTGGAGCTGTCCTCCAGCTCGAGCCCTGCATGGGGCAGCCGTTCATCCCTGCCAGCGGAGGAAATTCCACAGCTCCGTGTTGAGAGGCCGATTTTTGCCGTTGGGCAACCAGTGTTGGCTTCTCAATGCAATGGAAGGGGGGGGGGGGCGACTCATTTAATTGACCACAGTGGGATTTTCAGTTCAGTTCAGTTTCATGTATTAGGTATAACCCTGTGAGCCATGTGGCTCTTGACTCGGGTGCAACCGCAAGAAAACAAAAACATGAACAAGAAACTTCTTAAAGTGACTACACGCAAACAAAAAATCCAGGAAAAAACAGCAAAGTCTTCCAGAAAAGACACCGTATTTCAACGCTGTGTGCAAAAATCCCAGTGGGATACAAGTCAAACAATAACAACCATAAGACAATCTAGATTAAAGTTACCAGTCTAACTCTGTACTACAACAAACAAACATGGCTAAACCAAAACGTTTTCAATCACCAAAATAAATCTATAAAAAAAACGTTACAGTGGTCATAGGAACTGTGATTCAAATTAAAACAATAAACGATATACATAACATGTACGACCAAACTTTGCAGCCATAGCTGGCAGCATGAGTCACTCCATGCAGCAGGAGTATCAGTAGGAGTATCAATCACGCGATTGGGTTCTGTGTTGGCGCACCTATTTCCAACGGCGGTTGACGCAAAAACACACAGCTCTGTTTGTCCATGCAGCAATGACAGCAAATGCCCTTGCACAATCAAAAATTAGACTATAGTAGTAGGTTTTTACCCTTTAAACTGGTACAAAACTGACACTTTTGTACCAGTTCAAAGGGTAAAAACCTACTACTATATTTTGCCACTGGTAAAGGAGGTCTCATAGTGTAAAAGAATTAGACTCTCGATGTCCCGTCACCAACGTTTCATTTGCTTCTACTTTAGTTCAGACTGCATTAATGATCGCTCAGAGTAAAATGTTTTTTTTCTTTACAATTGACGTCAGCAAATTCTCCTGCAGGGTCACTGACGTATGTAGGGTAGGCCAACCCCTGCCACCGGATTACCCCACCCTCGACCCACAATCTCTCACTTCTCCACATCACGAGCGCGTGCAGCGTAGAGCTAAGCCACTCCGATCCTAATTGTATAAAAGTACATCGTTATTGATGTCTTTAATTATATATTTCTTTAAATTACTTTAATTATATTATTTTTACCATTTGCTGCACCATTTGCCCGATTGTGGAACAGTTTGATTTCCGGCAAAGGCCAACATCGGTGGGATGTGATATCGGAAACGGTCCTCTTCCCTGTCCTTCAGCAACCTGCACTGACCGGCGTGGTGAAGTATGGTAAAAAAAAACCCTGACCGACATGGCGTGCGGGAGGCCTTCAACCAGTGGGCTGATAATGGCTAGAATGTAGTATTTATTATTTTACATCTTTATTACGGAGAAAATTACTTCAAAGTGAATTTCACGATCACCGTAGTGATGTCACTGCACTGTAACTGTGTATACATTTAAATAAAAGGCAACACGCAATGATGTCACTGGAGAACTCCTTGAAGTCACTCTAAAGTATTTAATTCCCCATTTAATAAAGCATGAAACTCCTGCTGGGCACTGTGGGCCACACAGGCTCAGTGCTTGAGTTGTTGTCCCGGAGGCCGGGAGATCGTTAATCGATGTTCGGTCACCGGGTCGATGACATTGTTGTGATTTCTCACTTAACAGAGTGAGCTGCGTGGAGGCTACCATCTTCCACGCCACAGCCCACGTGTGAATGTGCAAACAAATGAGCCTTTCGCATTTTGGAATTTTGTCTTCGTTTAAGTGGTTAAAAGAAGACTGTTTTCATTTAAAAAAAGCAGTGATTATTCAAGGTCCCAAACGTCACACCTCCTGGCTTAGACACTCCTCGAAGACGCTCGTGTGACCATGAACCCCATCGCACCATCGACAGGCCGGTGCGCACATCTCCTTCATGAATTGAGAATTATAGACACAAGCTGCGGTAGTGCAACTAAAACTACGGATCGTACGGTAAACCACTGTGGTCTCCGCTCCTTCAGCGGAGGAGAAGGAACGGCCAAACCACACAAACTCTCTCCTCTCGTGCTCAGCAGTCTTCGACATTTTCACTTGGCTCCTGAAATTATTTTTTCTGCCATCACTCGCGAGAAAAAAAAACCTGTCGTTACGTCCAACTGTGAAACTGAATGCTTCTCAAATTTCTGACAATACAACGGCTATATAAGCAGAGCCTGTGGGTCAGTTTCAACACGCACACGTTGTTTTACCACTAATCATAGCCCAGTTGTGCCGCTGTCATCAGTCATGTCAAGGGGTTGGATGTAACGCAGTTGACCCATGTTGTGTCAGGGAGTTGCCCCGGAAGAAGATACCACAGAACTACTCTCGAGTCACGTCTATCGGCTTCTCTCACCCAGCTCGAGACGGGACTCATTCATGCTCTGCAAGGAGCGATTGATCTTGTTTCAGTTATCCCAATTATTTAGAACGGTACTGAAGATCATGCACGAATAATAACGGCTGTGTTATGGTGAATGTTTAATCCCGACCGTAATGAAAATATCTAGATGGCCGTTGTGAACCCTGGATCTTAGCGTGACAGGCTCAGTGATCTGACAGCGCTCGCCTCTGCGATGTCCATAATTACAGACTTGGTGTAATTAACGAAAAACAATTAAATAATACGACATTGCAGCTAACAAAGCATGTTGATTTCACTGCATCACATAGGCACTAAATTCTAATTAACATTATATCGCGAATGCGTTGTGCAGATTGTACAGTTAATCAGCATAAATAAGTAGATGCTTTTTTAACGATGTGGGTCATTGAAATTGTAATCACGAATCACCTTGTGTTCTGTGCAGTACTTCACCCATTCATTATATATATGTTTTGTTTGCTTTGGGCTGATGGAGCACCTGAATGAGTGTTTTGCGTTGGTACTTTTAGTCCCATTAGCATTCCCTCCCGACTGTCGCCGAGAACTCCCGCACTCTGGGCGACATTGGTGTTGAGAAGCGTGCTCGTGTGTGCTGCATGGCAGGAATATAATAGCGGTCTGAGAACACTGGGCCAAAATACAATCGCAAAGAGATCACTCCCGTTAAGTACGGTCGAGGGAACAGAGTGGGAAGAACATTGGTACATTTTAATTCCGTGCAGCTATAGTGAACTGGCCTATTTAAGAATGAGAAAGATGTGAGAAATATATTTCGGGGGGCTGATAATGGGCAGATGAGAGCTGCCGAGGCAACGCTGCAGACACCCTGGGTGTGACTCCGTGCTTGATCCACGTTCTCAAAGTCCAGAGAGTTGTTGTTCTCCATACAGTCACAGCGTATAGCCCAGGTCGCCCGTGTGATTTTCACACAAACGTATCCACACGTTGGAGGATTGTGGCAAACCGCAAAGCTTGAAGGAGCGCCGTCCAGTGTTGGGTGAGAGCGCCCCGAATCTGTGTGACTCGGTAGTAGTTCTGTAGCGTCAGCTTCTGGGGCAGATTTCCTGCCCGAGGGACGTTCCACCAGGAGACAGTTGGTCACCTAACGACGCGACTCTTGATAGCGGCGCTGCTGGGATATCGTTTAGCGATTAAATAGATACAAAGTATGAACAAAGGCGAGGAATTTTCATCTTTAAATTTGAGTCGATATGAATTGCTCAAACAAATTTAATATAAGAAGCGGGTAATCACAATGTCGGAGTATCTTAGCTGCTAAGCTCTGAGATCACTGGTGAATGACCTTGACCTTGCAGCCAATCAAACGTCGCGTTTCCAGCGAGCCGCTGAAACTCGAGGATGAACACGAATTGCTTCCCCTATCTCGTGTTGAATTCTCATCGAAGCGCCCCACCCCCCCTCACCCACTGCCCTGAATTTCCTTTGTCAGGATTCAGAGTGACCGGAAAGGCAGCCACTTGCACGTCGTTCAAAAATATTGTGAGTGGCAGGAAGTATTGAATTCAACATTGTATTTAATATTTCATCTTGTCGGCAAGGCAGCCTTGAGCTTTAGCTAACAAGTATTTCTGGGAAAGGCTTACTCGAAATGCCGGCCTCGTGACTCAGCGGGAGAGCGAGAGCACCTTGCAATCGGAGGGTTATGAGTTTGCATCCAGGTTGAGGGTTGACTCACACTATCATCCTTCCGGAGTCTGTAATTATTTGAAGTCAACATTGGTTCCCCTATGGATAGACGTTCCCCTGTCATAGGAATGGCTCGGGGCTGTAAACAGGACTCGAGCACCAATGCCTCAATGCTCTTTTGGGCAAAGAATCGTGGGAGAGGTGCACGCTCGGCATCACACCGATAGACAACACGAGCCACACACCGACCAGAGCACGTACGCAGGGTGGCGACACGATTTTGCCAGAGGGCCTGGGTGGGGCACGCTGGGTCGTGGGGAAAGATCCGTCCAAATTCGCACGAGAACGCGAGCGATTCAAAAGGTCATGGCAGCGACTGTTGCGCATGATGTCGGCGGCAATACGTTCAGGAGCTAGGTGCCGATGTCAAGGTCTGCTGCTGCTGTTGGCCACAACGGGAGGGCTTCAGGAGAGAAATCGTGCCGTTTTGCTGTTCCTCTGTTGAATTAGCGCAGAGTACAGTGGTTCACGGTATCGGCCATAGGTGGGTTGCGTAGCCACAATCGCACCACTGCGGCTTGTGTCTTTAATTTAAATGTACTAGGAGGTGCTCACTCAGAGAAGTGGATTGATTAAAACACACACGCACACTTCATAAAACATTGTTTGCCTTTGAAAACTGATGAGAAGTTTCACTTGGGGGTTGGGGGAATGAGCAGAAACGTGATCGATTAAATTTTGGAATACTCTCTAGACTTTTTTAAAAATATATATTTGCCCTTTTACGTGTTTTCATTTGAAGAGGCTCACTTTGCTGCCAAACTCCGTATCACATCGACTCGGTGCCAGCGGCAGCACAGGTGCTGAGCTACCGATGTTCTGAGATTCTCTGATCGTCCGTCGCCTCTCTCGTTCTGGCAACAAGAAGAGACAACAACAACAACAACGTAGTTTTATTTGGTTTAACACGTAGGCTTTCCGCGACCAGTATTATTCATAAGGAAGGTATTTGGGTTAGATCGCGTAAGTATACATGTGTCGCGACCCTCCAGCAAACAGCAATAAAACGTGGTTTTATTGTTAATAAAACAATAAAACGTGGTTTTATTGTTGTTTGCGAGGCGCCTATGGAGATTTTGTCAGTCCATTTTCCGCTAAGCTAAACCCTGGCAACAATAAAAAGTAAACCGCTCTTCTCTCGCAGCTACTCACCTAGGATTTGGAGGGCAGGGGCAAAATCCCAATGTGAGATTGTAGCATCATTGGATGAGGGCAAAAGAGACTTTTAAGTGACATTACGGTGGCTAGGAGATGTTAACTACCTCGCCTAGTATACAGGAGGTCGTGGGTTCGACCCCGACCCTGACGGTGCCTGTATATTTGGGGTTTGCGTGTCTCTCTCCCCGTGATCACGTGCATTTTTTTCCGGGCTCTCCCGTTTTTCCCACTCCACATTTAGAAACATGCATCAAGGGTGTTTGGGCTGCGAAACATTTCCACGTGATCAGTTTCTCAAAAAGAGATATGTAGCTCATTGGGCCTTACCTGGTAAAACAATAAATACTAATCACCGCCAGTGTCCCTGTCATATGTTTATTAAAAATGTATATGTCACTGCAGCAATGTGGTTACAGCACCACAGCGTTACAGCTCAAAGATTTTTTTATGGATATTTTTTCCTCATTATTGAAGCTCTAAACTCACGCCGGACAGCCTGTGATGCACAGGACCAAGGTAGTATGGATGTGCCCCCGATTTTTAGATCAATGAAACAATACAAATCTGAAATTAGGCCTTGAATACAACATTTCGAACAATCTTAATAAATTATATCTTCATAAGAGCTGTTTTTTGGGTTAGATCGCGTAAAAATATAAATGTGTCGTGAAACCCGACATAGCCAATAAGTAAGGTTTGTAAAGGTGATACCAATATTATATCTGTCAGATTTTTCATGACCGTGCTAGTAACGTCACCAATATGGCAATCACTTTTGCTGTTTTGACGCCAAAAACGGTACCACCTGACACCATCAAAGGCACGCAGATATACAACGTCATGCCAAATAATCTGAGAATCTAAAATACGTCCTGAAATATTTCCTCGAAAATCCAACAATGAAAACTGAATATCTGAATCTCAAACGTTTATAACACCGCTGCCTCTGCCCTTTAATCGCATTTCCCTGATTCAGTCAGTGATTTGCAAAGTGTGACATTTTCATAATCGAAAACATCATCAAGTGAATATAGCCATCACTACAAAAAAAAATATCTATTTCAATTATCACCGTTACATTGGCCCTTGTAAAATATCCATTCGTGAACTTTTTAATAATATATCATTCATTCATAGCGTCTCTACCGTCTGCTGCATTACCTTTGTGAGCTACTGTTGCGCGCAGCTTTAAGCAATGCAGTTCCATTCATTATCTAACGCGTGCGGCAGTAATTTACGTAACTGTGACAATATATACGATCTTAGTATTTAACTTATTTATCCCCTCGGTACGAGGACTGCCTTGTCTCAATGAGCTCTCCTTGCTTTGAATGATCATGTTCGATTGAATTCATGGATTTCGAATATGCTTATTATTATTCATGTAATAACAATAAAAAGAATATCGTAAAAAAAATTATCATCACAGTAATAACAATTTCGATTTAAAGCTTTCGTGACTGCAGGGATTCATCTTCTTGGTTCTTTCGGTAAAGTCACGTAGAAGGTAAATAATACAATAATAAAAATCAAACATAATAAAATACAATTCTCACGACGTTTCGGCCACAACGCAAGCAGCCGTCCTCAGGGGAGACAGCGTCTGATGCTGTCTCCCCGACAGACCTGGTCTTCACCTGAGGACGGCTGCTTGCGTTGTGGCCGAAACGTCGTGAGAATAATTTTATTATGTTTTATTTTTATTATTTCCCTTCTACGTGACTTTACCGAAAGAACCAAGAAGAGTAATAACAATTTTATAGACCTGGCAGATCCACTGCTGGATGAAGGCCTCCACCACATGCCTTGTCAGCCATTGTGGATTGTTTGACCATACTTCACCACACTGGTCAGCGTGGCTTGGCGAAGTTGGGGGGGGGGGTGCCCAGGCCGCTTAACCGATAGCCAGGGCCGGGAATCAAACTCGGGTTTTTTTTTGCTTAATTACCCAGCGTAGCACCCCAGCCACTGCACCACCACCCGCTCCCCCATTATGGATGCAGGCTGTAGTGGATGCAGCGTAGGGAGTTTCGAGCCAGGCAATTGTTAAGCGCAATGAACGGTTTGCTTGCATCAACAAATCTCAAGTCGCCGTTATTAAAGGCAGAGGCGACACTTAACGGCAGCGCCCGCGGCGTGTGGAGCAAAAACAGCCGCAGCGGCTGCGACTCCGCGCACGCCGCGCTAACAGAATAACCTCGCGGCCATTGGTTTTTGTTTCTATGCTCACCCCGTATCTCCCTTTAACATCTTTCAATTAAAAAAACGCAAAGAGATTGCTGCCACAGCTGGTTGTCACGGTTCGCACGCTTGGGCTTTGCGATCTGGATGTCTCCGTTTCGATTCCGTCTCCCGATGGTGGCGGTTGCGACGATGGTGCAAGCTTCTGAAAGTCCCCTCCGACTGTCTCTCGTGCGGTGAAGTGTGGGTCACGCCCGCTTCTTCCACGACGTCTCTTTGGCGTGCAAGATGAGGCCCAAAAAGCCCCCAGAGTTGACCCGAGAGGGCCCTCGAGTCGAGGCTCTTCTCTGCCAGTCGTGGCTTGAACAGACAGCCAACGGCAGGGGCAGCAGTACCCAGTGGCGCAGATCGGTTGTATGTTGAACTTCATTTGCACGGCACATAGCCAACCGTGCTAATCGGAAAGGACAGCGACTAAAAATACAAAAAGCAGTTTTAAAGATATGAATTTTCAATGTACATGATTTAAAAGTGAATAGCTCCCAGTGGCTTCTGAAAATCGGAAGGAAGAGAGCGTTCCAGACGGCCGCAGACGCGCGTCTGAAAGCGCGCGATGCTCGCAATTGGCAAAAGCCTCCCAGTTTGAAGTTTACATTGATGCCAATGAGCTCCTTATGCAGCCGTTTTAGTTGTGTCTATATTTCGAGTTGTGAGGCTGATATACGAATCGTCATGAGACTCCTGACTCTTTGAGTTCGTGAGGCTAATGTGACTTAATCCCACATTTCGTGTTTGAAATATAATTATCTTATTACTTCCGTGATCGATGTCTCATAACGAACGTTTCATGTCGCAAATGCAGATACTGTGGTCTGTCTGCGGGGATGGTCTGTGTGCAGATTGGCTGCTGCTGCTGCTCTATTCACACCAAACCAAGCTACTGATAACTTTAATTTCCCCTAATTGTTTCTGTTTTCATAATAAACAAAAAGTTACTATGAATAGTAATCAATCGGTGCATTCGAAGCAATGTAATCAGATTACGCAGCGAAAACAGATTGCTCGTACATGACTATCAACATCTTCCTTTTCGGAATCTGAGTACGGTCCCCGCACCACCACTAATTATAGTTTGGCGTTTGTATGTGAAAGAGTAAAACCCATAAAGTGACACTAAATGTATTAGCTTAAATGAAAGAATTGCCATCCGTTTCTCCGCAGTGGCCTGTGTGGGTCATTCGTTACTGCGGTCTTCCAAACGTACTCGTGTGTGTGCACGCCGGCCTGTGTGTAGTGTTTATTTATTAGACACTTGCTCACAATTTGTTGGATTTATCTAAAACCCCACAAAATTCTGAAAATCCAAAACTGCGAAGCGTTCAAATCCGAATCATGTCCCTGATACGTACGTGCGGTGATAACGAGTTTCACTCCCTACGCTGTGACCCCAGCGACGTGGGTTCAGTCCCCAACCACCGGTGCTCGCTCCTGACGAGAGGCATCTGAACCTGCACTGAGGACCCGATGCAGTGTGTTAGAAAACAACGCCCGAAAACACAACGACAGCCAGTGCACGGTGCTGGAATCCCTCCCCCGCTTGCGTCGTGGTGACTTTGAAAGGTGCTCGCTATAACAGCGCTTGATCCTCCTGTGTGTGAGGCTAACCATGTGGTGTTTGATCTGTGCGTGTGTGTGTGTCACAGGGAATCCCAGGCCTCAAGGGAGACCATGGTCCTGCCGGTCCCCCAGGTCCTGTGGTGGGTACAAAGCGTCGAGCCCGGCCCATTACCTCTTCTTATATGTCGACGTACCCACGGTCGTTGTCGATTTCTACCATGGAATTAATTTTTATTTCGGTGGCTGTATCAGTGTGTGTGCATATGTTTGTATGTATGTAGGTGTCTGTGTGTGTATATGTGGTAAACATAGCCTGGCACAAGCGTTGTGGTGACTTCATCATCACTTGGTCGCGAATGGCGGTTGTTGCTGTTGTATGTGGTGCTGGGCGCCCACCCCCTCGTGTGCCGTGCCGGCCTTCATAGGTGCTGCTCGCTAACAGCACTTGCCCCAGCAGTCAGTTAAGGTTATACGAGGGATTTTTGTTTTGTGTGTGTGCATGTATGTATCTCTTTGTGTGTCTATGTCAGGGGTCGGGAACCTTTTTGACTGGGAGAGCCATAAAAGCCAAATATTTCTAAATATATTGCATTGAGAGCCATATAGTATTTTTAACGTATAATAAATTAAATATGTATCACTTTTAATGCGACTTCTGATGCTGCATGGTTTTGCTGATGGCCTTGTAGTCTGGTTCGTACGTGGTGAGGTTGAGCTTCATGCAGGCGTTGAGGCCCCGTGACCCGTGACATTTATCTTCAAAACTAATTTCTGTTTACTTTAAAATGACACAGTATTATTAAGCAATATCACAAGTATTTTAAAATCAGTTCCAAACTGATTTTTGTATTTTTTTTTCAACTCAAAATTTTCTGGGAGCCATATGCCGTCACCAGAAGAGCCATATATGGCTCGCGAGCCATAGGTTCCCGACCGCTGGTCTATGTGTTGGCTGGGTAATGTAGCCCGCATGCCCAGTCACCGCATGCCCAAGCATGTTTGGCCGGATAGATGGGGTTAAATGGGCATGACACGGGTTGTGAAGGACGCTACTGGGCAGTTGGAGGCAGTCGCCCTCCAACAACAACGGAGGGCGGAGGAGCGACGCTCACAACAACGAGCGGAGCGCCGGGTGGCTAAAGCACAGCAAGTTGGCACAGTAGGGGGCACAGGTGGTGCATCAGCCAGTCATCTCGGTCATCTCGGTCAGTCGACCCGTGGCACCTGCTGGGTCTGCCCCGTGACCTCCTGCCAGCGGGCTTTCGACACTTCACGTGGCCTCAAGGTGCACTTGGCCTGGCACAAGCATCGTGGTGACGTCACCGCCACTTAGTGGCGAATGGCGGTTGTTGTTGTTGTTGTTGTTGTGTGTGATTGTGTGTGTGTGATTGTGTGTGTGTATGATTGTGTGTGTGTGATTGTGTGTGTGTGATTGTGTGTGTGATTGTGTGTATGATTGTGTGTGTATGATTGTGTGTGTGATTGTGTGTGTGTGATTGTGTGTGTGATTGTGTATGTATGTGTATGATTGTGTGTGTGTGATTGTATGTGTATGATTGTGTGTGTGTGATTGTGTGTGTGTGATTGTGTGTGTGATTGTGTGTATGATTGTGTGTGTGTATGATTGTGTGTGTATGATTGTGTGTGTGTGATTGTGTGTGTGATTATGTATGTATGTGTATGATTGTGTGTGTGTGATTGTGTGTGTGTGATTGTGTGTATGATTGTGTGTGTGTGTGATTGTGCGGTAATTTCTCTGGCCCCAGGGTTCGCCTGGTGAGCGAGGGCCTGCAGGCCCAGCCGGCCCCATCGGCCTCCCCGGCCGCCCTGGAACACCCGGGCCTTCTGGGCCCACAGGAGACAAGGGGGCCCCAGTGAGTGCTCCTCACCCACACACCCACCACACACACCCCACACACCCACCATCATCATCGTTGTCTTCATCGTCGTCTTCGCTTGCAACCCACGGCCTGGCCGTGTCACTCTGTGGTCAGAGGACTCCAACTCGCAGTCACAAGGGTCGCGAGTTCGAATGCCGGGCAGGTGTTTACTCACAAATCCCCCACCACCATCATACATCAATCACCATCATCCTCCATTATTAATCCATCATCATTATCAACCCGTCAACATTATCGTCATCAATGCACCATAATCATCTAAGGTCGATAAATTGAATACCACTGGGTAGTCAGCTCCCAGAGCAGGCTGAGTGGTACAGGGGAGCTATCACATGTCAGAACACCGGATCATTGCGCCTCGGACCTCGGATTGAATCTAGGTTTCAGCTGCCCGTTTTTAGACTGATGAACGATGATTGCGTAGGTTTGATCGCCATTCGCCATTCACTGTAGTCGCCAAACTCGGCTCCCAGTTTCTCCCGCACGTCTCCCCCGCAGCTAAAGAAGCTCTTGCAGTGAAAGTGTTTGCATCATGGTGGTGAAGCGACGTGAGGAGCTGTGAGCGGTTTGATGAGCGAGACAAAAGAGTTCCTCGGTGTGGGGATTCAGTCCTTCTGACATCGACGATGATGATGACGACGATGATGATGACGACGACGATGATGATGACGATGAGGATGATGATGACGACGATTATGATGATGATGATGTTGACGACGTTGACAATGATGATGATGATGACGATGATGATGATGACAATGATGACGATGATGACGACGATGATGACGATGATTATAACGATGATCATGATGTTGACAATAACGATGATGATGTAAAATAACAAAACGTCCCATGGGGGTGAGGAAATCTACGTTGGGTCAGCGCTGATCGGGACGAGCCCACGAATTGCGCTGCGCTGGGTGACCTGTGGTTCAACGCCGGGCGGTTTCAAAACCAAGATTTGAATCCAGCGGCGTCGCCTCGTGCTGTCGCCGTGCCGATCAAGCTCCCCTTTTTGTCGTCTGACAAATCGATGGGGGGGGATTTGGTTGGACGCAACGGCCCCAACGAATTATCGCAGCGGAATCCGACGGCGGAAAATTGTTTAGGGTTGAGGGGCGGCCAAGCTCGGAGTAATCCTCACCGTCGCTGCCAACGTGGCGCTAAGAAGGATGATTTCATTACCGGGAAGCAAAGATTAAATACATTAAAGTTAAGCACATTGCGGTTTGAAAGCGTTGGCGTTGCGCAACGTTACGTATTTTGGGCAGCCGCATTTGATGCGCTGTTGACGGAAGGTGATATTTCTTTGTCTCCTTCATCACTGGGTATAACTTCCTACTCCAAAGAACCATTACTCGAAATAACAATGAGCTGCACGTGTGCTGTTCCGGTTATTTTGTCCGTTTTCAAAAATTATTAATACGAGTCCATAATAGAATGGCGAATTGAGCCCAAAAGAATATGCTGTGCGTAATAAGGTTATAATGAATCCTAGGCGTTCACTAATTTCTTGAAGCGCTTGCGGCATTGCGTTTTTCTCTTGCCTCGGTGCCGAGTTTCTACGTGAAATGCTCGTGTACGGGGCCGAGGCTGTCTCCCAGAGGCGAATTCACATTGAGCGGCCGAGTCGGTGGCGCAGTGATAACACCTGTGTGTCCCCGGGTGCGATTCTAGACTTGGGGTGCCTTGCTGTGTACAGCTTTGCATGCTCTCCCCCCATTCTGCATACAGTGTAACTGCATGCAATGGTCATACAACTTAGACGGATTCTAGACCCACCCTGCCCTGTCTCGTGCTGCCCCATGTTTCATTGTGCTGTCCCTGCACTGCCCCGCGTTGCTCCATGCTGCCCCATATTGCATTGTGCTGCCCCATGCTGCCCCGTGCTGCCCCATGTTTCATTGTGCTGCCCCATGCTGCCCCATGTTTCATTGTGCTGCCCCGTGCTGCCCCATGTTTCCTTGTGCTGCCCCGTGCCGCCCTGTGCTGCAACGCTGATTGGCGACGGGGTTTTGCGCTGCGGGGCGAGAAGGGAGATGAAACGACTCCCACCCCCGGTTGTCACCCTGCATCGCTGCCGACGCTGCCGCCAGCCTGGTCACGTTTGGTCAAATCTCTTTTGGTGCCGACCCGAGACGAAGAGAATCACGACGCGCCTCTTCACGGAGGCTTCGGTGTTTCTTTGACACCGCTTTGTGTGCGCGCCGTTTGAAACTTAGGGCGAGAAAGGGCAGGAAGGCCCATCAGGCAGAGACGGCATCCAAGGCCCCGTTGGACTTCCCGGACCAGGAGGGCCTCCGGGACCTCCTGGAGAGGATGGAGACAAGGTGAGCATGAGGCCTTCTCTCTCGACGGACGCGAGAGGAAGCCACGTGGAGCAGCGTTTCTTTCATGCATGTCCATTGCAGTAGTTTACTGGCTTTCCAAAACAGTATTGTTTGTGTAATGGCACGGATAGAAAATACCTGAAAAAAGACATCTTCTTTTTATCTTTGGTAAATATGTATGCAGTGAACGAATGTGGATAAATCGGCTGCATTGTAGAATTCTCTCCGATCGCCACGATAATCTGGATTCTGCTGTGCAAGCAATGCATGGATCTTGCTTTCAGCCACGGAGGAACAGTTCTGCTTTGTAAAGTACTTTACCGAAAAAACCTAAGAATATGAATAGGAGGTGACTCTCCTTATGGGAGTACGGGAAATGCAATAGTACAGATACAGCCCTGCAGTAACTTTCTCAAACCAATGCTGGCAGCACCTTCTCAACCAGAGAGAGCCCCTCAGCAGTGCATCTTTGGCCTCCTCTTCCACACTGGTCAGACATCACAGAGGACGTGGAATTACCCACGCTCGCCTATCGACTGCGGTGTACCAGTGCCGAGTAATCTTCAGGGTAGACAGAGGCAGTGGATGGGATTTCGGAAACTTGTGCCGTTCATCGACTGCCAGAGATCCAACGGGTGGCGTCTGGATTGCGAGTCCAGAGTCTGCGAAAAATGAGTTTCGTAGCTCATCTGTTCACCGCTGGCCTGGGGACACCGACAAGAAGTGGAGCGATGTCTCCCTGCTCCAGCGAGCAAATGGGGCGGTGCTCGTCTCGTGCAAATCACACATTCTCACGACGGGCTTAGTCTGTCCGTGAAGAGTTCCAACGTTTGTGATCGGTGTGGCTGAATGGATTTTTTTAAGCGGTGTTCTCGCCGTTGTTTGACCTCCGTCCGTCTGCGATCGTTGTACTTTCAGGGTGACATTGGCTTGCCAGGTCAGAAAGGCAGCAAGGGAGACAAGGGTGAATCGGTAAGTGCGATAGAAATTGGCTGTGATGTCGGTTTTTTAAACTCATCGATTATTGTTTTGAACGTAATGATGACGATTATTGTCGTCGTTGTGAGCAGAAGTATCACCAGTGGGCAGTTGCGGCAGAATTGTGATCATCATTATCAGCAGCTGCATTATCATCAGTAGAATCATTGCAAACATCACAATCATCAGCAGCCGCATTATTAACAGTATCATGATCATCATAAACGGCCGTATATTAATTAAAACACAATTGTCACGAGTATTATTGGAATCGTCCTCACTTTAGTCATTATCGTCACAAACCCCTTAATTAAAGGGAAGCACATAATTCATAACATTGGAAAATGCAACTGTTAACAAACCATTAAATGTCAATGTGTGCCTCCACGATCCTAATGCCGAGACCCACTTTGCGTGTTAATTCCCTCCTCGTGCTGTGCAGGGCCCTGCTGGACCACCGGGGATTCAAGGCCAGATAGGAGCACCGGGTCCCACGGTGAGATATTCTTGAACCACTTTGGGAGGACAGGGGGTTGGTTGACCTAACACGGTTTTAGTTGATTTCGTTGAACCAGCCCAGTGAACACGGAACGTATGAGCCAACGCCGCGACGGTTCCAACCACGTGCCAACCAACGTCAGCCCGCCGTCGGCACGCTTATTGGGAGGATACTCTCATTTGTTTGCCTGTACGTGTGTTGAACTTCTTTTGCACAGTACGTCGCCAACCCGCGCTAACCGCAGGTGCGGATAAACCCCGGGGGGGGGTCACCCATTACAAAAGCAACTCAAGTAAAGTACAGCGACTGTGTCATGTGACAAAGCGAAAGAAGAGGTTGTGGGTGTTTTGAGACAGGGGCTGGAGGAAGGAGGGCAAAGACACTGCCACTGTGTGGATCACTTAGCTCCACTCGGCAGTGTGGGTGGCACGGTGGTAACATTCTTGACGCTCGGCAAGAAGGCCCTGGGTTCTTCTTTACCCGGGGACATTTCTGCACGGAGAGTTTTTATGATTCTCCACCTTTGTTCTGCACGGGATTCCTCGAGGTTGTTTTCTCCACTTTCCTCTCGTAGCTGAAAAATAATAAAGCGTACAATGTAACCGGTGTTGACCAAACATCCCTAGACTGAACTTTGCGTAGGGACTGCGAGCAGTGGGCAGCGGTAGTAGGGGGTTTGAATACGGGGGAAGAGAAGGCCAAAGGAAAAGGAATAAAAATAATTGGGGGAAAGGGCTTGGGGTGTGAGAGTGGTCGTTAGTTGATGTGTCCATCGCGTACATGGGGAGGAGCTTGACGCCAGATGGTGGCTCGAGGTTTCGTGAAAGCAGACCTGGGAGGGTGGGTGTCAGCTGTGGTGAGATCTAGCAGAGGCAAGAGACAACAAAATGTGATGGCACCACCACCAGCACCACCACCACTGGGCATAATGCCCGCTTGAACCTGACGCACACGCGTAAGCACGCACTCACTCGCATGCCAATTGACACGTGCATGCGTACGTTCATAAATAAATAAAAGCACACGCAAGCAAAACATTACTCAACTTTGACTAAGTCGTTAAAATAAATTGTATTGACTCCACTATCAAAACAGCACCCTGCAGTAGTAATAAAAACAAAGTTACCGTCCCAATATTTTATCGTTGCAAACATTTTACGGTTTCGCGTTTCCGCCTCCGTTTGCATAGCATGATCTTTGTTATTGATTCATCGATGTCGTTTTTGTAACCAGGTTATGGTCCATTGAAAATCATTATCTCTTATTGCGACGAAATATTCCGACCATTTTACAGGAAAACTTAATGTCACCGCGATCTTATATATTTTTTATTGCGTTACTACACCCACTCGTTATTCTCATCATTGTCCAGCCCATTAACCAACTCGACCCCTCGGTTTGAACCCCGTTCTTTTTTTGCAGCGGCGAGTGATTAAACCACATTCTCAAGTGGTTGTGAATTTTATGTGTTCGGCCGGGCCACCAATGGATACGGCACAAAATAGAAGCTGCAGCCGGCTGGCTCGTTGGGGCCTCCGTACCCCGTTAGCGCACTGAGCCAGAGCCGCTAAGATCCTGGATTCCAGCCAAGCTCTTAGTTGCACGTGATTTAAACGGAATTCTCCGGTGCAGCGAGATAACGCCGTCCAGCTTGGTCACCAACGACCGCGCAAAAAACTCATCACGTTTTTTTTTTATTACTAATTTGCCATATGCCAACTGTGACCGACTCAAGGCTTCAGTTTGTTTGCCACGTGATGCACACTCATTGCAGGGTGCACCACCCTCGTGTGGAATCGGTGGCCTATTTTTGAATCACTTCAGAAGTCGTTCTGTGACATCATTTTCCGGAGCCATCCCTCTAACACGAGCTGGTAGCGGGCTGCTTTCCCTGAAAGTGAATTTTATCAGCACGTGAGTCAACGTCAGTCTCACAAATCAAGTAAAGTATTTTTTTGACATTTAAATATAAACAATATATCTTGTAAGTACTGTATATCACACAATGTCGTGCGTCCCGACTCTTGAGGGTCTAAACGTATAAATATATTGTCAGGTAAATGCCACGTGGTTACAGAGAATAAACGAGTGCCCTCTAGAGGGTGGGTGAGAGGGCCCGGTGGTGGAAGTGACTCAGAAGTAGTTCCTGTGGCGTCATTTTCCGGGAGCCATCCCCGAAAGTAGTTCTGGGAAGGAAACTTTCTATCGCCTCTTGTTGTTTAAAAAAAAAAAGATCTGACGTTGTTTTGCTCATCGTTATAGTCCTATTTTTGTAATCAAGGCGGCCATCCTTGTGTTGAATTCTTTTTTTTCTTCATAATAATGCCATGAATTGGGACGTGACAACGTGAAGGCATTTTTCAGTGAGTTACAAAGGGAAGGAAATAAAAAAAAATTAGGTCAAGAAGTGTTGCAAAATGTCAACGGTGAATACATTTTTCATGGGGACGTCTTGAATATGACTGATGAATAAATAATTCGAACGTGCCATTAAATATACATATTGAAGTATTGTGCAGGTTTACTTGTCCGATCCTACCAAAAAAAATCTTGCTCGATAACATTTAGAGCCAGCATTTGTATCTGACCGTCGAGTGCATACGCTGGGGCATGACTAACGCACAGAATTCGATTTAAAGCTTTCGTGACTGCAGGGATTCATCTTCTTGGTTCTTTCGGTAAAGTCACGTAGAATGGAAATAATAAAATAATAAAAATAAAACATTAAATAATTCTCACGACGTTTCGGCCACAACGCAAGCAGCCGTCCTCAGGTGAAGAACAGGTCTGTCGAACAGACAGAGTCATTCAGATTCATTCAGACTCTGACTTTACCGAAAGAACCAAGAAGATAACGCACAGATTATATCGCAGTCTTCGCATCTGTGTGTGTGGGGTATAGGCATTGGTGGAGTGCAGTGGGTGGTGCATTGGTTCGTACACCGCGCGCTATGATCCCAATCACCCAGCTGTACACATCACCAGTCCGCGGGCTCGGTCCATGTTTAATGAATTCATTTACAGCCAGCCCTGTCCCTTGACTGCTGCGTCACGTGCTCCCCTTGCCGTGTCAGCTATGGAGGCTGTTCGGCCATACTAGTACACGTGTGTAAGCTTCTAAGTGTTTGTACACGTGTTATCACGTGGCCGCTATGTGGGTGTCTGTTGTCACCCTGCGACGCTCTTGCAAATGGGATGCTCAGTGGATTTTCCAAGTGAAATCGGTTTGTAAATAAATATCATACTTCACCATGCTGGTCAGTGCGAGTTGGTGAAGAAGGGGGAGAGGTAGGGGGGAGCCAGGACCGGTTCAGATTTCGTTCGCCACCGATGTTAGCCGTGGCCAGGAATCGAACGAGCTGTGTTTGCAGATCCTTAAACGAGCATCTGGTGTGGTTTGTTAAGGGCGCCTCTCTGTGTGCAGTTTGTTCATTCTCGCCATGTTCGACACGGGTATTCTCCGGGGTTCTCCGGGTTTTCTCCCGTAGCTAGACGTACACACGTGGGCGAGGTTACCTGGTTTTGGCCCCAACGTTCCACTGCTGTGGGAAACCAACTAAAACCCAGCAATTGACTCAATGAGGTCTACACTTGGAAAACATCGCACTGCCAATGCAAAAAAACTTTCCGGAACCTCCCCATTAAGTCATGCGACTTGTTGAGTTTTTCCCGGGTAAACCAGAGTAACAGCAACAATAATAACAATGAATGATAGTCTGTGAGGAGTGATGCACGCGGCGTGCATGTGTGCGTGTATGTGTGTGGGCCCTCTGGCACAGTAGGGGGCACAGGTGGTGCACCGGCCAGTCATCTGACAATCAATCGACCCATACCACCTGGGTTTGCCCCGTGACCTGCCAGCGGGCGTTCGACACATCACCTGGCCTCAACGTGCACCTAGCCTGTCACAAGCGCCGTGGTGACGTCACCGCCACTTAGTGGCGAATGGCGGTTGTTGTTGTTGTTGTTGGGCCCTCTGGCCTCACTCTGCCTCCGTGTCTCTGTAGGGCGCGGACGGTGAGCCCGGCGCACGTGGAGCCCAGGGCCCCTTCGGCCAGAAGGGAGATGAGGGTCCGAGGGGCTTCCCGGGGCCGCCGGGCCCCATCGGCCTGCAGGTGAGTCTTCACCCTGGTAACCGCCAATCTCGCCACTCGCTGCCTCTTGTGCAGCAGCCACGGTGTGCGTGTGTGTGTGTGACCATGTGTGGTGACATGGTGATGGCATCACGCTGACCGTGACGTCACTGCTGACATCACCGGTGACATCGCCTTTGTCATCACTGTGATGACCGTCACTCTTACTCCACACTTTATGGAATTCGAGAGAAAATTTTAAAGTGATTGACAGCTCATATGAATATTGAGCATTCAGGTGGTGCACATCTCGCATTTACAGCACTAAGCCAATGGGGGAAAGTCTACATTCCCATGGCAGGGGCCAAATCTATCCAAAGCGCAACCGCCCTTGACTTCCTCACAAGCTAAAATTAGTTTTCGATTCAAAGCTTTCGTGACTGCAGGGATTCATATTATTGGTTATTTCGGTAAAGTCACGTAGAAGGGAAATAATAGAATAATACAAATAAAACATATAAGTAATACAATAATAAAATAAAAACATGTTTGATTTTTATTATTTTATTATTTCCCTTCTACGTGACTTTACCGAAAGAACCAAGAATATAAAATTATTTTGTCGAAAGTGATGGTGGACTGAGTCGACCCCACCAGCCAGCATGTGAGCTCGTGCCCTTGCGATCACAAGCTGCTTGCTCTACCGCTGAGCCACTCAAGAACTCCCAGCCGCTAAATATTGCAGATTATGAATCATTAGCAAGAGTCACGTCCACACCGATAACTGTCATTTGTTTATATCTAATTTTATACATTTATTTTGCCCTGCTTCCTAATCTCTGCTACAGGCAAACCTCCATGCGCATAATTTCTCCTTGTCATTTCGAGCACCTCGTAAACCAATCACTGCGATGATAATTGCGCTCATGCCCGTGAATGCACGTCATACATTCTTTTAAAATTCCTTACCTTTTAGAAATGTCTTTCAACATAACGTTTGAAGAAATGCAATTGACCCGGCTTGATCTGTTTCATGGTGAGAGGTCGCTTTTTCTCCTCTGCTGTCCACATGGCCCCGGAACTCCCTTCAGCTGTCCGTGCTGTCCGGCCGTCAGGATCACTCTTCCTTACGATATTAGGAAGCTACTGGAGCCGTGCACTTTTAAATCATCGAGATTGGGAAACTAATTTATTCAGCATTGATTTTTGTGTTCGGTTTGCTGTCCTTTCTCCGCACCTCCGATTAGCACGGTTGGCTACGTGCGCTGAGAAATAAGCTCAACGCACAATGCCGGCATACATATTTCCTCTCTCCTTCTTTCTATAACTGGTTACCTCTTTCTCTATATAAAAAATAATTACATAGACGCGCCTCCATTCCCCAGGACGCCCATGTCCCACCACCGTTCTCTGTGGCATCCATAGGTGCAGTTGCGTTTGAGAGGCTATAAATCCACGTGGTGTGGTATTGTATGCACCACTGAGCATACAACGTAATAGTGTGTCAGTGTAGATGTATAGATGCCTTAGCTCACCATTGAAATGGGTCAGTTAATTTAAGGGGTTATATTATATATATATTTTTCTGATTTAATGTTGTCTTTGATCAAACGTGCTTTTTAATGAATAGTTTAAAATTATTTTAATGATTGTTATGTTTTGGTCAAAAGCCTATAGCCATTTAAAAATAATGGTAGGTGTAGTGTTTGAGGGGTTCCGTCGGCAGTGCTTTGTGCGGTTCTGTAAGCGGCAGAGCAAGCGGCTCAAAACTGGGAGGTTGAGAGTTCAGATCCTGGTTGGGGTTTGACTCAGCCCATCATCGCCCCGGGGGCAAATGCAATGTGTGCCACTTTGTGGTTGTCCTCTTAATGGACTTGCCCCTGTCACAGTAATGTGGAATTTCCACTCCTGGATTATGCCTGCAAACGGGAGATGAGCACTGCCGCAATGCTCATTTGGCAAGAAATCACAGATTTTGTTTTGCATAATTAACATATAACAAACGTAGAACGTGTGACTTTGGACACCGGACACTGCAGAGGGTAAATTATGCGGCATCTATGAAAGGTAGTGCGTTTGCCAACCAGAGTCTCATTCCGCTGAGATCCTGGGTTCAAATCCAGCCAGCCAGCCTGCCTGTGCTGAAACCACGTTCCAAGTACAGTGGAGTTAATGATCTCATCCCAGTCAACAACCTCTGCACGACAACAACAACAACATCAAATTTGGTTCCGCACTTAATTTGACTACGTTCCAGATCTAAAATTTGGAATGCATAAAACATTACTCCCTGTAGCAGGGCGGGTGGAAATATGCGACGCCCCCATTACTGCCTGGGCCAGGGGGTCACTCGGAAGGGATCTCCGAATCGGCTCTGTGACATCCGCTATCGTGGGCCCTTCTCTAAAGACGTCGACGTCGCACCGCCGTGCGAGCGATCGGAGCGGATTGTCCATCTAGGGGGGACAAGGCGACGGCGGACATGGCAGTGGGGGTAAAGTTGGGGGATAGAGGAAAGCTCCGAAATTAAGATTGGATAGAGGAACGGTCAACGTGGAGCCGGGCCTCTCCTCTCCGGCAGCGGCGGTCTCTCCGTGCGGTCCTCGTTCTCAGCTGCACTGCTCTGGCCGCGACCCTATTTAACCTCGCTGGGAAAAAAATAAAAAAGCCCCCACCACCACCACCACCTCAGCCCTCCCCAGCTTCACAGATTTGCTTGTTCCCATCTCAGAGATACGGCTGCGCGTTTACAAAGCCACGTTGCATTTCATTCATTGTCCCGGAGATAAAATTGAGCAATTTAGAACGGAGAAGGGATCGCTCGGTTGGGGAGAGCCTGCCAGGTGGCGTTGCTTCACGTTTAATTGCAGCCAGAGGACATGTGTCATGCTAACAACGGCACTATTCACGCCGCCTGAAATATATCGTCTTAATACCCGCACGATGGATGGCGCGGCTGCTACACGCGCACTATGGATGCGTTGTCTGCGCGGCAATGCACTGCACGGATGGCTCCATCCGTAAGCTGCTGGGCTCGGAAGTGTCCGCGAGTGCGCGCGCTCAGAGCCACTCCGGGAAAATACCGAGTGTCCAACTTGGATCTATGACAAAAACACAAATGAGAATTGATGGAGAGGTTAATCTCAATTTCACTAATTCCCTCTAAAGATTTCCTTAATTGCATTCTTATTTCTCTCCTCCTCCTGGGTGTGTGTGTGAATGTGTGCCAAATTGTGTGCGTGTGTGTGTGTGCGTGCAGGAACGTGCGTGTGTGTGTATTCAGGGAGCGGTGGTGCAAGTAGTTAACGCACTTGCACGACAATTTTGAATTCCCGCTCGTGGCCAACATCAGTGGCGAGCATCTGAACCCGTCCCGAGTCTCCCCTAGGTCGATTCAACCTTGAATAAGCGCCTGGTGTGGTTGTGTAAACATCAGCATTGGGGAGACAAAGGCGGCCAGGTGTAGGGTTGTCCACTCAACATCTCGCCTGCTGTCCCAGCCTAAATAGGTGCTCGCTAACAGCACTTGCCCCAACAGCTTGTTAAGGGCTCATACGGGGATCTTTTGTCGTTTCGTGTATTTGAAAGGACAGAGACAGTAGGGAGCGGTGTCTTTGTATGCGTACATGTGTTGGTACAGTATGTACGTGTGTGTACATGAATCCACGCGTGTGTGTGTGTATAATCTTAAATCACAGTTGCTCTGGTTAGATCTTTGCACTCTGAATCCAGCGACCTGAGTTTGATTCCTGGCCACGGCTAACATCAGTGGCGAGCGATATCTGAACTGGCACTGGGCCTCCCCAAGGCAAACTCTGCTTTAAATCCTTTACCGGTGCGCTATGTAAACGTCGTGGCTAGAGAGACAAAGGTGGGCAGCCGTGGTTCTGACCACACCGCCCCATTGCATGCCATGCCCGACTTCATCGGTGCTCGCTCACATCACTTGCCCCCCATTTACAACAACCCCTGTAGGCTATTTGCGGGATCTTTGTGTTTGTGTATGCGTGTACCTACGTAGGTACGTGTATGCTTGACATTGCATTTTGTTTGCGTACGTGTTTCATTTTCCTTGTGCAGGGTCTTCCTGGATCTCCTGGCGAGAAGGGGGAGACGGGAGATGTGGGGACATTGGTAAGGATGTATTGCTTTCTGCCACCTATTGAATCCGTGTGACGTGTACTAATAATCGCCGAAACACAGAACGTAATTGGAAAGGCATAAAAAAAAAGAATTAACCAGCAAATAAATTATTCATGCCATATCGCGCTGCTTTCTGATGTCGCCCGTTTATGCATCACCGACTTGAAGAATCACGCCGGGTAAAATACATTTGCAACGTCAGCGTTCATCTGCACTGCATTTTGGGTAAATTTCGAGAGGAGAGCTAATTCATTATTGGAATTAGAACGAGTCGCGAGCATCGGCTCATTGCGATCACGGCCGTTTCGGAAACACATCCGTGACCTCGGAGCGGAGCTTTGGAACCGAGCAGAAGCTTGAGACGCGTGCGCAGGGTCGAGAAGGGCAGGTGCCACCGAGACTGGCACTGCAGTGGTGCCCAGAGGCCACCGACCAAGGGGAAGAGAAGACCAGAAGCCGATGTTGGTGCTGATTTTTTGAGGCTATGAGAGCGGTTCCTTGAGTGATTTGTAAACTGTTTCACAGGCGGTGTTCTATTGGTCACCGTCTTTGTCATCGTCTGAGTCTAGTTGATGACAGCCCGTAGACTATTTAGGCTACGATTGGCACGGTAGGCGACGGTCAAAGGGGAACTAAAACACTCCCAGTTGTTCAGTGTTGGTGTGAAAGGCACACAATTCTACTGCCCCCCAACCTCCCCCCCCCCCCAATTATTGTCATTTTAGCCGATCAGAGAACTCACTAAATATTTGTATTCACATATATAGGCAATATATATAGCCTATTTACATATTTGGTCTTCCTCAATGCACTGCATTTCTGTTACAACATTACTGATGCATTATCTTCGTCTGCGTCTTCTCTCAGAGGTGTTGGATTTGTTCTCGTCATAATCATATCTTTCGCGGCTGGAAAGTAATAAAATATCCTTACCTGAGACATCACATATATATTTTTAAAAAATCACTTTTTTTTACGAATAACTTTAACGCCGGTAACAAGGGGAAGACCTCTGGGCAGGCGTTGTCGAAGCGTCTGTAGAGGCAGTTCTTCGCAAGTTGGTTGCTGAATGTCAGCCGAAGGAAGCGACGGTGAGATTTGTTGGCATCTATGGCGTTGTTTTGTTTTTTTGCCGCGTGCGTTTTGATTGTTGTCCTTCCCCCGCACCTCCGATTGGCTACGTACGGTGCAAAAGAAGTCCAACTTACGTTGTGTCTTAATCTTAAGCGACAAGCAACAGCGAAAAGCTCGTTTTGAATCTCTGTTGCCACCTGAGTGAAAAAAAAAACCTGCTTCTTATTTTATTTTCCACGTGCATTTGCGTGTGGGATGAAACCATGAACCCACTTGCTGTATGCTTGCATCTCCTGGCCAACTTGCGGCTCAGCAGATGTCGGTCGTAACAAGTCTGGGTGATCCACCAACCTTTGCCTCAACGGTGCCTCACCACGCGTAGACTCGCGACGTCGTTCCCACGTTTATTTCAGCGTGAACAATTCGCTACGAAAATCTACTGCGACAATTGCAATCGAAATAATCTCAGATTTTCCCACCAGGATAACTTCACCTATTCTTTTTTTTCGTCCATTTGTATTATTGCCAGATAGATTATTAACGTGAATTGGTTCTCACCAGCTTAAATTAAAGAAAATATATATATTTTTTTTCACATTTAAAAAAAAAATTCAATTTTCGGCATCAGACATCTCGTGATATTTATGCAAGTGGTGGAGGACGCTAGCTGTACAATTCCCCATGCTTCATGAAGCGGACTTCAGAAAACACTTAACAAGTGAACTCAAAGCAATTTATAAATATCGATTGAAATCAATTCCAATCAATTGCAATCTTCCCACAATCTAAATGGATGTAAGAGCAGCACTAATTAAACACGTCTTTCACAATCCGCAACTAACAAACAGACGTCGATATTTGCATCGTTCATTAATTTTTACATTCAGCGGTGATTTATATCCTTAACCAATCCTTGTAGTTGGAAAGCAGTGAGAAATGGCTCACGATTGCAGTGGGTTGGATGGCACAGAGGGTTCACAACATCCCTGATTCAGACCCTGAGCCAGCACTGCTGAGATTCTGGATTCAATCGCAGGCAAGTGATCCATGATTAATGTGGGTTCCCAAGTTTAGCGGGCCAATGGTCACATGAACCCCGGTCATCCTCACAGCGGCTTTTGGCGAGGCATCGAACAAAGACGGCCACTGCATCGCGCCCTTTCAGATGCGCTTCTGCGGCCGTCTGGAACGCTCTTCCTTTCGATATTAGGAAGCGATTAAAGCAATGCACTTTTAAATCTAGATTGAAAACTTATTTATTCAGAATTGCTTAAATAAAAGTTGCCAATGAGCTGCAGACGCCATCATTAAGTTTGCCCTTAATGTGGGTACATTTCAGCCAACTCCAGCTCTGAGAAAATAAAAATCAGTTTTACCTCCCATGCAATGGTCATAATGAATACACTGAGTTGGCGCCACCACTCAGATCCTGGGTTGCAGCCAGCCATGATTAAACATGTGGCTGCTTGTGTAAAAAAAGAGATTGAAAATGCCCCAAAGCGTTGGTTTAATTATAAAACAAAGGGGACATTTTATCAGGTTATTTTAAATAATCCAGGTTCCAACCGCCCATGGCTAAACCAAATCTATAAGTAGTGCGAGTTTGATGGCCTTTGTCCAACCACCAACAACTGCACGACAAAAAAAACCCAATATGAAGTTTTGGATTTTTTACAATTCTCACCAAACCCTTCTCAAGTGTTCAAATGTATTTGGATGAAGCAGGCGGTGAAAGCTCAAGAGAGTCTCCTTTGCGAGAGCGACCGAGGTCACCAACGTGACAGAAGCAATGACGCGCACGCGTGAGCGGCAAGCCTGGAGGAGCCCCAACACGGGACGAACTCACGTCACCACCCCAATCGTGGCGACGACCGTCAAACACAACACGTTGACTTCTACGCTCTAACATTCGTGATTTTGTTATTGACTTTTAAGTGCGATATCGACAATGCGAACGGACGACCAAACGCTTGTCAACATTGTATTGATTATCCAGCCCCATCTCTCTCTCGCCTCCCTTCCCTCCGTGTCTCTCGCTCCCGTTTCTCCGTTCTGTCTCTCGCCCTCGTCTCTCTCCGTGTCATCACGTTTCGCGCCACTCGCCTCCCTCCACCTTTCGGCGCGATTCTCGTTTCCTCGCCAGCCCCACGGCACCGAGGCGCTCCTCCGCGCCTCTCCACACCTCACGGCGATCAACACGGAAGCTCTTTATAGATCGTATCCGTCTCGCACCTCGCTACTCTTCCACGGCGCTTCTGGATCGTTGTCCAACCACTCTCGCACGCCGCAAGCGAGTCTGGCGGCGCTACTCGCGCCCACGTTCTCGACTGATTCGCAACTTTTGTCAGCGACCTTCAAATTAACAAAAAAAAACCCTGGATTGTCTAGAGCGGTGGTTCTCAGAGTGCGGTCCTCCGGTTCCACCGGTGGCTGTCCGTAACGCTCCTCCAGGTGCTCCCCGGGGCTGTGATGCAGACGCAGGTTGATCCCGACAAGAATGGCAACGTTTGTACCTTGTGTTTTGGACGTTAATAGTTTAATTAATAAAATTAAGTTCGGTAAATGACCCGGATTAGACTACCCTAACCCTAAAATCTAAATGCCCCCTCCCATTCGGTCCCCCTAAAAACCTTACGGCTACGTTTACAAAAATAAATGTGTTCCAGTAACGTGAATCATGTTGTATTTGTGGTATTTAGAGAGAGAAGGGGTGGGGTTGGGTAGTGGTCAGCAGAAATGTTTGCATCGGCCGATTGGTCCGCGGGCCAAAACGAGTTTGAGAAACACCGCTCCAGTGTAACAAAGTGATGGGTCTCGACCCAGTTACCATAGACGGCACAAGAATACCATCGCATCTCGTTCATCATTGACTGATGCACATTACAGGGTGTGCCTGTGATGTGGACATGGGGGCAATCGAGTGGGACTCGAGATAAGGTTCTGCGATGCCTTCTTCCGAGGTCGTTCTCTGAACAAAAAACGTCAGTGTCTCCCGAAAGCAGCACGCTCTAACTTTTGGAAATAGATACACGTGTAAATATACATTGAAATTAAACCCATATTTGTCTCCGGGCTGTCATACTTCATAAGCGAAAATGGCTTCTATTCAAAACGAACGAACGCGGGCGAGCGAGAGGACGAGCGAAGCGATCGATGCACGGCCTAAGCGGCGATTTTTTTGTCTCCGTGTGCAGGGACCGCCTGGGCCACCAGGGCCGAGAGGGCCTCCTGGTTCCTCCGGAGGGGAGGTGAGTGAGCGTCATCCGTTGTCAAAAACGCGGCCTCTCCGGAGAGAGCCGTCACCCACCGGCATCGTCATGGCCATCATCATCGCCATCATCATCATTGTCGTGAGCAACAGCATCATAGCCATCATCAGCAACATCATCAGGATCATCATCATCAGTAACATCATGGCCACCATCATCGGCATGGCCACCATAATCGTCAGCAACAACATCGGCATCGTAATTATGTTCATCAATGTCATCATCAGGAGCAGCGTTGTGATTTATATTCAGCTGCCTCGTTCGCTCAAGGGCTGCATCATCGGTTAGAAGTGATTACAGCGGCGAATTGCAATTGCCCTGTGCATTATTGTCATCGCCGCCGTCATCAGCAGCAGCAACATCATCAGCATCATAAATACATTTCTATCATCTCAACAGCAAATTTTTATTCACGTTCAGCCACCTTGTCTGAACCCACGACCTCCTGTAGACCAGGCGAAATAGTTAACATCTCGCCACCGTGGCGGCCACTCTATGTACCCCAGCCTGTGTTCCCCTGCAACTCAGTTTGTCCTCCGTGATGTTCATTCTCATTTTCTTTCTCAACAGGGTCCCCCTGGTCCGCGCGGCGCTCTCGGATTGATGGGTGCCGAAGGCCAGAAGGTGAATTTAAAACGACAAACTTCACCACTCACCCCATTCACGAACCGTGTGTACCACTTAGCCTCAAGAAATCAAACGAATCGTTCGCAACGATTGACTCGCGCCCCTGAATTGCAAAGGACATTTTTATTAGATGCATTACTCGACTGGTTTTGTGCGTGCGTGCTATAGTTTGTTGTCCTTCCCCCGCACCTCCACTTAGCACGGTTGGCTCCGTACGGTGCAAAATAAGTTGAACGTACATACGGACATACATAATGCACTGCAATTGGAGAGGACTGCTTCACAACGTGCGTTGCATTGTGGGAGTGTATTGTCACGATGGAGTCAGTGCATTGTGGACCCCCCCTTTACATGGCCCAGCCGTAGTGCGTTCGCCGCTCGTTGCGGTGGTTCGCGATGCGTATTTGGCATGCCGCCCTGATAAATATTGCGGATGTAATAACCACAAAATACCGCGCATTGTCCGCTTTGCAGACCCGCCGACACCGTTAGGATAATAGGAGGACATTTTCTGCCAGTGTCATGGTTCAAATTTACCGGATAATAATATTTACTGGCAAATTTCTTAATTGGAAAACACATGGTAAGCCCGCACGGCAAAAACTTAGCATGACCCTCCTGAAAAAGAGTCGTCTTGAGCCGCGGTGACCCTTTCCTGGATAAACAGTCGTATATTGTGACGTGGGCGGTGCCATTCAGTGTAAATCGTCTCCGTTGGTGAGAGATAGCCCTCACGCAAAAAATGCTTCGTAATAAAACAATGAATTTACCCAAGAAAAGCATCACTGCTCTCTGAAGGAAAAAAACTATTCAGCAGGCTCTTTCATGAGAATGTTCAGCCAACTTGCTGGGTTTTTTTAATTAAAGCAATGCACAAGGGCAAGGAAATCGGAGTACCTGGAGAAACCCCGCATATACGAGGGGATAATAATTACTACTATTTACTTGTTTTTACCAGGTAAGGCCCACTGAGCTATATCGTTCTCATTCAGAAGCGACCGGTCCACAAATGTTCAGCTCAGGAAAGTGGCTGATCTTCACGTGGACATTTACAGCAGCCAGATGCTCTGACCACGTGACGTCGATTATAAATTTGGAGAGAAAAACTGGAGGACCCGGAGAAAAATCCACGCGACCACCGGGAGAGAGACACCGCAAACACCAAATATACAGCAGGCGTCAGGGTTTGGATTGAACCCACGACCTCCTGTATACCAGGCGAGGCAGTTAACATCTCGCCACCGCGGGGCCCCCTGAACCCATCTGTGGTCAGCACAGATGGGTTCACGAACCCACTTACCGTAACACGTCCTGGATTAGCTGGATTATAAGCGTCCAACAACCGACCACCACGCCCAGGCTTGCGAGCCGAGTTCTCGTGTTGTTTGATTTGTGTTGCTTCGAGCATTTGTACGTATGCACGTTGAACTTCTTTCGCACCATACATAGCCAACCGTGCTAATCGTTGTGCGTGTGTGTCGACAGGGGGAGCACGGAGAGCCAGGAGACCCAGGACACCAAGGAGACATCGGTCCTCCTGTGAGTCGTCCATTTGGCACCTGCACATTCACCTGCACCTGTTCCTGCACATTCACCTGCACCTTTGCACGGACACTGCACGATCCGAGGGTCCCACCACTGAGAGTGGAACCTCCAAATGACGTTCTCTCCCTCACCCTGTCCACGTCCACACGCACAGGGCCAGGATCTCGTGTTTACGGTATTGCTGCTGTCCACATCACCCCTTCGTATGCCTTTCAGCCCCTAATGGGTGCTCGCTAAACAGCACTTGCCCCAATGGTCTGTATGTCAATAACATGATTATTGGCTTTGCCTACTTGATAAGTATACCGATGGATGGATTTACATTCATGAATAAGATAAATAAGTCAGTGTATTAGAATATATATTTTCCAGTTTCTACTCAGCAGAGGCTGAGGAACGGACCTATTGTTTGCAAGTGAAACCATTTCCCTTACAACGGCACATGACCGGAGTCACGTGCCGAGATTAACACGTCGCTTTTGACAGCAAGTTTGCCGACGATAACTCCCTGCGATTGCACGGGATCTGTGACGTGTGCTTTTACCTGAACTTGGACCTTCTTCGCCGAATGCGTTTACTTGACGGAGCGTAAAGGACGCTCAAACGTTCGTCCCTATTTGCTTTCGTAAGGACGTGTGACACCTCTGAGTGGTGCGGCAATTAGCGCACCGCACTCTTCAGCCCCGGACGACCGGAGTTCTATTGCCGGCCAAGTCAGTGGCGCAGAGTGATATATTTGTTTACTTTTACTCGGCACCACCATCCCTTCACCAACCCGCACTGAGCGGCGTGTGATCAAACAACTCCCGTCACCAACAGGGTGTGGGGAGGCCTTCATCCAGCAGTGGAGACAAAGCAGATCACCGTTAATTCTTCCACGACGCTCGTGGTCAACCCTAAACCGCACTCACTGCACGAACCCATGGCAGCAGCAGATGCGGATACCTGATGCACAAATGGAAAATACAAATAAACTCTCCAGTAGCGTGCGACTGTGGTCAACCAGAACAGACCGTACAACGTGGAACGACACAATGCCCTGATCCACAAACACAAAGAGAGACATCACAGCGATGACACACTCCGCTGCTTCTGACGCGGTTATCTGGGCTTAACCACCTGAATGTGCAATTGTAGTCGTTGCTTTGCATCTACATCAGCAGCCACACGAAAGAAGAAGATTGTTATTTCATAAATGCGTGTCCGTCCGAGTGATTTTCCAAACAAGTAGTATTTCAATGAACGGTATATAAAGTGAATTGGAAACCTTGGAAACGGTACCGTACACAGTGTAAAACAATTACAGTTGCCTAACGTAAATTAAATAAGATGAAGGTGCAGCCCTGCAAATTCTTGATTACGCCACTGCTGTCAGAGGGGTCTCCACACAAGCAAACTCTGCAGGGTGTTTGGTCTAACCCTTCACGTGGTCCAGGCGTCTTGGAACAGGTACACTTAAAACGAAACTTTTTTTATTTTACCTGGTAAGGCCCACTGAGCTCTATAGCTCTTTTTCAGAAGCGACCTGACCACAAATGATAGTTACGTAGAAGGGAAATAATAAAATAATAATAATAAAAAATCTCACGACGTTTCGGCCACAACACAAGCAGCCGTCATCAGGTAAAGAACAGAGCTGTCGGAAAGACAGCTTCATTAGGAAAGAAAGCTTCATTAGGACGCCGTCTTTCAGACAGCTCTGTTCTTCACCTGAGGACGGCTGCTTGTGTTGTGGCCGAAACGTCGTGAGAATTTTATTGTTTTATTTTTATAATACTCTGTGCAAGCCAACCCTTTCAGACAAGTCGTCTACACCTACACCAAGAAGTAATATAAAGGGACTGAAGTATAAATACCTGAGTCTGCGAGACAAATCCAAAGGTTTGGATCGAATTGACACAGGGCGTGTGTGTGTCAATGCATATGGTGCGTGAAGAGTTTGGAAAACAAATTTGGATTTTCATTTTAACTGGGGCAGGAGGCACTGGGGAGTAACCATTGTAAATAATTCGGAATATTGGCTAATTCGGCAAGGCCAGAGCCCCATTACGTGTCGAATGAACAAAAGGTTTCAACTGTACATGCTACACGTAGCGACCGCTGGCGCGGACGAGATCGATGTTGCCCGCCCAGAGCTCACCTCGCCATCAACGCGCAGTCCTGTGGCTGAGAGGCTGCTCAGGCCATAAGTGGCCCTTGTTAAATGCAGCTCGTGAATACGCACGTGGGTAATGAGGCTGCGAGCCGAGCGAGCCAGCGCGATCTTATCGCGTTGTAGCGAGCGCAGTGCGATTCCCACTCATCGCCAAACACCGGTGACGAATATCCCTGAACAGGTCACCCGGGATCATCCTCAGGGTGACCGCAGCCTTAACCTGGTGCCGTGTGCGCCTCGGCGTGGAGTCGGGGCCACATCATTCCCACGTGTGCCGTGCCGGCCTTAATAGGGGCTCGCTAACAGCACTTGCCTCAACGGTCTGTCGAAGGTTATATGGGAGTGGGGGGATATTTTACTTTGTTTGGTTGCATGCTTGTCCACGTGTACGTGTGCACACGTGTGTAAATGCATTCGTCATGCGTGTGCTTATGCACACCAGTGTTTCCGTGCGTGAACCCAACTTGCACCTAATTTCCATAGCGCTAATGCGTGTGACTCATGAACAATTATAATCCACCCGGAGTCCCAATGCACACACCACACCGCGCGCGCGCGCGCACACACACACGAGAGTACAATAACAATCTATCTTGCTGCGGGTTTTCAATACGTGGAGCAATAATGGCCCACTATTTCACACGCTCCAATTAGTGATGGGATCCGAAAGGGCTGAGGAGTTATCTGACCTTGAATTTATGTAGCAATAATTTCACTTTGCTAAAGACGGTGTATCTGATAATAAAAGCCAGGAATATGAACTTGAATTAATGTGCCCTATCAATTGTCTCTCGCTTTCACGACGAATTAAGGGTGCTGCAAGTGCGTTGTTATTTGCCTCCTGGTGCCAGGTGTGGTAATGAGACAGTGACTTCTGGGTAATTGGCTTGTCGCTTAGCAACCCTCCATTTTTTTTCTTAGCACGGCAGAGTGTGACAAACCGAGCATTTTAAGTGCGCAACAGATGTTTCTGATATTTCCCCGCAAATTTAATTCTTCACGTTTGCAGCTTTTTTATATGCTCTAAATTGGGTGACAATTATTTAGTTTCCTCTTAAATGCCCTGACAATAATGGCATTATTGTACAATAATAAAGCAAGAGTGTCTAGCCGTTCGAATAAGCACGTGTTGATTTTATATGTAGGCTTTCATGACAAATGTTATTGTACCTAATTAGTTTATTCTGGACCAGATCATTGTGTAGATATAATGTTATTTTTTGTTGTTGTAACCCTCCACCATCAAATCAAGTTCTCACTTCGTGGGCAAATGTGCTAATTTATTTTGGTTTTTCAGAAAACCCGAGGAGGAATGTTGAAAGGCAAGAACATTTTTAACGATTTTACATCCCGACCTTTTGCTGGAGATGACACCCAGCGTCATCGGGTGTTAGCAAAAGTGAAAGCTGAGGTTTCAAAAAAAGAAAAACTGACACTACACCTTAACAACCAAACCCAAACTAAACCACGTGTGCAGCACAGCTTATTACCAGTTGGAAGAGTGTTGGATCCTAAATATTTGGTTCCTCCGCTATCTACAATGTGGTACTGTTTTTATTTACCACGGAGAGACACTGATGATGATGATTGGTTTCCAAAAAACCCTGCTATTGAGTTGGGTCCTCTAACCACTGTTATTGCAGCCGCATGATTGTGAACATGACGGTGTTTATCCATGAAAGCTCCTCCAAGTCTCGATACCTGAACATTTTTTTTTACAAAGGTCCTGCATTCAGGGATGCTTTCGTAAAATCGTCAATGAGCAGTGTTGCTGTTTAATGGTGGTGGAAACCAGGAGGCAAACATCCGAGTGCGTGAGATAATACTCTAAATATCCACACAGGCGCTAGACAACTTCCACGAAAGTGTGGGAAATAAATCCCACCAGCCCCACGACCAACGCGTCATGTTAGACGCGCCTGGTGCCGACCCACGGTGGGAAACACGCGAGGAAGAAACGTGGAGGTTTGAGCAAGGGTCGGGGAAAAACCTCGGGGAGCCACAGGGAGAGGACAAATCCCTACTTGCTGTACTGCCATTGCCCACCGCCTCATTATCCGTCAAATTAAACACATTTTGTGTCGGTTCTACTGCTGCTGCGTTGGCAGTGGTGCACGAGCACAACAAACGGGGAAAACTCAACACATTTGGCAATAGCATTGGGACCTTAAATGGAAACAATCGTGTGTTTGTAACGGCCGATGTTTCAGACAGTGGTCCTTCTCCATAGGACAACGAGCCGATTGCGTTGCATGGAATTATACCTTGAATTTAAAGGTGATGGGGCGTTGAATAGTTGAGTGCTTGGCGACCTCTTTAATGTTTAATGTCCTTTGCGGTGCATTAAGTAGGGTGATGAAAAGTACAACTTGAAACATTAAATATAAAACAGGACATATTTACACTCCAGAGAGCCGTGCTACATCAACCCGAGACGAGAGAATGCACTAAGAGCCGCAAGTTCCCTCTCTAAACTGGCAATATTATCAAGTCTGTGGCCAGTCGAGGTGTCAAGTCAAGGTGTCAGTCAAGGGGCCGTCCATACATGACGTCACGCACCTAGGGGGGGTGGGGGGGTGGGACATTTGTGACGATGTGTGACGATGGGGGGGGGGGGGTGAGAAATGTGACGTCACATCAGAATGCGAAACTTTAAATAAATATAGACAACACGTTCTACTTAATTATATATACTTTTTAATAAATGTTTTCTCCTACAACATCAGAGTGCAGCGCCGCATTAAATACGCACTACAATGACAATAGTTTAAAGCGATTTGAAGCATGTTTTTTTTTTTTTGGGGGGGGGGGGGTCAGACTTTTTGTGACGCCGTGTGACGAAGGGGGGCGGTCCAAAATCATCCAAAATCGCGTGACGTCATTTATGGACGGCCCCAAAGGTGTCCAGATAAAGTATCTCTCTTGCACAACGGAGGCTGGGTGGCACGCTCATGTCAAATGTCAGCCCTGAGCCAGTGGAGGAGGACATTCCACATTGCCGTGTTAGGGAATGATCTTGCCGGATAATCGTCACTGTTGATTTCCCACTTCACAGCGTTGATGAGCAGCACTCACCAAATGATTGAGTCGAGCCTTCTGATCGCCAGTGCCACCTGCCTGAAAAATACTGCCACTTTTATTATTAAATACGACGTGTGGCACACGATCGTGTGATCGTGAGCCATTGTCTCTCCACTGCTGGATGAAGCAGTGGCATGAGCAAGCAATTCCAGGGCTGCACCTTAAAAAATATATATATCATAAATAAATAAAAAATGTGACAGTGAAACTCCATGGACATGCTCCACCCGGCTTGGAGTAACTGCTGCTGGATGAGGGCCTCCCTCAAGGAGGTTATCTTGACCATACTTCACCGCACTGGTCACTGCGGGTTGGTGAAGGTGGGTAGCGTGGACATGAAGCAGCCTATTGTGACCTGTGTTTGTGCGTGGTTGTCACCCATCCTAGCACGGTCCAAGTCCCAACCTGCTTAGCTTCTGAGATGTGACGAGATGAGGTGCATTCAGGCTGATTTAAACCAAAACTAAACCATTTTCATTTTACTAGGTAAGGCCCACTGAGCTATACAGCTCGTTTTCAGAAGCGACCTGCCCACAAATGATAGCTCAACAAAGTGGCTTACCACGTGGAAATGTATAACAGCCAAATGCTCTGAACACGTGATGTTGAACTAAATGTGGAGGTAAACACCAATGGATCCGGATAAAAAACAACCACGCGACCACAGGGAGAGACACGCAAACTCCAAATATACAGCAGTCGTCAGGTTCCGGATCGAACCCACGACCTCCTGAATACTCGGCGAGGTAGTTAACATCTCGGCACCGTGGCACCCTCACAGGCATAGTGATAGTAACACTGCAAGCGCTGGCCTTTAAAACCGTAACGTTCTTGGCGTATGGTTCTCAAACGCACGCGTTGACCTCTGAACGCCTCAATTGGACTTGCGCCGCAGAGGGATGGCGCAAGGCTAAGGGCACCGACTCGAGACGGTGACGTCGCCGCAATTCTCTCTTGTCCTGGTCCGCCCTGTATCTTAATTCTCTTCAACAAGAGTGATATCTCTCTGCCAGACGTGCTTCCAGCACAAAGACAAACTCAAATGATCTTCCTTTACTCTCAAAGCAATGCACAGCTTGGTATCGCCCTTGCTGGTGAGTTGGTCACTGACTACCTGTGCCCCAGCTGCGTATGCCACTCATGCCTGGCTGGTGGCCTGCTTTTCCTAAGCCACAAAGTCTTTGAGAACTCATTTTCAGTGATACTCCGCAGCTGTAAAACGAGCTTCCCGTGGCCCTGAGAAATGACTCAGTCGAATGAGATTTTAAAATCTCGTTCTAATTTAACCCTCTTCAACTTTTTTGTCGTGATTCGTTTTCGTTGGATGCCGCCGTGGAATGGTCGACACGCTGGGCAGACAGCGCCTGTTCGACCTCCCGGCGTGGCAGTTGAATCAACGGGGCAAGATTCGCAAACCCCTTCAACCGGCGTCTGTCCACGCAGCAGCATAGCCGGGCACACCGCAGCGAGTCGATCGGCAGGTCGTGTGCGGTGGGGCAAAGTGTGGGTACGCCCACCTCCTCCAAGAAGTCTGATCACCCTGGAAGAGTAGACCAAATACACGCCGGAGCTCCTTCTAGTCGAGGCTCTTCTGCCAGCAGTGGCGTGAGCGAGCAAGAAAGACATTTCAGGGCTGTGCCTTTACCTTTTAACTGAGAAGAAAGCGATTGTACTGAGGCCCACAGTGCAGTTTGCCCATCCGCGCGTAGCCAATCAGTGCGATCGTTACTAATATTCCACTGGAACCATTGTTCCAGAATCGCTTTCCGGTTACAAACTAAAACTATAAAGATTTTTTTTAATCTTTTACCAGGTAAGGTCCACTGGGCCATAGAGCTCTTTTTCAGAAACCACAATTGATAGCTCAACGAAGTGTAGAAAAATCCACGTGACCACGGGGAGAGAGACACACAAACTCCAAATCTACATGCATCAGACCCGTGGATGGAAGCCATGACTTCCTGTATACCAGGCGAGGTAGTTAACATCTCGCCACCTTATTAGAAACAGGGAACCGATTTTTGGAAAAGCAGTCACCAGTTTACCGGTTGCCGTTCAACAGCCCTTGTTTCCAGCATCCACGCTTACACAAAATACTCTGATCATAGATGCACTGTCCCTGAAACTGATTGGTCCACACCAGAGACAGCCTTCTTTTGAGCCCCGTCTCAAACGGTGTTAGACCAGAGGACGCCAACTTAACACCTGTTTTGTTGCCAGATAAAAGGGGAAAACCCTATTCTCATATTTTGGTACTGGCAAAGGAGGTCCCATGACAGAGTGAAGATCAAGTCAAAGTGCGAGCATTGCTCTTTATAAATTTACAACGGGGCAGCGCTCATCGCCGCTGACGGCCCAAAGCGGGTGGTGGAAATTCCACGTTCCCACGTTGTGCGTTGATTAATTCATCACCCATGGTCAGCGAAGAACCGTTGCGCCAAACGTGTGACCTCCGGCGACGGCGTTCGCGTAGACACGGAGGCGGCGCCATTCCGTTGCGGGTCGCAGCCCACTTCGAACGTCAACCGCCAACCGAAGTGCACAAATTTGCTGGAGGTTATTGCCGCGGTAGGGGGCCAGTATATATCCAGAGGACGACCACTGTTGACTTCCCACAAAGTGAGCGGCGCTTGTCTTATTCATTAGTTTGGACGACGACGACGATAATGGCCAAGGTCGACTGCCAACCGGGACTCGAAATCGTAAACTTGACGTTGCAAGGCACGGGCAGTAGCGCAGCCCCCGACGCTCAGAATGTTTCGTTGTGACTTTGTGTTGTAACGAGGGCTGCGTGAGTGTGCGCGGGTTCTTTGGTGTATTTGCTCAGTTGTTCTATAGGGTAGGTGCCTAATGGAACAGACAGAAAGACAAATGGACGGACTGACCGGTAGAGCTTACGCATGAAAGCTTACAGCCTCAGTTGTAAAGCGTTAAAAAGTAAATCTACCGTTTCACCACTATAAGTAGACATCAACTGTGAGTAATCACACGTTAACGTAATACAAAAATTATACCCTTCAGTCGCTAGCTACACCTGCCAACACTGCTCATTATGAACAACTTCGTGAGATATTGCATCGCAGGAACGCGTACACTCTACACAGCTTGCAGCGCTGTCAACTTTGATCAAAGCCAGAACATGGCAGTAAGATTCTGTGTGTGTGTCATCTTCATGTGAATGCTGAGAAAAAAAGGAATTAACAAACTAAAATGATAGGGTAGCGCTGCGCTACGAACCTGGCGACCTGAGTTCGATTCTCCAACCGGTAATATGCACTGCACATTTTCAGATGACCGTAATCTATTGTAATTTTAATTATTACATTAACTCCTCCCCCCTCTGATCTTCACACCTGATAGGAACACAGTGATGACATCATATCCCTCTATTTAAGACCGGAAACAGGGAGGCTTCCTCACCATTCTGGCAAATCGCCTGATGAAGCTGGTTGTAAGCACCAGCGAAACGTTGTACTCGAATTGTACAGATTGTGGGTTTACTCTCCAACACACCGGTGTGCTGAAGTAGCATCTAATTAAATTCCGATTTTAAGCTTTTGTGACTGCAGGGAGTCATCTTCTTGGTTCTTTCGGTAAAGTCACGTAGACTTTGTCTCCTCGACAGAGGAGACAGAGTCTACTTGCGTTGTGGCCGAAACGTCGTGAGAATTATTTTATTATGTTTTATTTTTATTATTTTATTATTTCCATTCCACGTGACTTTACCGAAAGAACCAAGAAGATAGCATCTAATTGGCACGTTTTGTGCACGTGACGTGACAGACCTTACGAATTGCGCCGTGCGGGGTGGTGGTGGCTTCATGACACCCTTATATTCACGCGATCTAACCCCCCCAGATAAAAACCTTTGTTGTGGACACACACAGGGCCTCCGTGGGGAGCGAGGAGACAAGGGCGAGGCAGGCCCCCCTGGAACATCGGGGCCCCCCGGTACTAAGGGCCCCCCAGGAGAAGATGGACCCAAGGGCAATCTGGCGAGTGCTCTTGAGCGATGTGCGCGCATACGTAACAGAGGGTGAACTTCACGTTTCACGTTGATGTTGTTCAGTATGAACGTGAGAGCCGGCGAGACCGGGATGAAGAGTGACCCGGAGCAGCGATTGGTCTCCCGTTAGGGGGACGATGTGAGGATCTCATAAGGGCACGTCACCGTCTTCGTCATCATCGTCATCGTCATCATCATCATCATCGTTGTCGGTAACATCGTGAGCATCAAACGTACGTTCGTTATTATCTTTAAGCGGTGACTTCTCTGCGTACGTTCAGCAGCCTTGTCCAGTCAAGTGATTTGTCTTCAAGCAGTGGTCGTGATGATCAGTCAAAGTGCTACAAATATCGTAAGCACCATCATTGTCATCATCATCAATGGTAACGGCAGTAACATCAACAAGATGATCAGTGCCATCGTCATCATCAGTATCATCTCCACCTTCCCAATATCATCAGTGGCAACATTACCAGCAGCATCACCAAGCTCATCATCATCCACCAGCTTTCTCAAAGCGTTTACTCGTGTTTTCATCAATTACTTATTACTTAGTGGTTTTCTGTTTACAGCCCTGAGCCAGTAGTGGGAATTCCACATTCCCCACACAATGGTGTGTATTTTATATCGACCTCGGGAGAGATGATGGGATGTGTTCTTTGATTGTTTGTCTTGTTTTTCACTTTTGCAGGGTCCGGTCGGATTCCCTGGAGAGCCAGGCCTTACGGGTGAACCCGGTCCTTCCGTGAGTGACACGCGCTTTCTTTAAAGATCACACAAACAACAAACACGATAAGTCACGCATCACCACCCACTCACTGCCCTTTTCAGTGTGCGTTGAGCACTGTCGCCGCAGCACCACCCACACAGCCAGGCAACTTTTTTGTGTGTTAATATTACTATTAATGAACTTATCTGGATTCAAATTAGTGACACAATTTGTCCAAATTAATGACATAATTTAATTAAGTTTCCTCACCGCCGACTCAAGTCCCGATCCCCTGTCTGGGATCGTGCCGCTGCTGTCACCATCCTAGAATCTCACCCAGGTCGGCAAGAGCGCTGCGAGCGAGCGAACGAGCGAGCGGGTCGAACCACGCGGCTCTGCAGAATAAACACCTCGTTCGAGACCCAAACGTCGCACACCTCCTGGCTTTGGCATTTCTTCTTCCTCCATCAATCGCATCAGAACACCGACAGGCCTACACACGCACCTCTCCTTCAAGCCACAGGAGTGCAGCCGTGGCAATGCAACCCAAGCAATGGACCACAGAGTAAACACCAATGTGGTCTGTGCGCCTTCAATGAAGGAGGAACGGCGAAACTACGCAAGCTCTCTCTCCAGAAACCCCGCCTTGTCGTGGCCAATAGCAGAGACCTCAACAATGGCATCGAGCTCGTCTGAACGTATCGCCGCTGGCATCGTGCGCGTAGAAGTAAGAAAAAGGTTGCGCATGGAGGAAGACCTGATGATGATGATGCAGGCGGTGATGAGAAAGGGAAGCTGGTGCTATTTGGACACGTCTGTAAGGTGGACATCAACAGTAAAACCTAAAGTGTGTTGTTCGTGAAAATTGAAGGAACTAGAAAGAGAGGAAGACCTCACAGAGACTACATTAGTACCAGAACGATGTTTTCACTTCTTGAGCATATTGTGACAAGACAGAGGAAAGTGTAAACAAACGACGAAATGTGCAGTGGACACCTTTGGGCTGTCAGCCCATGGCTCGTGATGATGGTGGTAGTGCGTGAGCATAGAATAGGATGACAATGCATGCACGTGTTGAACTTCTTTGCCCACAACGCTTCTATGTGTGCAATGTGCGCAGGGAGTTGACGGAGCACCAGGTGAAAAGGGTGACACTGGGGAAACTGGAGAGACCGTGAGTCTTAACATTTAATTTAATCTTTCGAAGAATACTTATGAAGTCCACTTAAATATAAATTATAGGTTATGAAGAATTTTTTTTAATCATCTAAAAGAAATAGCCTCGTTATTAATTTGTAATTGTAATTATGAGTTTTTAAAGTATTCATAGTTTTGTCTAAATTCGTATCTTTTTCCAGTTATTATTTAATTGGTTTGCATAATTTTCTTATATTTTGTCATTTTCCTGCTTTGATACGTGCATTGCCTTTGTACTGTTCGACTTTTGGTGTTGTCCTCTGTTTTGATACTGGTGGTGAGACTAGGCCCTTAAGAAGGCGGCTGTCTCTGGTATATACTAATCAGTTTCAAAGGCAATGCGTCATATATTATCAGAGCGTTTTTTTTCGCATGTTCACCACAAGTACTCTGTGTGGTTAATGCAGACTTGATGCCTTGCAAAAGGTTTCTATTTGGTGTTTGAACATCTTTTGCCTGAAAGGGAAAATCCTATTCTTATTTTTTTCTTCTAATTTTCCATTGCAAAAGAAAAAAGAATCGCAACGAATGGCTTTTCATCGGCCGCGATTCAAGATGCACGCCAATCTGTGTAACCGACCGCGCTTACGGGCGCAGCGCTGAACCGCTGTGCACCCTCCGCTCTGCGTAACCTGCGTGTTTGTGTCCACGGCAATAGGGCCCACCGGGTCCCTCAGGAGAGTCGGGGCCATCCGGACCCCCAGGGAAGAGAGTGAGTCCCTCCATCCCTAACCCCTACACACACCTCGGTGTCATCCCGAGTACCAGCCCAAGTGAAGTACTAACCATAGCACTGGCCCCAGCCTGAGCACGTCGCAATGACAAGGCAGAGCGTCTCCTCGCTCAGATGGGTTGTGAGGCTATTCTCATTTCCATGGGTGTTGCAGTGCGGGAATTCCACACTCGCAAGGAGGCAGAAAGTCTTTATTTAGAACCCTGCTGGACCTCTCTCAAAGTCACTGGAACCGCTTTCCCCTAAACCTACCCTGGTCTTAAACCTACCCCTAGTCCTAACCCTATCGCTAATCCCAACCCTGCACCTAATCCTATCCCTGGTCTTAATCATACCCCTAGTCCTAACCCTATTGCTAATCCCAACCCTGAACCTAATCCTATTCCTGGTCTTAATCCTACCCCAAGTCCTAACCCTATCGCTAATCCCAACCCTGAACCTAACCCTGGTCTTAATCCTACCCCTAGTCCTAACCCTATCGCTAATCCCAACCCTGTACCTAATCCTAATCCTGGTCTTAATCCTACCCCTAGTCCTAAGCCTTTATGCAGCCTTATACTCGGCTCACCTTAGCAACAGACCAGGTCTTGACCCGCCCCGACTGCACATCTGTGAGAAAGAGCTTCAGAGCTCATCGGATTGCTCCTCTTGCTGCAGTCTAAATAAACATTCTGATTCTCAAGTTTCAACTCGATCTCTGGCCCTGACCCTCGCTGTGCCCTAACACAAGGCACAAATCCGAATCTGAAGCCTTGTGGAACCCCACCCCCCCCTTCAGATGAGCCCGAACGCGATACATTACCCCTAGAGTAATGCCACTCTGTGTTTAAATTGCAGGCAGTGAAATGATGATGATGATGTTGTTGTTGACTCGGTAATGTAACGTGTGATTAAAGTGATTAAATGTCTGTGCTTCAGGGCTTGCCTGGGCCACCTGGTGTGGAAGGCAGGAGAGGAGAAAAGGGAGGGAAGGTACATTTCTCATTATAAACAACACCGCGTGTGCACGTGTGTGTGTGCAATGTTCGTCTGTATGTGTGTGCACGTGTGTGTGTGCAATGTTCGTGTGTGTGTGTATAGCGGTTATCGCGCGGCGCCTAAAACCCAGCCACCCGGGTTCGATTCACGCTCACGGTCGACGCCAGTGACGATTATCTGAACCGGTCCTGGGCCTCCCCTAGGTCGACTCAGCCTCAAATAAGTACTTGATGTGATGTGTAAACATCGCCACTAGGGAGACAAAGGCGGCCAGACGTGGTGCTGGCCACCCACCTCCTCTGTGCTGTGCCGGCCTTCATAGGTGCTCGCTAACAGCACTTGCTCCTACGGTCTGTTAAGGCTATATGGGGGTCTTTGTCATTCTCTGTGTGTATAGCAGTTATCGCACTGTACTACAAACCCGGTGACCCGGGTTCCATTCCTGCTCATGGCCAACATCAGTGGCAAATGTCTGAACCGGTCCTGGGCCTCTCCTAGGATGACTCAGCCTTAATTGAGTACCTGGTGCAGTGTGTAAACGTCAGCACGGGGAGACAAAGGAGGCCAGGCATGGTGTTTGCCACAGAACTCCCTAAAAACTTGGCATTCAAAGGTGCTGTCTTGCAGCATTTGTCCCAACTGCCTTAGTAGGCTACATGAGCATCTTTGCTCTTGTTTGTATATACACCCTGCATCCAGTCATTGACGATATGGACTGTGGCATTGCATGACAGTGAGTGATGGTACACAGCGTTTGAAGGCCTTCATCCAACAGTGGATGGACCATGACTGATGATGATGGTGGTGTTGATTTGTATAGGGTGAAGGAGGCGTAAACGGGCCACTTGGGAAGACGGGACAGATTGGGCCTGTGGGTCTTCCTGGGCAGCCTGGACCTGTCTGGCAGCATTTGTCCCAACTGCCTTAGTAGGCTACATGAGCATCTTTGCCCTTGTTTGTATATACACCCTGCATCCAGTCATTGACGATATGGACTGTGGCATTGCAGGACAGTGAGTGATGGTACACAGCGTTTGAAGGCCTTCATCCAACAGTGGATGGACCATGACTGATGATGGTGGTGTTGATTTGTATAGGGTGAAGGAGGCGTAAACGGGCCACTTGGGAAGACGGGACAGATTGGGCCTGTGGGTCTTCCTGGGCAGCCTGGACCTGACGGACTGAGAGGCATTCCCGGACCAGCCGTGAGTACACACATACACCCGTACGTACACATATACATACATGTGCACAGCACACATACTCATATACACACCACAACAACAACAACAGCCATTCGCCACTAAGTGGCGGTGACGTCACCACGAAGCTTGTGCCACACACCACACACACTCATACACACACAACACACACATATGCACTCATAACACACGTACACATCATCGTCGTCATATGTAATGACATCAGTTTAACACGTAGGCTCTCGCGACCAATATCATCCATAATACAGGTTTCGCCAGTAACGACATTTCGCGAAACGTCTTACTCGGATTGTAAATGTTGACATTTCGTGAAACGTCGTACTTAGATTGTAAATGTTGTGGCTTTGCGCTCCAGCACACCGGTGTGCTGTACTAGTAACGAATTGGCACTTTCTGTTTACGTGACAAACCTTACTGATTGGCCGTGTCGGGTGGTGGCGGGTTTAACGACACGCACATACATTTTGATTTAAATCTTTCGTGACTGCAGGGATTCATATGCTTGGTTCTTTCGGTAAAGTCACGTAGAAGGGAAATAATAAAATAATAAAAATATGAAACAATAAAAATTCTCACAACGTTTCGACTGCAACACAAGCAATCGTCATCAGGTGTGAAATCCACAGCAAGTCAATTTGAAAAAAGTGGCGGTTTTTCCTAACGTCAGCACCACGGACAGCGATTTGGCAGTTGGCCAGATGAACTCGTCTATCTGGCCATCTGGCCAACTGCCAAATCGCTGTCCATGATGCTGACGTTAGGAAAAACCGCCACCTTTTAAAAAAATATTGCTGTGGATTTCACACCTGATGATGATTGCTTGTGTTGCAGTCGAAACGTCGTGATACTTTTTATTGTTTATATTTTATTTTATTATTTCCCTTCTACGTGACTTTACCGAAAGAACCAAGAACATGACACACACACATATATATACGTGATCTAACCCCAAAAAAACCCTGTATTATGTATGTAATGACATGGTCGTTCTTGTTATTTGTGATCCCCAGGGAGACATTGGGAGACCCGGTGGCCCTGGTCAGCGAGGTCCCCCAGGCCCACAGGTGAGTCTCAGCACTCACTTCCACGAGGCTCCTGCCACGGGATATTTTGGTCAATCATGCTTAGCGGGGTCTCTTATAATTCTCCTTTGTTTCGTGCAGAAGGAACATGTAATTGCAGATAGCAGCAGGATACACAAGGAAATTAACAAGAAACGCGAGAGAAAAGGCAGAGTTAATGATTTCTCGGACAAGTAATGAGAAAACGAGAGACTGAACGTGAATGTGGTTTTGACTGAAAAAGTTATAGACTTCACAAGAAGCCGGGGAAGACAGCGAAGTATGTTGAACTTCTTTCGCACCGTACGTAGCCAGCCTTCCTAATCGGAGGTGTGCGGTAAGGACAACAAGAACAACAATAACGTTTAATAGGTAATTTTAATAGTTGGATGCAATTGGGAGTGATGCAAAGTATCTAAAAGTTGACTAAACATCGTGGACAGAGCTAAGTGGAAGGGAGGTCATAATCGCGAACGTCTTTTGAGAAAGGACGCGCCTCACAGAGATAAAAAAAACACGTATAAGGATGTAATGGAGGATTTAAAGATAAGCCTGCCACAAGAATGGTATTCATTGCAACGTTACAATATTTCATGCTTGTAATGCACATGCTCTCTGTTTCACAAGAAATAAATAACGGACAAAATTACGACATTATATAACCATCATGCCATCAATTACTCCAGAAGACATTTTGCAAAGTAGTAATAATAATGATAGGTAAAAAGGCAACTTTAACTATTGTGCATGTGTTATTTCCTTAACATTTGGGAAGCAAATGAACAATGTGAGTCCATACTCGCCCTCGCGCAGAAAACCCAAGTCAACGCCAAAACGTTCGTCAATTCCACTGTGGCCTTATAATTAAAAACATAAATAGACAATTGCCAACATTTCGGGCAATGTCCCTTACTCAAACGCGGTCTTTCCGCCAGAGTTATTGTGAGTCAGCTCCATTATTAGGACCCTGAAACACCTCACCAAGTAACGTGTCATGGGCCCTGACTCACAAACCATTGCTGCGATTGGCACGGGTGGTTACGTGCGATGCAAGGTAAGCTCCACGCACAACGTACCGTGCGATGCAGCGTTGGCCTTTTTTGCGAAATCTCCCAATGTCACGACGTGCGGTGGAGTCTCCATCGATGTCTCTTTCTGTCTGTGGTCGTTTAGGGCCCTCCGGGTTTGCCAGGACTGAAGGGCGAGCCAGGCCCCAAAGGAGAAAAGGTAAGGGTTAAGATATGCGTGATGTGCAACATCGTCATTCTCATCATCAACATCATCATCGTCATTACCTGACATTTCTTGAGTCTCATGAACTGAGTGTGAACTCATGAACCAATGCCACAACAAAATCCTCGTAGTATGGACGCAACTTATCCAATTACATTTTTTTTCATATATACCAAATTCTATTGCATGTGTTGCATAATGCTGCCTTCCATTATATTGTATTGTGTCGTATCATGTTGCATTGTATGACAGTTCATTGTATTGCATGATTTGGTATTTCATTACATCACATTGCCTCGTATTATGTTGTATTGTGTTGCAATGTGTCATCGCAGTGTGCAGTGTTTTGTGGTTTCATAATGATTCCTTGCCTCCATGAATCAATGAAATTCACGGAATCGCGATTTTGATCTTCAAATCCCGTTTATTTGTTTTCCTTTATGGATGTGTGGATGATCTATAGCGGCGTAAACATGTTAAATCTATCGTGCTCAAATATATAATCTTGAAAATAATTAGTTTTACTACATGCACTAATTCAATACCAGTGAAATGATAATAACTTTAACTTGGAGCGCGCCGCTACTGCACAGCATTCGCTCACAGATGGGCAGGGAGGCAGCAGCAGCAGCCAGATGGAGAGATGTTAACTCCCTCGCCTGGCATACAGGAGGTCGTGGGTTCGATCCCGATCCCGACCCTGACGCCTGCTGTATATTTTTGAGTTTGCGTGTCTCTCTTTCCGTGACAATGTGGATTTTTCTCCGGCTCCTCCAGGTTTTCCCCTCCACATTTAGAATCAACATCACGCGTTTAGAGTATTTGGCTACTACTATAGATTTCCACATGATGATAAGCCACTTCGTTGAGCTATCATTGGTAGCCAGGTCGCTTCTGAGAAAGAGCTGTATCGATAGCTCAGTGACCATTATCTGGTCAAATATAAATAGTTGAGTTTAATGGTATATCAAATTTAAATAGGTTAGTTTATAGTTTAGTTTGGCAATTATTCAAGCCCTACAGAAACGGGAGCACCGGGAGAAAACCCATAAATGTGTGGGGGCGTGCGATCGGGCAACACTCGATGCATAGAATTGTCGATTGATATTTATTCTCTAGCTCAGGATACGTGCTCGGACTTATTAAATCACAATAAACGGGGTGATGGGTGTGGGGGATGAGTAGAAAAATCGACACCTCGACTATTCAATGCATGATAGGTGAGCATAACTAATGCAATCACGTTGCATTTCATTGCATCGTAGTAAGTCGTGGTGAAGAATAGGAGACTCCAATGGCTCCGACAGCTACCACAAAGAGGTTTCCATTAAACCCATCGAATGGAAACTGACACATGGAAGAGAGAATAGAGGAAGACCTCAGCCCAGATGGGAAGATAGAGCAGACACAGACTTGGCACATGGAGTTCTAACAATAACAACAGCAGCAGAATGCCGCGAAGAGACTGGAGGAGGTGGAGGGGACTGGTGTCAACGGCATGTGCGGATACGCACCGCGCCGCCTGATGATGATGATGATGATGAGGTTGTTGTTGCGCTTACGCTCGCGTGCCGTGTCGCACTACAGGGACACCCCGGCCTCATTGGGCTCATTGGACCCCCAGGAGAGCAGGGGGAGAAGGGAGACCGAGGGCTGCCCGGGCCCCACGGGAAGACGGGACCCAAGGGAGACCACGTGAGTGGCCGAGGCAGCACGTCCCGAGACAATGCCCTGGCGTGGCAGAGCTTCCCACAATGCCATGGCACGGCCAGTTCCAAACCACTCGGAACAGACACCATTGGCTTGCCGCAAAGTGCTTCCTTCCTCTACCATCCTCGCAGCTGAAATTTGAACTCTAACGAGAGAGTACTACAACCGGCTGTTCTATGGAGAGGCTGGCTCCTGCCATAGGAATGTGGAACTTACAGCACTCAATGGAGATTACCACTGTCTCTGATCATGTTTATATAGGTGGCGGTACACATTCAAATGTCTATGACCAAATCAGATCTCCGAACCGAAGCAGGGCTGAGACTGGATGGTGCTTGGATGTGACACCACCATGCATGACACAGGTGTTTCCAGGCCACAGTGGGGCTACGTTATGGGTAGCAGCAGAGTGGCAGTGCAGCGAAATGCATTGCTCTACTCGACTATGCTCGGACGCCTATGCTGCCCATGCCTTCTCCAACCCGCGGTGACCTGCGTGGAGAAGTATGGTCAATTAACCCCGACGAACCGCGCGGTGTGTGAGGAGGCCGTCATGCAGCAGTGGCCTGATGACGGGGCTTGTGTGGGGTGCACGGGACTTGTTGTGCGTTTGGAGCATTTGGCCGCTGCTACAAATTTCCACGTCACGATGAGCCACTTCGTCGAGTTGTCATTTGTGGTCAGGTCACTTCTGAAAAAGAGCTGCGTAGCTCAGTGGGCCTCACTTGGGAAGATAAAACTTTAAAAATAGTCGAGTTATTGCGTGCGTGGCTGTTGTTGACGCGCAAGCCAACGGCCACCGGTGTTTGCGACAACCCTCTGTGACGTCCGCCTCTGCCCCCTTTCCCCCAGGGAGTTGTGGGTCCTTCCGGCCCCCAGGGACCAAGCGGATCCCCAGGACCTCCGGTAAGACTCCCCTCCCTTCCTGCCCCCTCTATTGTAGAAGTCAGTGGTATTTATCTTGTTTGGTTATTCGGGAAAGCCTCACTGGGTCTCAAGTACTTATTTGCAGCATGGTCTTGTATTGAAATGGTTGAAGTATTTACTGGCTAGTACATTCGCAGTGTTAACCAGGGCGACCTAACACACTCAAACCTCAAACCTCTGCACCAAGTGACAAACGCACTACCACTAGGCCATGCCACTGCTCAAATATGGATACAACTGGCCCACCTCTATGATTAGCAGTGCCAAATATACAATTCGGTGTTGGACGAATCATTTTTACTCGTTAACAATTTCAGTTTTAACTTGTGCAATGGGGGCACTACTAGTGGAGCGGTTAAGTGCGCTGCGCTATGAACCTATCAACCCGAGTTAATTTCCCGGTCACGGCTGACATCAGCGTCGAGTGATATCCGAACCGGTCCTGGGGCCTCCCCAGCTGCACGAACCAACGCTTGACCAGCATGGTGAAGTATGGTCAAACAGTGGCCTTGACCGTTATGAGACCGAGAGACCTTCATCCGATAGTGGATTGACAGAGGGCTGTAAATAATTAATAACAATTGTAATCATTTCACGTCCGCAAGGGCACAGTATGCTCTCACTCTTGAAGAGAGGACAATGACTCAGTGGTGCAAGGAGGAACCGCAGATAAGCAGGGAGGTAACCCACGCGTTGAGCTGGCTCCAAACAATTGCCCAAGGTCTGCGGTCCTCTATCACACTTTCTCGGTGTTATCGGCCATTTAACCCCCTTGCCAGGGCGGGTATCCCGTTCACCGCTGGAGTGGCTCAGGGATAATTTTATTCAAGGAGACGTTGTAGCGCCGTTGTTTTTCAAGAGATTGCTACTCACCGCAGAGAACCGTAGTGACACGGCCGCGGTTTACGATAGCTGGCGACAAACTGTGCCGCACGCCCTCCCGCACCGCCTCGTGATAAAGTTGTTTTATCTTAGTTTTTCTTCCGTGCGTCATCGGAATGGGAAAGGGTTAATGAGTGTTTAGATGTGTGAGGAAACCGGAGCATGAAGATTCATCCATTACTAAACAATAATACTACGATGGCGGTGAGCCTTGTGAGATTTAAATTATATAGCGACGTAGGCCTTTGCCTAATTACGTTTTTTGAAAAATCCAAAAGCTTTGCGGGGGGGGGGGGGGGGCGGTTGGAGGGTGTGGGGTGATCGTCGCCAGAGCAAGACAAAAGCCTTCCAGACGGTCACAGCCGAGATTGTCGGCGATCGCCCAGGATCCTTGAGGATCTCGCATCGAGCAACGCGCACCACCAGCGCCCGTGGCAGCCGCGTGCGGGGATAGGGGGTCGCGAGTCGGGGGTCGCTGGGTCGCGCCATCGACGCCGCTCACCGCCAGTTTGCAGGTCGTGTTGAGCAGGGTGAGGGCACCCTGCTCTCCCGGCCAACCCCACAGAGCTGATGCTGCATTGCCCATTCTTGACGTTAAATGTATTTTTTTTCCTCCGATTGGCACGGTTGTCTACATACGGTGCGAAATAAGTTCAGTGTACACACATACATACCGTATTTGAGCCACGTACTCGTAGCTGCTTGCTCACCAGTCCAATAATCAACCCGAAATATGTATTGATGTTTCTGTTTAACCTTACTTTGATCTTTTTTTGTAATTTATGCAAGTCAAGTTTTGTAACTGAGAATTAATTGTATTCATTATATTGGTAATGTTTGTGCACTGTCTTCCTGTTTTCAAATTATTTCTGCCATGTGGTTGTTTTTCCTCTGATTTCTACTAGGTTGCTTTGGGGCTGATTTAAAATCGCTTCATTGTGGTTGCTTTCTGTTTTCGTTATTTTGCAACTCGAGACTATCCCCATCTCTTGAGACCTTAGCCAGTTAAACGAAATAAACTTTTAACACACACCATATGCTTTGCTGTCATTTGACGGTGACTGATAAATGCTTTTTCTGGTGTCAACCCTTTCTACAGGGCCCAGGAGGGCCTAAAGGTTCCAAGGGCTCCACGGTGAGTGTGATAAGCCCGTTAGTGTGTGTCGCATCCGCTTGCGTGTGTGGGACTGTTTGTTTTCAGTGTGTGTACGTGTACGTGAAAGTGTGCATGTGGGAAGCAGTAACGTAGCGGCTAGCGCATTGCGCTCCGAACCCGACCACCCGAGTTCGATTCCCGCTCACGGCCCAACACCAGTTACGAATACCTGAACCCGTACTGGGCCTTCCCCTAGGTCGACTCAGCCTCAAATGAGTACCCGGTGTGGTGTGTAAAATATCGCCACTGGGGAGACAAAGGCGGTCGGGTGTGGTGCTGGCCACACGACCTCCTTCGTGTGCCGTGTTGGCTCTCGTAGGTGGTGCTCCTCGCTAACACCACGTGCTCCCAGTAGTCTTCTAAAGGCGACACGGGAGGAACTTGAGTGTATGCGCGTGTACGTGTGTGCATCTGCACGCGCCTGGGCACGTGCTTGGCGCGTGCGTGGGCTCGCGCGTTTGTGCACGCGTGTAAATGCCTGTGCAATCGTGCACGCATTACCAACCTATTTTTCCTATCCGAGTCAAGGTCTCTCAAAATTGCAATTTTCACCTGTTGTACCCTTGCAGCTCACATCCATCCATTAGAATCATGCCGCACGTGTCCAGATTCGTGATGCTGTCTCTCCTCTGCCTTGGGCCCTGAGCGCAACGTCTGCGCTTCGCAGGTTGCTGCTTCTCCTGCACTGCTCCCGTTGTCTAAAACCAGCCTCCCACTTGTTATTCGCTCAGTTGATTCCCTCCCCAGTTTAACTGCTTGCTCGAATACCTTCCTCGGCTCCTTGACCTGTGATTCACTTCCCCCCCCCCCCCATCCTCGCATCCGATGACGTCTCTCTGCAACTGGAGCTATGCACTATTATCCACTGGAGCTATGCAATTTTAAATTTAGGTTGAAAACTCGTTTTTTTCAGAACGGCTTTTTGTGTTTAGTTTGTTGTCCTTTCCCCGCGCCTCTGATTAGCGCAGTTGGCTACGCACGTTGCGAAATAAGTTCGACGTACATACAATCAGAATATGTATTCACACTGGAGGAATCCGATGAGCTATAAGGCTCTTTGTCACAGACGTGCAGTGTGCCGCCTGCCTTAGGGGTTGGCGACCAACACGGCCACCCAGATTGCAACGCTGCGAAGGGCACCGACTATTTGGTGATGCTGCTGCTGCTTTGGCAGCGGTGCACAAGCACAATTAACGATAGCACTGCCTTCAAAGGGAATTCATACAAATTGGCAACGTTTCCCGCAATGGGCCCTGTTCTTTTTGTGCTGTGTCGAAGAGCCCATTGCACGAGAACGCCGTCGATTCTCTACTTTTCTTTTTGGAGCATCGTCGTTGGCTTTACTGTTACAAACATGGAGAAGTTATATGGATTTAGCGCAAATTTACGGACGCCGTCATAAAGCGTGCCGATAATTGGCAACGCTTAGACGCAACGCGATGCCACATGATGGATAACAAACGACAGAGCTATTACCAAGCCATTACTTTCAAATGGCATTAGAGTCTTCGTTTTGCCCAGGGCGTTGTTTACATCAAAGCTGGGCCTGCTGCCATTCACAATGCAATGTAAACCTTCTCTCCTGTTGTCACACGCGAACCTACCCTCGTCCAGCAAACTCTCTCGCCTGTTTCAATCAATCGATTGATCTCCTTTTAATCCTCCGATGTCCTTTCATTCATCCGCGTCGTGTAATTCTCCGTGACGCCTCCCGCTGCCCCCGCGCTGCGCCGTCGTCCTCAGGGTGTTTATGCCGCTCCGTGATATCAAACTGTGCACAGATTTGCATTCTCAGTTATCCGTCGCTCTGCCGCGATGTTCTCACAGTGGCACGGTGCTGCCGTTGGCTTGGCATTCATCGTGTGTGTTGCTTTCAGGGCATCAAGTGACGTGTCCGTTTGCTGTCATCAAAATTAAACATATTGTCTGCTGCTGCTGCTTTAGCAGTTGGTGCACGAGCACAAACAACAACACATTCCATATCTTGATTTAAAGCTTTCGTGACTGCAGGGATTCATATTCTTGGTTCTTTCGGTAAAATCACGTAGAAGGGAAATAATAAAATAATACAAATATAAAACAATAAAAATTCTCACGACGTTTCGACTGCAACACAAGCAATCATCATCAGGTGTGAAATCCACAGCAAGAATTTTTTTTCTGTGGATTTCACACCTGATGATGATTGCTTGTGTTGCAGTCGAAACGTCGTGATAATTTTTATTGTTTTATATTTTTATTATTTTATTACTTCCCTTTTACGTGACTTTACCGAAAGAACCAAGAATATACATTCCATATCAATAGGAGTTTACAGCAGGCGACGTTTCGGGCAATTGCCCTTCTTCAGTACATATAGAGGGCAAAGAGTCTCTGTAGCTGCCTTTGGCTGAAACGCCGCCTGTTCAAGTCTTTCGTACGGCCGCAGTGTTTTTCACGAAGGTTTTTTTATCGTCATTTTTTGCCGTCAGTGTGTTTTTCTGTCGTCCGCGCGTAACAGTCGCAAACGTCTCCCCCGCTGCGTCGATAGAATGGACGGCGACTGACAAGAGAATACGTTAAAGCATTTCAGTTGCGATACGGAAAATTCGCTGCGTGCACCGCGCAGCCAGTGACTGGATCGAGCTCTCCCGTGACATGACGGAGGATTCCGCTCAACAACATCGATTTGATTTTTATTTATAGAGGAATACGCGAATTGCAATAATGAGCTTGACCCACAATAACTTTTGCTTTTTAGCGCGTGATACGTGTGTGGTATGTTCATCGTTTTATTGCGACCGGACAATGGCAGCATTGCAGGCGTATTCGTAAACTTAACACGCATGGGCTAATTCTGTAAACTAAAGAGATGCAATCGTAGCCTGATATCTCCAGCGGCTCATCACGGCTTCGTGAGAGGATTCATATTCTTAGGTTTTTTCGGTAAAGTCACGTAGGTAAAGAAAAAAAATTAATAAAAGTAAAATAAAAATAAAAATCACGACGTTTCGGAGGCAACACAAGCTTCCGTCTTCAGGTGGAACCGTCACAGCACGATATGAGATATCCAAATGGATTATTGTATCAATACAGCTATCGTGCTGTGACGGTTCCACTTGAAGACGGAAGCTTGTGTTGCCTCCGAAGCGTCGTGATTTTTATTTTATTTTTATTTTACTTTTATTAATTTAAATTTTTTACCTACGTGACTTTACCGAAAAAAACCTAAGAATATGAATCTTTGCAGTCACAAAAGCTTCAAATCTAGAATTTGTGAGAGCAGTTGCTTGGATTCGAGGTTTCCCAGCCATGATTACATCGGCGTCTCCAATAGCAGTGTGTCCACGTTCTCAGCCTGCTCACAATCAGAATCACTATTTATACCGCAAGGAGGAATCCGATGAGCTGTGAAACTTATTTTTTCACAGGTGGTCACCAATAACCGTGCAAAAAGTCACCCGCTTTTTAACCATCAACACTTTGACGCGTGACTTTGCTCCCTTCTCATCAGGGTGAATGAATTGTGAATGAGTTACCGTTGTTGTTGTTTTATTTCATCATTTTTAGGGACCTGCCGGTCCTAAAGGAGACTTGGGCCCCCCAGGACCTCCCGGCCCCCCTGTAAGTTCTACAATGAGTGTCACTGTCGCTCGTGCACTTACGCACACACGCATACATGCACTCACACACGTGGCATCAGGCGACCTTTGACCCTATTAGACTTGCAGGCGACTGTGATTAAACCGGCTTCTCAGCTGTAGCCAGTTGATGGCTTTTTCAGGCCAGCCAACAATTACATCTTATCAACTTCGGTTTTGCCCTTGATTTGCATAAATTCTCAACTCATGAATAAAATATATAGCAGGTTGACTGCCATGAGACAAAATGCCATTCCGTGACCAAATCCCACAGCAGGATGAAAATGTTACTTGAAGGATTTTTTTTTATCTCCGGAAAATATCCTGTGAAATACCCCTTCTTCTTGCAGCCATTCCCTGACACACGAGCCACGCCGCCCTCTGTGAGATATCCAAATGGATTCCTCATCTCATGGCTCGATTCCGAGAGCAGAATTGGAATAAATTAGCGGAGGTGCGATCAGGAGGGGGGGGGGGGTGGTAGTGACACAGGAAGGTAAGAGTGGCGCTGCGTTGGCGCGGGGGATTTTCCCGCTGCCCGTCGCATTTCAGGGCAACGCGGCCTTGTTGGCAGGAGGCGGTTGAGCCGCGCACGTGCAACTCGCTGTGTGTTGTGCCGCGTGTGTGCCGGCATGACCTCTTCTTCCCTCTCATTCATCGCTCGTGGCCAGGGCCATCCGAACGACACTGCCTCTCTCCCAGCCAGCAGAGATCCTAATGAGCCCATTTGTCACTGCGCCACAATTGCCAGGATGTTGTATATATGTGTGTGTGTGTCTGTTGCAGGAAACCTATTAGTCTGCCATTCCTCTACGATTTAATTATTCCATCGATATCATTATTGTTATTATTGTTGTTGTTGTTGCACTGCTGTCACTGCTTAGAGCAACCATTTCACAATTGGAAGTCTCGAGTTGAAACTCTGGTCAGCTGTTAGCTCGGCCCATCATCAACATCCTCGGAGTCATCTCCCTGGGGTTGATAATATAAGTACAACTTCATTTGCGGAAACGACACGAGGGTTGTTCTAACACAGTAGTGAGCTCCACCATGGGAATAGGGAATCACCACTAAATGCTCTAAAAAGCGTGACGTTGATTCTAAATGTGGAGAGGAAAACCGGAGGACCCGGGGTAAAAATCCACGCGGCTACAGGGAGAGACACACGCAAACTCCAAATACGCAGGCAGTGTCATGGTCGTGATCAAACCCACGACCTCCTGCATACCAGGCGAGGTAGTTAACATCTTGCCACCATGAGATGTATGTATGTACATTGAACTTCTTTCGCACGATATGTAGCCAAACGTGCTTATCGGAGGTGTGCGAGAGATGACGTGGCCCGGGCTACAGGCTGCTGTTGCTGCTGCCACCGACGATGATGATGACGACGATAATAACGAAACCTTTCTCCCCACATGACGACAATGGCGATAATAACGAAACTTTTCTCCACACACACCGAGGGTCCTCGCGGGAGCGGCCTCTTCTCACAAAGCGGCGATCCGGCAGCGTGGAGGTCCAAGAGGTCGGCAGACGGCGGCAACCGGGTCACCCTGGACGGCAGCCTCCCGGCACCACCTCCCACGGGCAGCGACGGCTACATGGACTACACGGAGGGCATGGAGGAGGTGTTCGCCTCGCTCAACACCCTCAAGCTGGAGATCGAGCAGATCAAGCACCCCATCGGCAGTCAGAGCAACCCCGCGCGCACGTGCAAGGACTTGCAGCTGGCCCACAAGGACTTCCCAGACGGTCTCTGTTCAGCCCCCGTCCTCAGCTTGCTATTCACTCGTCGTCGTCGTCGTCGTTTTTATAATTGCCGATATTTTCAGCTGCACTTGATTTACCCAGGAAAGCTGCACGGAGTTTGTAGCAGTTAGGGGGTGACGGTGCTCCGTGCGATCCCAACTGAGTACTTTGTAGGTTATTTATCAGCATTGCAATGTTTGGACAACGGTCACCTTGCGTGGTTTGGCGTTTATGTTTTTTTTTAAAGCTATGGGACAAACAAAAAAAAAATAGAGAGTACCCGGACGAAACCCACACGGAATCGAACCCAGCACCTCCTTGCTACGAGGCACGAGTGTTACCATCCTGCTGCGCAAGGCTCACAATGAGACCGCGTGCCACAATGGCGTTTTTGTGTGGACGAAATTGATAACCCCTCAACTATTTGGCCGACAGGCTGTGAAGGATGGGACGATGGGTGTGGTTGGGGATGTGGACGCTTCTCACCCCGCAGGCTCATTTTGCCCAACTGCAGCAAGCGAGGAGATGCCAGTCTGCTGTGTGGGTCTTTCGCTAGCGGTTACTCAGGTTCACCAGTGAGCCTTGCCCAGCTAAATACCGCGTTACGCTCTGGGCTCTCTGGACAGGGCTCGCTGTTGAGCTTTAATAAAGGCGAATTTATTTTTTTGTCTACAGTAATGCCCAGTGCCTTACGTGAAGGCTGTCAGCCAAAGGATTTGCCATATTTCGTCTTCTTCTTGGTTCTTTCAGTAAAGTCACGTAGAATGGAAATAATAAAGTGATAAAAATAAAACATAATAAAATAATTCTCACGACGTTTTGGCCACAACGCAAGCAGCCGTTCTCAGGTGGAGAACAGGTCTGTCGAGAGGACTTTCTATTATTTCCATTCTACGTGACTTTACCGAAAGAACCAAGAAGATGAATCCCTGCAGTCACGAAAGCTTTAAATCGAAATATTTCGTCTTGTGTTTGGATATAATTGTGTGTGTATGTGTGTATGTTTTGTGAACCCGTGGCACCTGGGTCTGTTCCGTGACCTCCTGCCAGCGAGCCTTCCACACTTTCACGAGGACTCAAAGTGCACCTGGCATGGCACAAGCGTCGTGGTGGCAAACGGCGGTTGTTGTTGTGTGTTTGTGCATATGACATAACAACATAATGTATGTGTGTGTATGATTTATGTCTCTGCATGTATATATGTATGCTATAGCATGGCGGTTAGCGCTCTGCGCTACGAACCTGGGAAACTGATTTCAATTCACACCCATGGCCAACACCAGTGACGATTATCTGAAAAGGCCCGGGGTCTCCCCGAGGCCGAGTACTTGGTGCACTGTGTAAGGCGGTCAGGCCTGGTGCTGCTCACCCACCCCCTCGTGTGCCGTACCGGCCTTCACAGGCGCTACTCGCTAACAGCGCTTGACCCAACGGTCTGTGAAGGCTATATGGGAGAATGTCTGTCTTTATCTGTGTATCGACGTGTGTGTGACGATGTACGTACGTGCTTTTGTGTGTGCGCGGTTTCGCAGGAGAATATTACATCGATCCGAACCAAGGCTGCGCGGGAGACTCGTTTAAAGTTTTCTGTAATTTCACCGCGGGTGGAGAGACGTGCATCTACCCCGACAAGAAGTCAGAAGGGGTAAGCGAGCTTCTCCGCTCTCATTTATTTCTCCCTATCGATGCACCGACGCGTTCACTCGAAAGGGAAAATATTGCACCAATTCAACGTCCAATCAATGATTCCCCCCGCTCAAGCTTACCGCTGGGGTTGATGCTCATCTCTGTTGATGGTCCTGTGGAAATCCACACGTTGCTACGGAATGGAGCGGTCGAGTCATGAACTCTCCTAGGTCGACTCAGCCTCAAATGAGTACCTGGTGCAGTGTGTAATCATCACGACTGGGGATACAAAGGCAGCCGGGCGTGGTGCTGGCCACCCATCCCCTCGTGCACTGTGCCGGCCTTCATAGGTGCTCGTTAACAGCACTTGCCCCAACAGCCTGTTCAGGCTATACGGGGAGGGGGGTTCTTTGTCTTGTCGTTGTATTGTTTACAATGTGTGCATGATTTACAATTTTAACAATGCAATGAAATGTTTTTTACTTCATGATTTTTTTTCAAATGTTTAGATTTTAATTAATTCAATGCATTTTTGGCAAGCGCGTAATGAGATATTTTTGTTACAATTTGCATTTTTTCTCCCTTTTGTGGGACGTCAACTTTTTGTTGCCGAATGATAATATTGGCTCTGCCGCCATAGGAATGTGGAATTTCCACCACTTTCTGAGAGCCGCCAGCATTTGCGAGCGCGACGGCGCCATCGTGCTCAGCACAAAATGTGTTTATTTGTTTGTGATATTTTTCGAAATTAATGTTTGTGTGTCTCTCCTTTCATCCACTGCCCTCAAAACCTGAGCCTTAGCAATCATAATATATTTGTAAAAAATTGTCAACTTGGATCCAATTCATGACTCAAGCTGCAGCGATTTACCCCACCGTGAAACGAGGCACTGCCCTGTGCTCTCACTGGAAGATGAAGAGACACGAGTTTCAAAGGTTTTTTTTATCTTTAGCCTCCTAATTTTAACCAGGAGGGAACCTTGATTTAAAGCTTTCATGACTGCAGGAATTCATACTCTCTGGGTCTTTCGGTAAAGTCTCGTAGATAGAACAACACAGGCAATCGTCTTGTTTTTCTATCTACGTGACTTTACCGAAAGACCCAAAGAGAATGAGGGAAGCTTTTTTGTCTTCTTTTTCGCCGCTTGTTCTTTGGGTGCTTTTTCAGCGGGCCGCTTTTGCTTGCCACGTTTTTTTTTTAACCGGCGATGGCTTCTTTTCTAAATTCGTTCACGCTGAGCTTTTGGCACCCTAATATCGACGGCTTTTTTTTCACCCCCGCCCTTTTCACAAACGTTGCGTTAAAACAGTTGGACGACGCATTTTGTGTGCTTTGCATTTTTCCGCACAAAATGTTTCCTGTCGTCCGAAAACGAACGCCAAATTAGTTTTTTTTGGATGGAAGATGCAACCCAAAAAAAAACCAAGCGGCCGCTGTTTTTTTTTGTTTTTCACTCGACGTGACTGCCCGAGAATGTGGCAGCCAAACCCTCGAAAGCTGCCAGTTCACCTCTAACTGACACATCATCTCGTGAGCTCCTGGATCAAGCAGAGCCAGTTATGTTTCAAATGCGCCTGCATACCCAACTGAGCTGCATTCACTTCGCATAACCGACTCCCAGAATGCCCCGCGTATCGCGAAACAGGTGTATAAAAAAACAGTACTCACAGCGCAGTGAGATCACGAGAATGCGGCAGCAGCCTATAAGTGGCATTCAGAGATGGCCGGGTGGTTCAGGGGTCAGAGGGCTGATTCTCCACCGCTGAGTGACCTGAGTTTCAAATTCGAGTTTCAGCCGCCCGTGATGAAACCAGGTTCTCAAGTGTACTGGGTTGACGGTCTCGGCCAGGTCACCTGATTCTGACCGCACACACAATAAAAGATCTCATTGAATGTGACCTGTCACTTCATGTGGCTAAATGACACCGCTGAGAATTAAACATGTGATTCAAACCATCACGCAACAAGCATTGATTGTTGTCGTCTGCAGCGGGATGTACGGTGGAGTAATGCCTCCTGGTTTGTGGGTAAAAAAGCAAGTGACCCAGAGCGGTCTTCCGAGAAGTCCCATCACAGCGGTCGTGCTCCCGCATGCAGCGCCTTGCTGTGGGAGTCCTCACTCGATATTTCACCTCTTGGCGGTGGTGTCGACGGCACAATCGGAATGATTTTTTTAAATTATTAAAGTGACGTTCAATTAGTTTTCTCACCAATTAAACCTGAGCCTCATGCAGAGGGCAGCCCCAAGGAAACATCCTTGGCATGCAGCAAAAAAAAATGCCATATAATTTTTTTTGGGTTGTGTCTTCTTAAGACAATTAAAAGTGGATTTCTTTCAGATTTGTGGAAAAGCTGAGACATGTGCAAACAAAAAATGCCACGACCTTATTTGTTTAAACGTTGTTGCTTGCTTTTATGTCAACTTCACAATGCTATAAGTGAAACCCTGCTTGAACCTGTGCCATCACGTGCAGAAAAAAGGCCGTTCTCATTTTTGCAAATGACCTTTAAATTGGTTTAATTTAAATTCACAAAGGTTCTTTTGGTACGACAACCACCCTTGTCATTTTACACCTTGAATTTTCTCACGTTCATCGTCATAAATCATCAGGCCAGCAGTGATGGTGCATGCCTGTAATCTGGCGCTTTGTAGTCCAGGGTAGTTAAGTCCATTGTGTGCCAGGACATTTCAATCCTCGATTGAACTGTGAAGTGGCCATGTGGACGGCAGTACAGAAAGAAGGTTTGCCGAACGGTTGATGAAGTGGATTTTTTGGCCGCTGTCTCTTCTTCTGCGTGGATTCCACCAGGCTCTCTGGATTCTTCCGAAACGAAATAAAAATTACTCGGCACGTGAATTGGTCAACATCCCAGTGCGCTGGCGCCTTGCAAAAAACAAATGATTATTGAGACTTAGTGGGTCCATCTTTTTGAAATGATGAGATTCACCATCACTGTCGTTGCCATGAGAACACGGGAATATGACAATCAGAAAAATGACCTCGTGTTTATAGCATTGTTATGCTCAACAATATTATATTTTTAAAATCGTAATCATTGCCATTTTTTTGTTTACGAGGATAGAAACGTAACGACAAGCAACAACAACGTTTACAACAAATGAATTACCGCACGGTATCTATCACCAATGCGCCGTTCGGAATAAAATGTAAAGCCTCATTTATCCCAATTGTTCATACTAAAATTGTGAGTTTAAAGCACTGTCCATTTGCCTTTGTATTCAAACGCACACCGGCTCTGCTGCAATACTTAACGTGACCGAAATAAGCATTTGTGTGTGTATGTACATATGTAATAGCTGTGACATAGTTCACCTCCGTAAGTTAACGTTTTCCATGGAGAGTTTTAATTGACAAGCCCTGGCATGGTGGTCACCAGCAGTGCGCGAGTTAAACATCTTAGTCTGAGCTCAGTTCAGCTCACCACCACCACCGCTGTCATCATTTCGGATAAGTAACATAAACAGTACCACTTTGAAGGGAAACCAGCCTTTTTTTGCCGAAGGAATGTGGAATTTCCACCACTCGCTCAGGGCCCCACTGATGGTGATGGGCACCATCCCTTTACTCGATGGAGTGGGGAGAGCACTGCTGACACAGTCCCAGAAGTGCCATGTATGTACATACACGACCGGTCGAGCGGCTTGGGTGCAGTTTGTCGTTGAAGTTTGCGATGCATTTAGTCGCTTTGCTCATATTGCTGATCATCGCTTGTTTGCTTTGTTTTGTTTTTGTTCCATTCTCTGTTTCGCTTTTTGTCTTTTCCTCGTTTCTTTCTTTCTTTCTTCCTCCTGCTTTGCTATTTGTTTCCTAAAATCCAGGCCAGGCTTTCTGCATGGTCCGGAGAAACTAAGGGCACATGGTTCAGTGAATTCAAGCACGGTGGGATGGTAAGACCATTAAACCGATCGGCAGATGGAAAACCACAACCAAAACCGAAGGCAAACCCCTGGTTCCACTTTCCAATTTCTCCCGAGTCTCCTCCATCCCTCTGTTGTGGTCCGCGTCCCTCCTCCTGTGCCCCATGCGTGACACCCGTGCCGTCACGAATGTTCACGGCGGTGTCCACCGGTGACCAGCGTTCGCTGTGATCGGGCGTGTCCTGTGTCCCCCCCCCTCCCCCCCCCGTACCGTGCCGTACTTTTGTATCACGTCCCCCCCCCCCCCCGAATCACAGTTGTCTACCAGGGCTGGTGTTGGTGACTTAGCCACCCTGTGCAAGTCGGCGCACAGTGCGTAGCTTTAATATACCGAGCAAGGTGACAAATGAGCAAAATGAATTGCTTTTGGAAAGTTGAACTCGACAATAAAAAGCAGCCTACCTGACATGCCTCAAGACGTTTTCAATCACAGCGCACGGTCAGCTGTGATATATGGAACGGAAATATGGAATAATAATAATAATAAAATGGAAAGAGAATCGCGGGCGAGTTGCACAAATATATATACGTGGGAATATGCGCGCTGGAAATTACACCGAGAGACGGAAAGACGAGCAAATACATCAGAGAGCGTACCGTAAACACGAGACATGATATTGAGCGTGAATATGAGCAGTGGGTTTGGGCACAGGGCACCATCGCAAGGAGGGGCGAGGTCCGATTGACTGGTTATGGAATGGCAACCGAACGAGAGAATGCGCCCGGAGTGATATAATCAGCTCTTACGCAAATGTAAGATGGATTGTGTGATTGCGGGCTAGTGAGCAATGTTGACGACGTGGAGAGACCTTCATCCAGCAGTTGCATAGACATTGGCTGATGAGGATGTGGAATGGCCTGTGACACAGAATGTGAGTGACATTCTACAGTGTCCCCTTACAACACAGATTGTCATCGGCAAAGATCGATCCACTATTTGGACGAAGGCCCCCAAAAAGCTGTCACCGTCACTTGTGGTCACGTGACGCAGCTAATCTATCTCACTCGTGCACACTAGCCGATCTTTATGACTCCAGATCTGTGGTCGGGAATCGACCCGGAGCGTCGTTCCCTCCTTCGGCTGTCGCCCCATCGTTAGTCTCGGGCGCTGGCCACCGTCCCTTCTAGCCACGACGTTCCTGGGCCCAATCTCTCGCTTCTCCCAATGGTCAATGCCGTGTCTCTTATCTCGCACTTTGCTCACTTATCGGCACCCTCCTCTTCCAGCCTCGTTGTGTAATTCCAGGTATGCGTCATTCTAGATTTGAAGTTTTCGTGACTGCAAGGATCCATACTCTTGGTTCTTTCGGTAAAGTCACGGTAACGGTAACGTGACATTACCGAAAGAACCAAGAGTATGGATCGAGGTATGCTCCTTGCCATGCGTCGTTTCACACGTTGCAGCTTTTGTTCCATGGATTCATTTAGCCGTGGATACTCGCGGCTAAATGTGGTGGATTTTACGACCTCTTGACCTTGCCCCCGATTTACTAGTTTCCCACTGTAGGCCATTGCCGAGTCGGAGAATCGCCAGCACCAGCCCTGGCTCTGTGCTTCTTGGTTGTATGGCGTTCCGTGTCCGCCTGTGTCCCCCGTGTTTCCCCGTGTCCCTCCTTGGCTCGTGTCCCCCGGTGTCCCCCCGTGTTGTCTCCCCGTGTTGTCTCCCCGTGTCGTCTCCCCATGTCTCACCCGTGTGGCTCCTTCCCCCCTGGCAGAGTAAACTTGCTCGCTGGCCCAAAGAAGTGCCAGGGACGTGGTATAGTCAGTACAAGCGGGGCAGCATGGTGAGTGTCCACCCGTCATCGTCCACACACGCACAGACACTACGTAAACCTCTGCGTCGTGGACCCTAGCCCAGCGCTAGGCCGGTGCTCGGCTGGCGCTTGCCCGGCACCTCACTCGGAGTTCCGTTTGTCCGGCACTGACATCGTCGTTTGTGGGTGATCGCCCAACCGGCGTGAATTGATCCAGCTCTTGGTCAATTTTTGTCCTAGTTTAGTCAATGGCAGGCTGTGGAATTTTTTTTTATTACTGATTTTGTGAACAGGATTACACCGTAATGAGTTGATGGTCTCTATGCTTGAAAAAAAAAATGGGTTTTTTTTTTTTCCTCCGAATAATTTGGGTGAATTCCAGCTCTGACACGTCAACATTTTGTTCTGACTGCCATGCAGTGAACACCGCTATAGGGAGAGGCCCTCGTGTAGATGAGGGACAGTTGTACAGTAGAGATTCCTCTCTACCATAGGGCGACCCTCGGGGTTTTTTTTTATTAAAGAGTTCCAAATATACATATGTTCATCTTCTTTGGTTCTTTCGATAAAGTCACGTAGATAGAAAAAAACATTTTAATTAAAAATAAATACAAAAAAACCCACGACGTTTTGATCGCAACACAAGCGCTCTTCATCAGGCAGAGAGAAAAGAGGGGGCAAGCCTCCAAATGCAATTGCTTATAAGGGCTTCCAAAAGTTAATCTTATGAGATGAAGGCAACAGCACATTTCCAAGATAATTTGGAACAACACAAAAAAATTAGGGTTGATGTTTTTTTTTTGATCCTGAAGCTGCTGTCATTTACCAAAAAAAAGCGATATAATCTGGTCACGTTCTAACTCAAAGGAGTAATTGAGCAGCTACGTTTTTAAATCAACTTGCGCCTTTGTTGAATGCCTGCAGGCTGAAATACTGAGCAAATTTTGAGCGAAACTTTCGATCTACAATCCTGTCATCATTTTAAACCTCGCACAATCTGCACCCGAATAAATTACACATGTTCTGCGACTGAAATGTTCAGGAGCTGCATTGCTTAACTCTGAGATATCTGGCAGTCTATTAACTGATAATCCCTAATGAACTAGAATACATTTCTATCTCTCTGGGCTGTCTTTGGCCGTCCTCTAGCCTGGCACAGTTCACTGATGATTCGAAATAATCACGATAACCCATACAACACTCTTGGCTGTAATTTTACTGGAGCGGTTACACCTGATGGCGGAGGCTTGTGTTGCTTCCGAAACGTCGTGATTTAATTTAATTCATTTTAATTTTTTACCTACGTGACTTTACCAAAAAAAACAAAGAGTACTCTTAGCTGTCTTTGGCATCTCCCATAGGGCACAGTTTACTGATGATTCTGAATGCATAACTATGTATGCATTCAAGGGCGCCACGGTGGCGAGATGTTAACTACCTCGCCTGGTATACAGGAGTTCGAAGGTTCGAACCAGACCCTTACGCCTGTATATTTGGAGTTTGCATGTTATCCCCGTGTTCGCGTGGTTTTTTCTTCCACATTTAGAATCAACATGCGTTTAGAGTACGGTAGTTGGCTGCTATAGATTTCCACGTGACAAGCGACTTGGTTGAGCTATAATTTGTGGCTAGGTCGCTGGCAATGGTGGGCATGTGTAACTCCAACAAATACATTTAGCATATTTGGCCAATTCTGACCACAACGCTTCTGCACGATGGACCTCTCTTGTTAGTGACGTCACGGCGTGTCTTTAACGTTCCACTGCGATGCAAGATGGTACGGTTACTACACCTGTGGTTACTACACCTGTGGTTACTACACCTGTGGAAATTTAATTTACCATTGGGTGCTATTGTGTACAATAGTCACTGCAGCTCAAAGACGCGGTTATCAATTGCAATTGAGAGGTTTGCTGGCCCTTGACCCCCAGGCACACTTGAGCAGTGTGGTGAAGGTGCCACACTCTACGCGACCTGATCTGAAAGCATCCGAATTACTTGTAAGAGATCGTGCTCAGGCACGAGCCACTCGGTCAAGGGTGAGGTGACCAGTGTTCTTGTTATACCCCCACTACTCGCCGGATTCGAAACCGCGAACCTCTGCAACAACAACAACAGCGGCGAATGCACTGCTGCTGCTGCTGCCTCTAGGCCATTGCATCGTTGCCCCCCCGTGTATTATTTGGCACGCTGAAGATCCAGAGGTGGCCGATTCGACCTGCGTGCACGTCAGTCGAGACAAAGGTGCAAGTGCTTTTGTATTGTTGTTGTTGTTGCTGGTTTTCTCTTTCAAAAAATCCCTCCCCCCGCCTCTCTGTTCAGCCAGAGGTGTCAATGGATGCCACCGCCGTGAGGTTGATCGGCAGGTCACGTGCTGCGGGGTTAAAGGGCGGGTAGCTCCCACACCGGCTTGCGGGATGTCCGGCCATCGTGGGAGGAATAGGCCGCGACACCCTCCTCGAAGGGAGCTCTCCAGAGCTCCCTCCGAGTAGTGGCGTGAGCGAGCAATTGCAGGGCTACACCTATGCCCTTTTGTTCACCGGGGGAACTTTGGTTTCCTCCTCGACCCCCTCCCCACCCCCCACACACAAAACACTCCTCACGAGGATGAGAACCCCAACGAGCGAAACCTCGCTTGTCGATAAACACGACGCACAGGTCCGTGTGACCGCAGCCTGTCCAACTACTGACCTTCAAGTGTTTTTTTTTCCCCGCTCAGTGAGAAAATTAGATTTTAAAGCTCCCCGGTGACCATCCCCATTGCGTGGCTGCAGTTCTTTTTTTTTGTTTAAACAAAGTTAAGTTGGCCAGATGTGTCTGAAAGTCAGCTGAAGGTCTCTTCTCCTAGTCTATACAATACGGGTTGGATTCATATTGGTGGCCGCATCTCAAGACACTGTTCAGAAATAGTGTGGCCATCTGTTTTGTTACAGACAAGAGGCAGTCATAGGCAGAGCAAAATGGAAACCATTGAGCCAGGATTTTGGATTAGGAGGGAGTTGGCGGCACAGATGACTGGAGGAATGGTATTTCAGACAATGGGGGCAGCAGAGGAGAGTGAGAGATCTCCCACTGAGAAGAGGATGACTGAGGGCTTTCACTGAATTCCTTGGTTGCTGATGTGTGGAGGGGAGTAGAGTGAGATGAGAGGGGAGATGTAGGAGAGTGCATGGGGGAGAGCCAAGTGAGATGAGAGGGGAGATGTAGGAGAGTGTGTGGAGGTGAGTAGAGTGAGATTAGAGGGGAGATGTAGGAGAGTGTGTGGAGGTGAGTAGAGTGAGATGAGAGGGGAGATCTAGAAGAGTGTGTGGAGGTGAGTAGAGTGAGATGAGTGGGGAGATGTAGGAGAGTGTGTGGAAGTGAGTAGAGTGAGATGAGAGGGGAGAGGCAGGAGAGTGCGTGGAGGAGAGTAGAGTGAGATGACAGGGGAGAGGCAGGAGAGTGCGTGGAGGGGAGTAGAGTGATATGAGAGGGGAGATGTAGGAGAGTGTGGAAGTGAGTAGAGTGAGATGAGAGGGGAGATGTAGGATAGTGTGTGGAGGGGAGTAGAGTGAGATGAGAGGGGAGATGTAGGATAGTGTGTGGAGGGGAGTAGAGTGAGATGAGAGGGGAGATGTAGGAGAGTGTGTGGAGGTGAGTAGAGTGAGATGAGAGTGGAGATGTAGGAGAGTGTGTGGAGGTGAGTAGAATGAGATCAGAGGGGAGATCTAGGAGAGTGTGTGGAGGTGAGTAGAGTGAGATGAGAGGAGGGAGGTAGGTAGGGGTGAATCCATGGAGGATATTGAAGACAGATCTTGAAATTGGAGGATCGGAATGGGAAGCGGTGGAGAGATTTGAGTGTTGGGGTGATGCTCTCTCATCAGAGGGTGCTGGCAGTAGTATTTTGGTTCACATGGAATTTGGAGAAGGGGGATTTCAAGAGGTGAGTGACGTGGGAAGGTGAGGAATGAGGAGTGGTGAGGAATAATCAGGTCAGGATGGTACAAAGGTTGAGGGATTCTCAGTGGCAGCTGGGGTATTATCGTGCCAGCCAGGACACACGGCTTTTATCTCGTAGATTAGTGTGGTTACTCCTCTCACTGCCATATCTTCAGAGGTTAGGGTCTCCTCCCACACATTTCTAAAGGGAACTGGCCCACTCCCCCCCCCCCACCGCCACCCCCCCTCAAACCCCCCGCCAATGCATGTATTAAAATCTTGAGACCCGTTGACACTTTCCCGATTAAATAATGCACATTTATCTACTCATTTATTTATTCCGTGTTGCATTCCCGTATTCATTGTGTTCTTATCCCCCCCCCCCCCCCGCCCGCGCCTCCTCCCGCTGGATCTCTGTGACAGCTGTCTTACGCAGACGCAGATGGACTCGCCATCGGCGTGGTCCAGATGACCTTCCTCCGGCTCCTCAGCTCGGCCGCCCGCCAGAACGTCACGTACAACTGCTACCTGTCGGTGGCGTGGAACGACCTGGAAGGCAACAGCTTCGACAAGGCGCTGCGCTTCCTGGGTGCCAACGAGGAGGACCTCTCCCACGACACCACGCCCTACATCCACGCGCTCTATGACGGATGCGCGGTGAGTTGTCGCGGCTCGGATGTTTCGCGTGGCGCCTCACAGATCCGAACAAAACAAAAATGGGTTGTGGGTGTGGCGGGCCAATGCGCGTGTATTTTTTAAACAGGATCTAAAGTGCAACAAAGGCATTTTAAATGTAATTCTTTTTTATAGTAGAGGTTTTTATTATTACGATTCTAAATGGCATTTTTTGGGTTAAACCATGTAAAGGATCATATCGAATTTCTGTCGTAAGGCCCTCCACCACCTGACACAGCAAGATTAATGAAATTCTACGTGACTTTACCGAAGAACCAAGAGATGAATCCCTGCAGTCACGAAAGCTTTAAATCGAAAATTAATTAAATTGTTCATGCGTTGTGTCCATGCATTTGACGACCCTCCAATTAATTATTAGTGTAATTGTGATGCCTCACTCACAGGTGAGTTGAATAATAATTCTCATGACCAACTTTAGGAGCGATTAAGAGACATCACACTTACCGTGTTTTGTAGTACTTCTTCTCAACGTATATATGCTTGATGATGGTTTCTATTCACGTTTCTTGGTTTTGCCTTCTCTGCGTGTTAAACCAACACCAGGGTGGACTCATTAATGCAGGAACAATGTGATTGGCTACTGTGTCGATGTAGGCAGTTTGAGAATGCAATGTGATTGGCTACTGATGCCTCTGTAGGCAGTGTGAGAGATCAATCTGATTGGCTACTGATACCTCTGTAGGCAGTGTGAGAGATCAGTGTGATTGGCTGCTGGTGCCTCTGTAGGCAGTGTGTGAAATCAGTGTGATTGGCTACTGATGCCTCTGTAGGCAGTGTGAGAGATCAGTGTGATTGGCTGCTGGTGCCTCTGTAGGCAGTGTGAGAGATCAGTGTGATTGGCTACTTTTAGGGTGGATGGCCATAGGAATGGTCTTGATGGCTTGGCGAACACCACCCAAGGTGCTGGAGGCAGTGGCAAAGCTGGCCGTGGTAGGGGACGATGGTAGATAATTATCAATGAGCGATGGATGTGTGGGGCAGAGGCTCATGGCTGGAAGAATAAATGCTTTTTAGTTAAGGTTAGATAGGATGGTCGTGATGTCATTTATAATTGATCACATTTGGTATTTGCGCCGTTTTAATGACGCAAGGCGATACTCACGAGGGCACTGCTGTGCTTCAAGACACAATCTACGGGAGTTTTTCAGCAGGCGACACTGATTGCTGCTGTGTGTGATCCCAGTTGAGTAATTTGCAGTCTAATTATTTTTTTTACTTGGAAAATTTTGTCGCTAAAGTCAACGCGCAATATCCTGCACTGTTCAATTGACGTCACAGAATCCTCAACCACGGTGGTAAGTGCACGATACAAATGAACCTGGCGGCCCAAGTTTTGATTCCTGTTCACGGCTAACATCAATGGCAAGCGATATCCGAACCTGTCTTGGGAATCTAAACCTGCACTGATCAACGGTGGTGACGTTCGGGTCAGACAACCTCCAATGTGCAACGCAGTGCCGGGTGGCCTTCATCCAGTAGTGGATTGACAACGAGCCGTAATTTAAATGTATGTTTCAGTCATTGGCCACGTGTCCCGGTGGTCGGAATGCTTTGACTCACGGTTGGATGGTGGTGAAGTTCAAATCCCAGCCAGGGGTCAACTCAACCTCGTCATGACCATCATTATCCCTCCAGAGTTGACAGAATCAGTTCCACTTTGTTAAGAATTCAATCGACATTGGGTTCATTCTTTGGACTTACTGGTCCCCACCTTGGCAATGTGGAATTTCCGTCACTATTTTGGGGATGATTAACGATTGATTTTTTTTAGTCAGGTCGCGTGAGTCGAGTGTGTGCGGTACACCCTCCTCCACCCGTCACAGCCATTGTATAAAGTTGTCACTTAGGTGAACAAACGTGACCAATGCATTACTGCTTCAGCGCCACCGGTGTTGCTGGGAGAGTGATCCACACACATTTCACAATCGTGTACGCGACGCTTCACAGCCGGCGTTCATCGGGGTAGTGGCCAGAATTGCGACGGGGATGTGAACCCAGGCTCTCAGCATATCTGGCACAGCGAGAAAACTTGCACCGGTCTTCGGGCATCAACGACGACGGCAGCCATTGGCTTTCATCGGAAGTATCTTCGTAAATAAATGAATGTGTCTCAGTGGATTCGGGGGAATTCGTAATGGGGTATTATCTGTTAAATGAATTCCCAGATGCGCTTGCAATGTGCCGGGTGCATTAAAATATTAAGCACAACCTCGGAGGGCAGCACGTGAAAAAAAAGGAGGATTTAAATGTAATTATGTGAAGCTGTCTGTTGCGCAAGAAACACAAGCACGCGTGCAGATGTGTGGAAACGTGTATAATTAGGTAGCACGGGTTGTTGTTGTTGTATAATTATGCACACTTAGCACACATATACACGCTAATGCACAGATGCACGTAAGACAAGGGCATAGACATGCTAATAAGCACGCGCCCACCATCACAACACCAGCCGCCATTCACCACCCAGAGCGCAGTGATGTGACCATAGCGCTTGTGGCAGGCTCAGTGCATCGAGAGGCCACGTGAAGAGGTGAAGGCTCACTGGTAGGAAGTGACGGCACAGACCCAGGCACTATGTTGACTGACTGAGATGACAGGTGGAGGCACCAGCTGTGCCCCTGTGCCACCCATCCCTCTGCCCTCCGCCGTTGTTGTTGGAGGGCGACTGCCTCCAACTGCCCAGTAGCAGCGTCCTTCACGAGCCTCCTCCTGCACATGGGCCCATCTTGACACCGCTGGCATCAGCTCCACCTCCTCCTTTACCACATCAGCCCATCTCTTCTTTGACTCATACCATACCCATTTATCTCCCTGTATGTATCCATCATTAAACACCGAAGCTTGAAGGCATAGACAAATAGGAAACATATGCATTCACGCATGTACAAACATTCTTTACAAAATCATATAGACACAAATGTGCGTACAATGGACATACGCAACAGAAAAATGCACGTACAATCGCAAACTTGCATACACACGCACGCACAAATATACACAATACGTACACACAACGACGCACACAGATTTATGCAGGCAACAATACGCACAATAAAGACAAAAGCAGCGATCTTCCATATAGCCTTTAATAGACTTTTGGAGCAAGTGCTTTTAACGAGGGGGTAGGTGGCCAGTACCACGCCCGGCCACTTTTGTCTCCCGAGTGGCGATGTACATACACTGCACCAGGTACTCATTTGAGGCTGAGTCGACTTAGGGGAGGCCCAGGACCGGTTGAGATGATCGTCACCGGTGTTGGCCACGAGCGAGAATCGAACTCGGGTCACCGGAGTCCGTTTCGCAGCGCTCACCGCTGCGCCACCGCTCCCCACACGCACACAGCACGTGCGCAGAGTTCATTGAGTAGGGGTGAGACGAGGGTTCACGCGTGGCAGTCATTCGGAGGATGCGACGGGGGAGGGGGAGAGATAGGGGACCGCACAGAGGAGGCCGAGATAAGAAACGCGATATTGATCAAAGCCTTATTCTCCTCGATGACTTCGTGATTTGGCCGGGCAAGAGCGGGGGAAAATAAATTTCAAATATAAATAAATGGGCCTCGCGGATAAATAAACGAGTGTAAAAATGAAAGCACGGCTGACGCTGCGAGCCAGACTCCTCCGTTCCAAATTGCTTTGCAAATCAGGTAATGGGCTATCCTCGGTCCCGTGGCGTGGAGAGAGGGGATGGGAGCCCGGAGCTTCGGGGGGCGCTGAGTGTGATGAATGACAGGGTCGTCCGTACGTGCGCGGCGCAGCGGCTAGGAGATGTTAACTACCTCGCCTGGTATGCAGGAGTGCATGGGTTCGATTCCGACTCTCACGTCTGCTGCTGTGGATGTGGAGTCTGCGTCTCTCTCTCTCTCTCTCCCAGTGGTCGTGTGGATTCTTCTCCGGGACCTCCGGTTTTTCCTCCACGTTTAGAATCAGCATCAGGCGTTTAGAGTATTTGGCTGCTGTGCTTTTCCACATGACAAGCCACTTGGTTGAGCTGTCATTTGTGGCCAGGTCGCTTCTGAGAAAGAGCTACATCGCTCAGCGGGCCTTACCTGGTAAAATAAAAAGTAAAAATTTCTGTCTACGTGACTTTACCGAAAGACCCAAAGAGTAAAAATAGAAAGTTTTATTTTCTTAAATGCGCTGCTGGCTGAAGACCTAACACTTCTCACCACACATCCCTACACTCACCACTCACCAGCCACTCCTCACCAGCCACCATCTTACTCAAGGTCCACCACCTGCCCTTATTCACCACACCAAAGGGCTCATTTTAACATACTTCACCATGCTGGCCGGTAAGCGTTGATGAAGGCAGGAAACATATATACACACACACATGTGGGAGCACAGAAGTGCAGTACAACACTGGATTATTACTGCACTGCCCTCTGAGTCCTGCAAATGTATCTCTGCAGTAGCCTACCTTCTGTGCACGGTGGTGATCACTCATCCAAGCGCTAACCAGGTTCAAACCTGCTTAGCTTCTTTCGTTTGACAAGATCTGGTCTATTTCCAAATGATTTCACCATAGGTTGGCCTATATGCACAGTGTGTGTACCATCCCAGGTACACGCCTGTGCTGAATAGCCCCCGGTGTGCTTTGTGGAGGGCTCTTGCCTGCAACGCCGCCCTGCTCGATTGCTCACAGAGCTGATACCAGTTCGGAGTTTTCCTGCTGAAATCAACACCGCCAGATGACACTGATTCTGGCAGGCCGAGATGTGGGTTTTTTGCTCGGGTGGGTAACGAGCAACGAAACATATGTTTGCCTCTATAGTGCATTTAAACATTGGTTTATATCCATATACTGCCCTGTATATACCCGTCCTGCGTGCAGTGGCGGTGCAGCGGTAAGCATAATGAACCCGGTGAACCCGAGTTTGGTTTCTGACCGTGGCTAACACGAGTGACGAGTGACACAATCTGAAACGGCCCGGGCCCCCCTTATCACCGACCAGCGCTGTGGAACGACCGCCCACGGAGGACATGGCCAAGGGAGCCCTTCTTCGTCCCGGAGTAGATTGCGCACGAGCTATGAATAGATATGCTCCCAGCTCGCTGATACCATGGTCGGAGCGCTTGACTCACATTTGGAAGTGCGGTCGAAAAACGCCCACCGGGCATGGAGAGGCCCTCATCCAGCAGTGGATTTACAAAAACGGCTGGGCACGCGCGCATTCCTTGTCATTCACTATTACCACCCGAACAACATTATCATCCTTAATTTGGAGCTTTCGCGACTGCAGGAATTACTCTTTGGTTCTTTCGGTAAAGTCACGTTTAAAGAGAAAATAATAAATTAAATAATAGCATACGACGTTTCCATTACAACACAAGCAATCGTCATCAGGTATAAATGAAATAGAAGCACAAATATAGTATACTTAGAAATGTAATGTAATACAACAGAGAGTCGGATAACATAACAGTCAACACCCTACCTGGTTGATTACGTTCTTCCTGAGAATGCTAAATATGAGAGAGAGATAAAACACAGAACCAGAGACATATAGACAGACATATAAGTAGAGACGGATATCACAGAGATACATAGAGAGAGAGAGACGTACATAGGCACACACCATCTCACTGGGATTATATAAAATGAGCAGCGCTTTTGTAGGAAATCAACAGTGGCCAGCCAGTGGGGATGACTTGGCCTCGCCATGGGAAAGTGGAATGTCTGCCACTCCCGGCACAGAACCGCCAATGATGATGACGGTGATCACTTGGATAAGTAGGTGCATAAGTTGATGATGTCCAGTAGTGGGCTGAAATGGGTGGATGCGGCAGTGCTCGGATGCTTTGTCAGAGCACTGTTGGCTGGCAACGCTACATTTCTGATTTCAAACCCTGGGCTTCAGCCGCCCGGGGATTTGAACCGGGTTTGTAAGTGGACTGAGTTTACGTTCTGAGCCCATTCACCAATGGCTGCACAAAAACAATATGCAATCACGTGGAGTCTTTGTTTGCCACGAAATTACCACAGCTCTGAATTGAACACTCCCTGCGGGGCAAAATGTTTTTTTAAAGGGATTTAAAAAAATAGGTTTCGTGACGTTTTCTTTCGAGGTTGTTCTCTGACTCAAGGTGGTTCTCTGATTCCTGAGATATGCATATTTACATATACAAACATACATTGTTTCATATGTGAAAAAACGTGTCAATGTATGTTATTGCGGCGGCAATAATAAAGGTTCAAGTGCTTTTAAACACGGTACCAGAAAGCCGATGCGGCCACGGCGTAATGGCCAGCACAGCGCACGTACAATCCAGAGGTCGACGGTTGGATCTCCCGGAGCGGAAGTCGAAACGACGGTGCAGGTTTCTTGAATCCACCAGAGCAGCGTCAATGGAGGTGACACAGTTAGTCGATCGGCAGGTGACTTGTGGTGGGATAAAGTGTGGGTACTGCCACCTCTTCCAAGCTATCTGGCTAGCGTGGAAGAGTAGGCCAAATATCACCTCTACAGCTTCCTTTTTAGTTAAGGCCCTTTCCGCCAGCAGTGGCTTGAGCAAAGCACTTGCAGGGCCGCGCCTTTACCTTCAGCAGAAGAGGCGGCACACCGCATGCATGCAGATTCAAAACGAGCGAAACGCCGGCGCTCGCTGTCGTGGCTTGGAGCGGAATTGAGGCCGGGTCCGAGTTAACAGACCCCGGGAGCTTCGCTTTGCGACAGAAAACTGCAAGGGCGGCAGCGATGCAGGGCAGCAAGAATCCCTGCAGGCTGGAGACGCACGTGTTCGTTACAGCTCGCAAACAGTGGTTCATTACGGCTGTGCCAGACACGGAGATGGAAACGTCGGGAACGACGTGTGTCTATGCCTCCTTGTCTGCAGAGGTTCATAATGGGCATGCCAGAGACACCGTGATAGCAGCACTGAGCTCCAGGGTTCAAGCCCTGGGTCTGGGTGCCTCTGTCTGGAATCTGGGTTTCAACCACCTCTGATTAAACTGGTTTTACAAGTGTTGTTCGAGCACTCAGCCGGTTCACCAATGGCCGCTGCAAATAGCGTTCATTTTAAATTTGATTGGACAATAGCATTAATAATTCATAGCCTTTTGTAAATCCACTGCTGCATGAAGCTCTCCCCCAAGGGCTGTCAGGCATGAGGGTTGTTTGACCATACTTCACCACGCTGGTCACTGCTGGTCGGTGAACGATGACACTGACCGCTGATGTTGGCTTGGTCGAAACCAGTCGACAGCTGGCTCGCATTAAACCAATGCTGCTGAAAATATCACTGCCAGAAGGCTGTGTGGCTGATGGGAATGTGTAAACAAATGTGGAGAGACAGATACGTGTGGGAGCGGAGATGTATTGTTTGCTTAATTATAATTTAGTTGCTTATATTGTCCACAAATATGTTGTTTTGCCGGAAAGAAAACGCCTCTTCCAGAACTCGTCGAGTCGCATAGATCCTCACGTCGTGTCCCATAATACCAAACGTCAGGACGCCGTTGTAGAGTCGTCTCAATGATGCCGCGTGGTTCGTCTGGGCGTGGAGACACGGTGACTGACTTTGACCGTCTTCGTTCATCTCTCTTTTCCCACAGCGTCGCAAGGGATATGAGAAGACCGTTTTGGAGCTCAACACTCCGAAACTGGAACAACTCCCCATTATCGACATTATGTTCAAAGACTTTGGCGACTCCAGACAGAAGTTTGGCTTCGAGGTCGGGCCCGTGTGTTTTGCCGGCTAGCCTGCGAATAAACGAATACGAGATAAAAGCAAAGGAACACAAACAAAGCCACAAAACAGTCTCCTACTTGCAAACTCAGAGCCTTTATTAGAACGCCAAACATTTTATGAAAAGACGGCTAATAATTTAGCTACGTGACACCACGAACAAAAAAAAAATTGTCCTCAGTTTTACGCATGGTGAAAAGATTGAAAATATTTACCGAAACCATGTTCACCTCAACAGTCGAAGCGTCACATGCAAGTTTTGAAGTCTGCACGCATTTTTAGAATTACCTTTTATTTGTATTATGTTTTTTTTTGTCATTCATTTTTTCCTCGATTCGATCGATCATGTTTGTAAGCCACACATTGCGTCTTGGCAATACGAAAATTCGGTAAGTTAGCAGGGAAGCTATTTTTTTTTGCCTTTACAAATCCATATCTTTGCCTCCTTCACATTTTTGGGTGGCATCCTTTCAACATGACTCAATCCCTTAAATTTAAGGAATAAGTGATAATAGCAACAAAAATACTTAATAAGTGGATAAAAGCATCTGTGTATAAATGATGTCTTGTGTTAAGCATTTTAGTATATATTTCCATTGTTAGTTAATAATGTTTTTTTTGTTTATTTTGCTCATTTTTTCTTTTTAGAAGTATAATTTTTTGTTCACAAAACACTTTCTACCTAAAAACCGCCAAACTCGGCATGATCTGTAAACAGTTGTGGCGTATCAGAGACAGCTGAAATTTTTTTTGGCAAAATGGTGCTTTAGTAATCTCCAATGGTGCTGTTTTAAGATTTATGTTTGTTGTCTGTGTCATTGTGAGTAAATATTGTATTGTATAAAAGAAAAAAAATACCTTGTTCTCTTTACATTTTTCAAAACTTGCATGTGATTTAGGGCTTTTTTTGTAACATTAGTCTTGCCTGTACAACTCGGACAACTGTACAACCATGCAAAATAAAAAAATAAAACATACTTAAATCAATCGGCGGTACATTTCTACTAAACTTCGCACTAATTCTGAATCATTTCTGTCTTCTTTCGTTGTCTTGCAATCACACATTTTTCCTACGGTTCGTCTCCATAATGCATGGTCCATCAGCCTAACGTGTCACACCAACACACGCGCGCAAGCCGCCTCGTTACAACACAAAGTCACAACGAAACATTTTGATCGGTGGGGGTGGCGCTACTGCCCGTGCCTGGCAACGTTAATTTTCAAGTCCCTGTTGGCAGTCGACTCTGGCCATTGTCGTCGTCGTCGTCACTGTCCCGTCCAAACAATGAATAAGAAAAGTGCCACTTCGTGGGGCCCCTACCACGGGAATGTGGAATTTCCACCACTGGCTTTGGGCCATCAGCGGAGATGAGCGGCTGACCAATTGCACATTTATACATGGGAACGCTCAAAGTTGATTTTCACTCCACATAGCGTGTCAAAATATATTAAATCTTCATCACCAACAGTCTTTCAAAGGAACATACAGTATTCATAATGAGCTTGCGGGAAATGGCCCTTCTTTATAGCAAAAAAACAGATCAGAGAGATAGAGTGGAGCCCCATGGTGTAAACTGCAGCCTCCAAATCGTATATCCACTCTGCCTCTCCTGCCTCTATTTACTTGCTATCAAGGGCCCATTGCCCGAAGCGTCGCCGGTTATATTTTTATTTTTAGGCCACAGTTTTGTTGATGGATGTGTGTTGTTGGGCTTTGCCTCGGCGTTTGTGCTTCGTGCACCACTGCCCAACGCAGCAGCGGGCATTGTCGCGAATTTTTTGTTCTTTTTAATGTTTGTTAATCCAAAACCCTCATCTAAAAGCTAAAGTTAATGATGCAGCTTTTGTGCAAACTGATATTGCTGAAAGCAATGTTTATTATTATGTATGAGTTGCTATATTGAGCACGGGCAAAGTTACTGGGGAAGTTAAGGTGGCGCGCCTGTGTCAGCAACTTTATAACTTTGTTTGTAAAAAAAAGCTTTTAATGTTGCATGTACATCAACAGCTGCCACGGTTGTCTGAATGAGGTCACGTGGGGTTGATTGGATTCTCATGGCAATACTAGCAACACAACGGTGGAATTGTGTTCATGTATGAGGATTGCGGATACAAAATAACGAAAGCCATGGTCTTGATGAAGGTCAATAACATATAAAATATTCCCCCGTTAGTTGTTTCCGTGCAATTTATCATTTGAACCTTTAATCTTTTTTCACACAGCATGGCCATCCAGCAATTCCTTTCCTAGACCTCCGGCCTAGTTTGGGTGAGATCTTTGGGCCGGGTCATCCAGGCAAGAGAGGAGGGTGGGGGAGCCAGGCCTACTACGTATTTTATAGCCCACCTCTGCTGTACAACATTGGCGATTAAAGATGTGGGGCCATAATGATAACGCGTAACTATGATGTGTCAGTAACGTGCAACTGTGTCACACAAAAAGCAACCAAAGTTGCAGCGTTTAATGGGACCTGGCAACGTTTGAAAAACGCAACAAAGTTGCACAATTTCACTTCAGCTTTCAGTGCAGCTCGTCGGAATGTCGATGAATAGTGGTATCTTTGCATAAAAAACAGAATGTACGGTGCTAATTATATGTTTCTTTTTTTCGTTAAAGCTATTGAGAGTTGTCGCTGCAAATTGGACAATGTTATGTTTTGTCACTGACAAGACTACCCAAGGAAGAGGGATTGATTACGCAATTTATATCTATATTCATGACTTGACAGTGTGGCTATTAGTTGGCTATAGTGAACCACGACACACCGTTCTACGTTGCCTGTGCCTCTGCGTGCAGTTCACAACGACTCACGTTAATCACGCCGAAGCGTGCCAACGCACGTGCGCACATTCCCTTACCACAACACAGCAACAGCCATGCCCAGCCACGGGGCAATCGTTGTGCATATTGGTGTGGGCGTAAATGGTTGTGCGAATCGATTTGAAGGAGCGTGTAACTGTGTTTGTTATGTGCACAACAGGCATGCAGAATAAGGTGCTTTTATATGAAAATGGGTGAAAAGCAATTCATAACTCGCATTGCCTCTATTTTAATGAGGTTCGACAGAAAACGCTTTGCTATGTAAGACATGTTTTATCTCTTTGCATCCAAAGATCCATTTTTCATCTCGCGTTATCATCATTTACCTCTGACCTCACTGTTCTCAGGTTAAGTCCTGCGATTTATAAACAAAGTTTGACACGTACGAAAAAAAGAAAGTGCTTTTTAATATCGAATGAAACTAAATTGTACTCAAGCCCCGAGTCAATTTCGCCACAAGTGTCGCGGGAATCCGGGCCGAGGTTCGAGAAAGATGTCAGGGTGCGGTGGCATCGTCGGCACTGCCCGTGATGATGACCTCTTGACATTTGAACTCTACACGAGCCCCAGTCTATCCTGTCTCATTTTAAAGTGCTTTTTTGTTTAAGTTCATAACAATAAAAAAACCATAATCAATTGAAACTGATCAAGCTATGCATTGCTTAAAATGTGGCTTTGTCGTATTGTAACCAACCCGCATGTCGGTTTCCTGCAGGTGACCTTCTTCCCTCCTGCGTGTATAAACGCTCGTAAATTGGGCCCAGAACACCTTCAAATATAGAGAAGTGCAGAGCTCGGGCAATTTTTGGTGCCAGCCCACCGCGTGGCTGCTGCCTTTTTCCTTGCCTGTCGTTCCTCCTCGTGCCTCCGAGTCAGTCGCTCTCTCTCTCTCTCTTCGAGAGCGAGCGAACGCTGTGCGGTGGCAGTGCGTTACAAGTTGGCGTCGTTATTTTATGCTACCGAGTCCCAGCGACGATGGTGACGATGACGACGACGATGATTGTGGTGGTGGTGGTGGTGGTGTTGGTGAAAGCGGGAGTGGCGATGGTTGAGACTGCTGCCGATGGTAACTGCAATGTCGATGACACTGGTGCCGAGGTTGTTGGCATGATGGCTTGTCTTCCAATCCCTTTTGGGTTGAGACCGCTGTGTGCTGCAATTGTTCTTGCCACCCAACCCAAACCACTATCCCTGGGTCCTCCCCGCTGCCTTCCTCCTGCTCCGTCCCCTGTATGTAGTTTTCTATTGTCTCCCCTATTTCTTTTGTGTGTTTTCCTGCATAGCTTGGCCTGACCCCCACGCTGCCTTCTGACCTCTGCCTAACCTCCCCCGTGACCTCGTTTCTCAACGCCTGTCCCCGGCTTCTTTCTGTCCCCAAGTTCCCCCTGGGACTCCTTAATGCTGCCCCAGCTGCCCCTGTTGGCTCGGTTAGTGCTGGATGTCCCTCGTTAGCCCTCAACGTTGGGCCCCAGTTGCATCGTCCTGCTGGACTTGGCCTACATGGGCACTGGGCCGTCTTCCTCCATCACTTCCGTTTTGCCTTCTTTGCTCGCGCAAGGCATCTCGGATTCATTGAAACTAATTCTGTAGTATTGTTTGTCCTGCGGCGTTTCAATATTTGCAATCGTTCTAAACTGATCGCAGTTCTAAACAAATATGTACTACATCTATAACACACGTGCATGATTAATTACTGTAATATACTTTAAAAACGATGTAATGCATGAACGTTTCCCTTACTGGTCAGTATTATTCAATGCGTCATTCGCTTTTCAAAGGAATGTACACTCCATCCCGTAAAAGGATATCGGAAAAGCCAACATTCACGCAGAGTGACTCAAAAGTGGCTTTATAAATTATAGGAGTGTATTTGAAGCAGTTGGAATCATAGCTGGGTGAGCAGAGCACATGGAAGACCGTATTTAATGGCTGCATAATCTAATCTCAAGTCGTCCCTCTGTACGGTTATAGAATACATAGGCTAGCTTTATCCTACTGACCAAAACATTTACCAACGTGCCAGTTTGCACAGAGTTTGAAGTTCAACTCCGACTGCTTACAGCCACCCAGGAATTGATGTCTGCTGGTAAGCGGGACCCTCAAAGATCGTGGAGTGTAGAATCGAGGTGGCTCAGGAGGCAGGGCAATGAGCTATTGTAGTGATGTCGATACTCGTTCTTGCTTTACTTTGAGCCTTTACTCAATTTAACACGTATGCTTTCACAACCAAAATCATCCATAATACAGGTTTTTGTTGGGTTAGATCGCATATAAATATATAAATGTGTCGCTAAACCCGCCACCACCTGACAGCCAATTAGTAAGGTGTGTCACGTAAACAGAACATGCCAATTCGTTACTAGTGTCGGGTAGTGAAATACGCGGTGTGCACAGTTAACCGAGGGCAACTGATGGCAAACAGGTGCACGTGAGGTTTGCATGGACAAACCGCCAGTTGCAAGGGGCAAAGCAGGTGCAAACGGGGTCGACCGGTTGTGCACGCTTAGACCGGAGGTGTTGCCAGGGAGACGGGAGATAAGGGTTGATTGATGGTCAGACAGGCACGAGCCTGGCCAGAGCTTAAAGAGATGCGCACGAGAGGTCACGGATAATTGGCAGGGAGATATAAGGGCGTGTGCGTGAGCGGAGCGGGGAATTGTTGCCGGGGACCAAGTGTGATGACATCTCGCCGCTGCCGCTCCAGCCGTCAACGGGACCTCGCAACCCTCACGCCATCGCCGGGCGGGTGTTGGGTGACCCCCCCGCCCGGGACAGACGGGTGAGCGGGTCTGGGGGAGCATAAGCGAGGGCAGCGGTGGAAGTGCGGAGTCGCTGTGTGTGAAGACGCTGTGTGCGGAGACGCTGTGTGCGGAGACGCTGTTTGTGGAGACGCTGTGTGCGAAGACGCTGTGTGCGGAGTCGCTGTGTGCGGAGACGCTGTGTGCGGAGACGCTGTGTGTGAGACGCTGTGTGTGGAGACGCTGTGTGTGGAGACGCTGTGTGTGGAGACGCTGTGTGTGGAGACGCTGTGTGTGGAGACGCTGTGTGTGGAGACGCTGTGTGTGGAGTCGCTGTGTGTGAGACGCTGTGTGTGGAGTCGCTGTGTGTGGAGACGCTGTGTGTGGAGACGCTGTGTGTGGAGTCGCTGTGTGTGAG